CAGGAGATACTTGTTGGCATGCTAGTGTTGATCTCAATCACGGGTTCAGAGTAAGTCTTCACGGGTGTTACAGAGCGCCACACTTTGATGTTGAATGGTTCATTATGAGAGCCATCAGAAAGATCTGAAGGCGGAACAAGTTGCACTTCCACCTGCCGGGCAGACTGATGATCGCGGAACTCTTCAGCGATGACAAAGTTCGTCCTCAAAGACCAACTAGGCAACCTGGGAGATTGTCCAGGTCGTAAGGCCGGAATATGAAGGAGGTCAAGAGGATAGTCACGCAGGTTAACACGCGCTTCGCCCATCTCTAGATTGAAGCTCATTGGAACCAGCAAGCCATACTTCATCGACAGCGGCATTCCCTTGCCGATTCGGTTGAGGAATGTGGGGAGTTCGTCAATCGGGAAAGTTGGTTTGTCGATGACAAGATTTACATCGCTGATCAGTGCTGACATCAGGCCCGGCCTGTTTGGAATGGCCAAAATTGTCTCGGTTTCCTTTACATCATCTGGCGGTTCGTCTGCGCCAGAGAACAGATTTCGAACTTCCTTGATGGAAGTGCCCTGGAACTTGAGCGCGGCGTCGATTTTCTCTTTCCACACCTGAGCATTATGCTGTTGAAGTCGATTCCAGGCAGCGTCGGTAGAAATCTTGTACTCTGACGACAGACAGGTCGCACCCTCGGTGTCATAGCGGAATTTACGACCCCGGCCACGGTTTGATTCATCTTTCCTTGGTCGAGCATCCGCGCTCTGACTTCTCCTGGTATCCTGGCTGGTCCGTTCACTGCGCAGCGTGCGGTGGCTTGACTTGGCTCGTAACCTGGACGAAGCTCGTCGGTGTTCTGATTCTCGAATCTTGTGGGCCTTTAGGAGGAACGCGTCTTCACGAGCCAATCGCTGACTCTGTTCAATCAAACCAGTTCGGTAGATGAGACCCAGCTTCCATTCAAACGCATCATCCTCAAGCTCGAACAGAAGAGCTTTGCTGCGAAGCGATATCCGCGGCACCTTCTTCGGACCCTCGGGCTCGCGAACAGAAATAAACTCTTTGCACCGCTGCTTGAAACGATGATGGAGTTGTTTGAAAGCCTTGGAGGTGTTGATCAGATTATCGAAAATGCGGTGCATCACCATGTGATGAGGTACGCCCAATCGGATAAAATCAGCCCACAAGTCGATCGATCTCTCCTCGGTGAAGCCCAGGCCCTGCTTCATCTTCATCTTGCGGAAGTCAAGCCTGACATTGTTCATGCTGCCAATTCTTGCCCAGACTCCCTTGAGCTTGGGTGCCTCGGCGTGTATGCGGACAAGGTTGGCCTTGATGTTAGGGGTGGAAAGACGTTGTGAGGTGCCCGCGAGCCCATAGATCTGAACCATCATCGAAGGGTCATTTGGCAGACTCATCTTCAGCTGGATGACGGTCGCTTTAACATCAAAGGTGATGAGCTCATTCTTGGGAGCCGATGGAGACGTTGGAGGAGGTGGTAAGGAAATGCTGCCCGCACTTTGTGTCTTGCCTGAGTATGCTTCCGTGTCTTTTCCTGGAAGAGGCGTGAGCACATTCTGCATCACAGAAGTCGCGACACCGAGACAATAGAAGCGATAAAGTGAATACTGAAGATAAATGCCCTTGAACACCGAGTTGACATGAAAGACGGGCCCCATACGATCACTGTGAGTGCTCAATGCGATTTCGAAACGAGGCATGGAGAAGAAAGGTTCTGGCTCAAGGTAATCATCCGATTCAATGACGAAACCATCGAAACCACGGGCATGGAAAGCCAGCCGTCTGCCATCAGTAGCACCGCGATGCGTCTTTCTGGGTGGCGATGTGGGCGTAAACCTGAATGGCGATTCATCGCCAATTGTGGAGTGACTCGAAGTACGGCGTCGGACAATGCTGCCGACAGCGTGTTCTGTTTTTTGAGCTTTGTACTCTGCCGTCCAGGATTGCAATTGCAATGAGACACCACGGGAGATTTCAGAGACAGGGGTGTCGACTCCAGCAATCTCCAGGCTGAAACCCGTAGCTTCGAATGTGAATTGGAGCAGCCATGGCGGGAGCTTTCTCAGCAGGCTTGATTTTCGCTCGTTGAATGGCATGGAAACCCTCTTCTGCGGCTGCAAGTGCGTCCGGAACTGCTCAAGGACTTCGCGGATTCCACGATTGACATCGCTGTTGATCATATGGACAGAGCAATCACTTAGGGTGCCTGAAGCAATGACACATACTTCCGGACTCGCGTTCAAATGACACTTGAGTTCCAGACTCTCCGTCGTGAGCAAGTTATGTTTATCGCCAGCAGGGGTTTGGTAGTAGAATTTGTGTGACGCAACTCGATAAATGGATGAGAGAGAATAGTGTGCGCCGCCCTCGGAAGAGTGAGATGATTCGACATCGAGGGAAATTGAGGATATGGATGAGATTAGAAGATTATAGTCATCGGCAGAGCCAGAGTCTTTCTCGAAGGGCAAAACGAATCGGATCACGGGCTCATGCACGGATAATTTGATGCTCGCCTTTGGGAGCAATCGGGATATTAACGAGGAATTGTTGCGCTTTCTGACTCGAGGAGTGGATGCTCGGGTTTGCGCTAACTTCAAGAGCCGAGAAACGTGCTTGGGCTGCAAATCAAGAGACGGTGATGTGATGACCAAGTTGGCGAAGAGGACATTAGAATTGCGCTCCTCGGGGTTCGCGTCTTCAAATGCGCTAACAGTCTTCGACGGTAGGGTTGTCTTGATCGTCGTGGTGGCCATAGGGATGTAGAGGATGTTGTCCGTTTCGCCCGAGTCGTCATCCAAACTGACGGACAGAGAAATGGCTGCGAGAAGTGCTTGGTGAGCAATGTCGTTCCGCTGGAAGTACATGCGATGCTCTGGACTCTTTTGATCCATCCGGTGAAGATCAATTCCAAGTTCGTGCGATACCACGTTCAGGTACACAGGGTTCTGGCCAGCAGATAGGGATTGAAGACCACGCGACAGTCGGAAGAAGCTCAGTGCGACCTGAATCTCCTGAATACCACGTAGAATCGAGCTAGCAAATTCCTTGGAGTCGGCGACCGTTTGGACCATCGAATCGTCTCGACTGCCGGGCCTATCCAGCTCCTCCACAAAGTCCGCAAAGGACATCTCGTCGTCAGTCTCGATCGGCGCGGGTGACTTGAAGGTTTTCTGGGCCGACTTGATCCGCCGCAATATTATAGTGAGGTCATCGTACGGAATATGCAGTCTCCCAATCTTGATTGCAATCGATGCATCCCGAAGGCCGTCCAGATCTTTGTAGAGCAAGCCGTGGAGGTTCACGCCAACGTTATCCAGGATTTCGGTCGGCTCTCGGCCCTCCACGGCGAGGAGAACATTCTGCACATTCATAATCCATTCAGCCGGGCGTTGTTCGCGTGACATGTCCTTCTTGCGTCGAAACAGCTTGCCCCTTTCCACCATTTTGCTTCGAGTATCCACCGACAACACGAGCGATCCGACTTGGAATTGACCAGCTTCCAGGAAATGCACCGTAGTATTGACTGCCGTAAGATCGACGAGGGCTAGCCAGTTAATTTGACGATGCAGCCTCTTCAGGCGCTCCTTCATGCGAGTCAACGACCTCCATGTTTTGCTGCGCGGGATGGCCGATTCGGGGGTGGCGGTTTCTTCTGAGGGGCTCTCTGTACTCTTCGGACTCGTCGGGTTCTTTGGACTTCCTGGCACCGGTGATCCCAGCAGGTCCCGCGATGGATCCCGCTTCCCCTTGGACAAGGTGGCCGTATCCAGCGTGATTTTCAGGTCCGTCAGTCGAATGCTGATCCATGTTGGCTGCGCAAAGGATGGCGGGTGTAACGAGAAGCCAAGCCCCCGGATTTCGATCTGTAGTCCCTCTCTCGGAGCGTATGCGATACGGCGGAGTGAGAAGTAGCCGATGCGCTGGATGGAAATTCCGGTCGCAATTCGAACGATCGCAAAGACGAAGAAGGACGAGAGGTAGAGCAGTAGGAAGCCCACGAGGATCGAGGTCGGGTTAAAAAGGGTCATTGCGACGTGCGATCAGCAGGGGCTGATCTGTCGAGGCAAGACACGCAGCAGCACACCGCACATCGAAGGAATGGTAGTCGTGCTCAATTGTCGTGGCGACTGCAGGGTGAGCTTCCCGGGGCTGACCTCCTCGACTTTCTTGGGTCCGGAGCTGGGTCTGGGGAACCGCCAAATAAATTATGGCTGGCACGATTGCCCCAGACAGAGTCGATAGTCCAGCGAAATTAGTAGGACGTTAAGCACCAAAAACCAGGTTGAATCCACGCACGAAGCAAGCGGTGCACATGAATCATTCTGTGGGGAGAGTGTGGAAGTCTAGGTCGAGGCCGAGGGGGGTCCTTTTGGAGTGAAGACAGATTCATGGTTCGGACGCGCCGGGGACAAGAGCGGAACCCACTAACCTGCCAATCTGCCAATCTGCCATCCCAACCGGGCAGAGCTTGGCGTTCGTCAGCTCTCTAGAAAGCCTCCCACTTCATTGCTCTATATTTTCTACCTTGTCAATAACCCTTATTACCACATTGTATCACCAGATTGGCTATGAAATTGTATGCTGTATGTAGTACGGTCCACGGATAGTTACGGAGTACGGGTTCCACCGTTAAAGGACAGCTATACTAGAACTGACAAGCATACTACTGTACTTGCGGAATTTTCGGGGGCTTATCAGCCACATTATTACTCCGTTCTCCTACACATGGCCGCAGGCGGCGCTGATTACGACCCTATACCCCCCAGTCTATAAAGTGGTATACTCTTCCCGTCAAGGAGGGGCAGCGCATGGGTATTTCTCCAGAGTCGTGTGCGCCCACTGCTGAGGCTCCCACGCTTTCCCACTGCAGCAAACGCCGTGGGACCTTTTTCCATGGCTTTTACGATCGGCGAACCGTAATTCGACCCCATATTATGCATCGCGCCAAACACAATGACTTATTGAGAAGAATTTGTGTAGAAGAATGCTTTTTTTCGACTTGTTGGTATGATGCACATTTATGGATAAGTAATATTGTACACAAGATGGCCCTTGTTCAAGCAGCACGTGCTTGTACCACAATGGGGAACCCGGGGGGAGGGGGGAGGGGGGAGGTCAGTAAGGCGTACAATGGCCAATCTGACACGTAACTAGAAACGTACTAGTCAACTGGATACATAGGGGAGACTTGGAAAGGGTTAAAAAATGTCAGCACAATAGCGACGCCTTGCCCGTGCGCCGTCAGTGCACTCCCACCAATGATGATTGTATCCAACTGCTCGAAGGACAACGTCGTACCAGAGCCGCGAGAGCATGCAATCACTTATTGCTGTTGATGCTGGTAGAGATAGGTTTTGGTCGAGTCTTCTCTAAATCCTCAATCTTCTCGTCAAGGAGAGCAATTTCGGCCTCGATGCTGAGTAACTTCTCACTTAACATCCCCCGATACTCCTCATCGGACAGATGTCGGAGTGGAATGTATTTTGACTCGGCCATCCGCTGCAGAAAGGGCTTGGAAGGGTTCTGGGCCCTTTCCATTTGCCACTTGTCAACATAATTGAAGGCACTTTGTCCGCCGTAGCCGAGCAGGGAGAAAATAACCAGACCGGGTACCAATCGACCCCCTAATCCAGAGAGCATTAGAGACTGTTTGCTATGCCAATCGGTCATGATGCGATGGCGGGGTTACATACCCATGACCCTGGTCACTACTCCGCCGGAAATACCACCACAGAGAGCACTGACATATGCTCGCTCCTGCGGGGACGCACTATCTTGATAGTGGAGTGTGATAATATTGCTTCGCATCCCTATATCCGAAGTCAGGTTAGATGTCAGGCAAGTAGCCCGTAAGGTATTGGAGCTTGAACGTACACCAATAGGTTGAACCGCATGCGAACCAGTGGATACCGCAGGAGAGCGAGTGTACCAAAGGGTTGGGTGATCGAATGACGCCCGCTGCTCCTCCATAAATCAATCCCGCGGCGCCTGGATGATTTCATGTAAGCAAAATGTATCGTCGACCAATCTTTCAGAACATGGCCACCGAATTTGGGGGGTGTAGAGAAGGAGAATACGAACCACTCAGGGCACCCACTTTAGCCGCGGCCAGTAGCGGATTAACCGGCGCAGTGGCAGTTGGACTGCCTTGTCCACTCATTTTGTGAATAGTGTGAGAAAAGCATGAGCTTTACCTGTATCGACCATTAAAGAGTCGAAGATTTGAGGCATCACAGTCTCGACAGGATGAGTTCGGTCACGTGTTGGTGTCTTAGGTAATCGGGTGAGTCCTCCTCCAGGGCCGCTGGTTGAAATTGATAGTTTGGCCCCTTCTGAATGATCCAAACTTGACTCTTCAATATTCTATGGAGTAGTCACATAGGTAGAGTCGCGTGGTTTAATGTGTGTGAATAGAACAGGTATCCTCGTGGATTTGTGTAGGGACTTAGAGTTGATGGTCCCTGGTCTCGCCTAGGTATGAATATATATCTTGATCAAGCCCAGTACCAGAACCAAGTACGAAAGTACAGTTCGGGACATTGGATCTTATGAATGTACTCGAAGTCGATACTAGGCTGTCTCCTGTACAACTCTCCTGGATGGTCTGCTCTATACCCACATTATTTCAAGACCCTTTTTCATTTAGTAGGGCCTGAAAGTTTCTTTGTTTCTCTTCCTAGAGCCTCAAATAAAGCGCCATTTTCATCCACATCCATTCATCCCACCACGCCGTGGAAGACAAAACTAAAATTGATACGCTGGCTCTAGAGTCATCGATAAACCCTGCCCATCGTCTATCAGATTTCAGTAATCCTTGGACCAAGCCGACTCCTGAGGAGAGAATGAATCTAGACTGTGAATGTGTTGAGGGTCTACTTAGCCTAGTCGGGTTAGACTTGCTACAGAAAGTAGAAGGACTGAGGGCACGGTTTCCACCAACGTGGCAACCCGACAGATAACTAAACATGTGGTCAATTGAGAGAAATAGAAAAGCACCAATACCAGCATATTCCCCTTTTTCATAGTTTACGGCAAGATCGATCTGGAATGCCAGTCAAGTTTGTTGCGGGCAGCGGGGGATCCGATTGGGCTAGCGGCACCACTAAAAATTATCACGGATTAACTAACCCGGCCACTCTGTGCAGACCCGATTGCCGACTTTCCCCTCTACCAACTTTTCCACGGTGGAGTTTTCATCTGCACGCCTTGACCTCCGTGACATCCAACTTACTTACACTTCATTCAACTGACTCCTGGAATATCATCCCGGGTGTCTCTTGAAATTTTTTCCTCGCTTACCACCCTCAAACGTTCCGTGTAAGAAGCGCGCACAATTTCGCAGGCGCGTTTCTTGAACCTCTCGTAACCGCAATCATGGGTGAGTCCACCCCGCTTCCTCGGTCATGTTCGCCCACGGCTATCAAGAGCCTCATACTGGCTCGCTCTACTCTGTCATATATGGTGGTGTTGCGTGTCCGACTTTAGCTGACCGTACCCCCACTAGCGCCCGCTAAGGCCAAGGGCCAGAAGATGAGCATGGTGGAGTTCCTGGCAGTCGACAGTGAGTGCTCGAGCAGACTCCAAAGAGACCCAGAGGATCTGGACGTATACTGACTAAAGTTTAGAGCCCTCTGGTGATTTCAGCTGGGCCGATGAATCTGAGGAGGCTGGCCTCGAGCAGCGTAAGTCGCAAAAATATACCTTGTTCCTGGTTTTGCTGATCGAGTACTGATATCGTGTCTATAGCCAACGGTACGTTGCCGCACCGACATGATCTCGTCGATGATATAATGAACCTGGCTGACCGTGACGAATAGTGCCCGCCGAGAGAAGGGACACTCGCCCGTCCTATGGTGGCTACGGAAGTAGTGGTATGGGTACGGTTCCCCCGAATAATCTCGATGATGGAGTATATTCGGCAGCGAGATCTGACATTCTTGACTTAGACCGTGAGGCCCGTGGTGGATTCGAGAGCCGTGGATACGAAACCCGTGGCGGATACGCTGTTCGCGAGCCCCTCGATCTTCCCACCGAGCCCCCTTTCACTGCTCACATCGGAAACCTTTCCTTCGAAGCCACTGCTGCCGACGTTACCGACCTCTTTGCTGAATGTGGTGTGACCAATGTTCGAATTGTCGAAGACAGACAGACCAACACCCCCAAGGGTTTTGGCTACATTGAGTTCGAGACCGTTGCCGGTCTGCAAAAGGCCCTTGACCTGTCTGGGACTACTTTGATGGGCCGTACTATCCGCACCAGCGTCGCCGATCCTCGTAAGTGCAGAAACTCCGTCGTTGTTGGCACCTTAATATACGAGATAGCTGATGATCATATAGCCAAGGAGACCCGCGCTGACCCCCGCGACATGGACTGGACCCGCCGCGGCCCTCTTCCCCCGGCCCCCTCCGAGCGCCGTGCGCCCGAACGTTCCAGCTTCGGTCGCAATATGGATGCTGCCTCCGACGCCGGCAGTGAGCGTGGTGGCCGCCGCAGCAACTTCGAGTCTGATGGAAAGTTCCGCGACTTTGGCAACTGGGAGCGCAAGGGCCCTCTTTCTCCCCCGGCTGGTGCTGGCTTCCGCGAGGGTGGCCGTCCTCGCAACAACGATGGCCCCGCACCTTCCTGGGGTGAGGGTCGCTCGCAGGATGGTTCCCGGCCCCCGCGCCCCGATCGTCCCGAGCGCACCGAGCGCCCCGAGCGGGCCCCTACTGCTGCCGATATGGACAACCAGTGGCGCACCAAGATGCGCCCCGATGCCGCCCAGAAGGAGCCTACCTCCCCCACCGCTCCCGCTTCTCGTCCCAGACTGAACCTGCAGAAGCGCACCGTCTCTGAGGCCGTTCCCACACCCGCCGCTGGCGCTGGTGATTCCAAGGCTAGTCCCTTTGGTGCTGCTCGCCCCATCGATACTGCTACCCGTGAGCGTGAAGTAGAGGAGCGCCGTCAGGTTGCTCTTCGCCAGAAGAAGGAGAGCGATGACAAGGCCAAGGCCGAGAAAGCTGAGAAGCAAAAGAAGGAGCCCAAGCCGGGCATGGATTCCAACAAGGACGCCATTGAGCCCCCCAAGGGTGGCGGTAACTTTGAGATCCTCCGGCGGGCCGGTGAGGATGAGAGCAACACGACCGCTGAGAAGGAGACCGAGGAGACGACTACTACTCCGGCTGCTGCTACTGAGGAGGCCCCCAAGGAGGCCGCCTCCAATGGCAACTGGCGAGCTGCCGAGACCCCTGCTGCCCCTGCTGAAGATAATGACGGATGGAGCACTGTTGACACGACCAAGAAGCGTGGCCGCCGTGGTGGCCGTTTCTGATTGATCTTTGGATACCCCGACGCAACCTCCGCTTTTCGCCTCAACTGTGGTTTGTTGGTGCACGAGGCTGGATGAATGATACATGGTTATGGGTGTACTGAGGGGCTGCGAAAATCCCCTTTTCGGAGGGAATTGTTGACCGCGATTCTTAGGGGTTCCATGACCAACCTCATTCATCTGCCTTGGTCTTTTTTTTCTTCTTCACGACGGTAGTTGTTACTTCCAACCCTGACCATCCTCAGTTCTTCCTTCTCTGCCTTTCTCACCTGCTGCTCATGATCTTTACCTTTTTCTTGTTTCTCTCGGGGCTAGCTTCCTGATATACATCTAGTCCTCGCTCTGATGATTTTGGCAGTATGAAAAGTTTTCTCCCGCCGTTTTCCTTCTGTTTTTGATGTCATGTCGCTGTTCGCTATCTAGCTTTTATTCCCATGTGTCTTGACTCGTGTGTGATTTTGCCCATGACCATGACAGCCGATGCGAAATGAAGATTACCCTGATTTCCTTCTTATCTCCTTGTTCTGTCTCCCCTCTTATGACTGATCCTTGAATGGGTCTTGCTACGTTCATGCCTTGTCGCAGACTAGGTAGACCAGCACAGCATTGGGCGTTGGGCGTGTGGAGTCTTTAGAGCCATCCCGTATTCCCAGATCGTTCGAATACGAAATGACCGAAATGAGAGACGAAGTCATCATTATGAGCATATTTTATGGTTTCGATGGCCATATCCGGACGCTCTGCTAGATACCTTTCTCTTTTTCGGGCCTCTTCCCCTCTCCACTTTCAGTCTCGTTACGTGTGATTTGCAGTGCCCCGTGCGTCTCTTCTCTCCATTTGGTCACTTCAGCTTGCGTGTGCAAGTCATGATGGTGCTCATGTGTCATGTCTCGTGTCTCATGTTTCTTGAGTATAGATTGAAATGCAGTCTTCACTGACAGACCTGGAACCACCCTTGCTAAGGGATATCCTTGTAGTCGATACTGGCACTGTGTGGAGCATGTAGATGTATGGCCGTCTTTCTCTCTCGAGTAGAGCGAGCAAAGCATGCAGGCTCACGGTTGTCAGTAGCCCAAATGATACTAGAGTAAGCATAATAGAAGATTATTGAGACCATTCATTCCTCCGGCAGGCCACTGATACTCCGTCAGGGGGGTGGTGGGACCATCGAACCTTTTTATAGATGCTCCCCGCATGATGGTGTATGGTCTTAAGGGATACGCGAGGCAAAGGCGTCCATAGTTCGAGACCATTGACTGTAAGGGCTTTAAATAGGCTGCACTAGACCCAAGAGGGACTGCGAGTCCACGAGTGGTCGAGAACATGTGCATGCGCTGATGGGCGGTCGCCATACTGGAAGATGCTCCTTCTTCAGAGCATGTATATACGAATTTACTAGACAGGTGTTCGGAGTTACAGAGAACCCTAAATATACTGTTAGTCTATTGCTGTGGGCAGCACAGTATACCTACTGTACCTTGTCAGAAAATTGTACACTACGGAGGACCGGGTGGGGAAAAGATAACCGGTTCCTGATTAACATGCCGTTCAAAAGACGGACAGGACGACCCGTTCTGCGACTGACGCAAGTTAGGGAGCCGAAACAATATCATGACTATAAGAGATTATAGGAAGCTCGGTACGGAGTACTCCATAGCATTATAGTAAATCTCGGGCTTCTATTCCACCCCCATAACTACGAAACAACGTTGGAAGGGTGAGACATGGTCCCCAGCCATTGGCGTGGCAGGAAACCGGTGGCGCAGTATGGAGTTAATGAAACCCCTTCCAAGGGCCAGCCCAGCATGGAAATGAGTCGTGTTTCATGAATCTTTCCCTCATAACCCTTATTACCCCGGTCACTCAACCTTTGAAGGTTCGTGACTTACTCTCGTGACCTGTCTTTGTGTCAAAGTACGGGATTGGTGTACCTTGGTTTCCTCCCGCTCAGCCTTCCTCGTGCCCGCCGTTGCGACCCTGTACCTGGGAGATCTCGGGGTAAACACAAACCCCCCTCATGTTATCATGTCGACTATGACCACCTCCACATTTACGACTACCACTCTTGTTGGAATACCGTCTGCGATGAAGAATGGTGTGACATTGTCGGAGAACCAGTGTCCGACGTGTGGAGGGAATGGAGCCTCTCACGATGCCGTGGAGTCGCATCGTCGGATCCAGGAGTTGGAGGGGCATGTACGGGCTTTGACCGAGCGCGCGGCCGTGACAGGTAAGAAGATGGTCCTGGGGATCTCATACCAGTGGATCGCAGAGCAGAGCGCATCGGCTCTGTCGATTTCTGTCAAGAGCTCACCTCGATCCAAGTCACTACGTGGGTGTCTTTGATTCTGAACCTGTTTTCGCTGACCGACTCTTTGTCCGCCTCACAGCCAACAAGCTCGCCGACTACGAAGACGAACTACGCCGTCTGCGCTCATCCCAGTCCACCCATGACAGGACGCAGAGTAACTCCTCTCGACTCTCATCCTCCTCCCATACCGCAAAGACCCTATCCCCGACTCAGGCTACAGGGTCATCCGATGCGACGTCCCAAGCTTCGCAACCAACACACAGTCGCCTGTCTACCCTGACCTCTCTGCTCCCCTACCGCCGCGGTAGTGCCGCCACTTCCACTACCAGCACCTCCGCCCCTGCCGCTGCCCCAACGACCCCGACGACGCTCGTCACCCCACTCCAGCATCATGCATCCCCAGCTAGCAGCGACAACGCTTCCGAACTACAGGATGCGCTGACCCGTGAGCAGAGCCTGCGTAAGGCCGCCGAGTCGCAACTATCGCTGGCGAGCACAGAGCTGGAGGAGCTCACAGTGCAATTGTTCAGCCAAGCAAACGAGATGGTCGCGCAGGAGCGCAAGGCGCGCGCAAAGCTGGAGGAGCGTGTCGCGGTGTTGGAACGCCGGGATATTGAGAAGCGGACTCGACTGGAGAGATTGGAGAAGGCGATGGCGCGGGTCGAGAGACTGAAGGCTCTGGTTAACGTATAGGCCCTATACTGCTTGACTGTGTCCTGTTATTTGCTTTATTGCGTTATGATTGGGACGATATTGGGCTTCTGTTCCCCTTCTTGATGACGAACACGAAACTTGGGCGTCTGGATTGGAGGGTTGGGTCTTGTCTTTTCTATTTGTGATTCCCCTTTGCATTCTGGGGTATTAAGGTCTTCTTTTCCCTGGCGTTTTGATGGATAATTGGAAGGTGTTATGATCTGTCTGTTGCAGATTGATGTGAGAATTGCAGTTGCGCAATATTGAGAGTGCAATCGATCATCTTCAAGTTCTTTGTTGAGAAATTTTGTGTCGTCCTTCAGGGTCCAAGGTGCAGGGGAGGTTAGCTTGAATTTGAACTAGATCACGTTTTTGCTGTGTAGCTGTTGCGTCATGCATGATATGCCGCCCAGGTAAGATGAGTCGCATTCGCAGGCCGGAGACCTCAAAGTAGTTGAGTAAGTGGCTCTAGCCACTCGTAGTGGCTAGAGATACACCCACTCGAGTCGAGAAATAATAGGCAAGCCGACATCTCGGCCGCCGATCGGTCGGCTTGAGGTTGGACCTTCCCAGGCCTGCGCAGTGGAAACGCGGGAAACATGGAAACGAGCTCCGGTGGGCTCTGAAGAACCCCACTCGGTCCCTGCATGGTTCTGCATGACATCGATAGATTAAGAGAGCTCTACTTGCACCTATCACCTCCTCACCCTCTTGATTTTATCACTTTCATAGCCTTGTCACTCAAAGATGCCAATTGGAGTTGCGATTATCGGAAGTGGTGAGTTCTCTTCAGCTTCATTCGCCACTGGCCTGCTTTCTTTAGCGCCTTCAGCTAACGTCGACGATAGGCAATTTTGCCAAAGAGCAGCATTTGGTACGTCAAATAGCCTTCTTTCTCTGGAGAAGACGAAGCCAATGTATGATATAGCCTGCGGTCAAAGCTACCGCCGACCTACAGCTCAAGGCCATTTATTCCCGATCCTTGAAGTCGGCCCAGACTCTGGCCAGCGGGACGCCAGATGTCGACCTCTACTCGGATGACTCCGGTACTGGCAAGTCCTATGATGATCTGCTAGCCCGTTCAGATATCGGTGCTGTGATTATTGGGTACGTCCTATAATATTCGCGCATTTATTACTTCCGATGACCTTCGGACTATGGGCTGATCGAGAAATATCAAGCCTCCCTATCTTGGCTCAGCCCGAGTTCATCAAGAGGGCTCTTACCGCGGGCAAGCATGTTCTCTCGGAGAAGCCTATTGCCAAGGATGTGGCTACAGCTCGGGAGCTTCTGCAATGGTATCAGAAGAGCATCGATCCTAACAAGACTATCTGGGCCGTGGGCGAGAACTTCCGGTATATGACCAAGTTCCTCTTCGCCGCCGAAAAGGTTCGGGAACTGGGCCGAGTCCGGCAATTCCGAGTCAACGTCCAGAGTCGGGTGAAGGAGGATAACAAGTACTACTGTAGGTTGGCCTGATCACAAATGCAACGCGAATCGTGCAAGCTAATCCCTGACCAAACATGCTCAGTGACATCCTGGCGCAAGACCCCGGAATACCAAGGAGGATTCCTCCTGGACGGCGGTGTGCATATGCTTGCCGGTCTCCGCTTGATTCTTGGTTCTACGGAGCATCTGGCTGTGGTCTCGGCTCAGACGCAACAGCTGCAGGACTACCTGCCGCCGGTTGATACCGTTGATGCGGTCGTTCAGACCAAGTCTGGTGCTACGGGTGTCGTCTCCCTGTCATGGGGTTCAGACTTTAATGACAACTCGTTCGAGTTTGCTTGCGAGAAGGGTGTTGTGACGCTGCAGTTTGACAATGTGACGGTGAATGGTGTTCGACACCATATCGAGTTCGATGGCAAGGGAGTAGTCCCCGAAGTAGCAGAATTCGCGTCGACTGTTCTTAATGGTCGTTCTGTCGCAGAGAGACAGTCACCAGAGCAAGCTTTGGCCGATTTGGAGGCGTTGGAGCAGATGTTGGAGAGTGGTAAGACGAATGGGGAACGGATGATGCTTCATTTCCAGGTTTAGAGTAATTTAGGCTTGAACAAATAGAAGCTCGTTTCCTGCAGAACAAACACATTGCTAATTGTAATTGTCGTGATCGAGATCATCCCATATACTTCGTAGGTAGATGGATAACAATCCGAAAGAGGAAGTCTTGGCAGGGCTTAGCCCCCATCAACCCTACTGATGACATAAGCAACACAACCGTCGCTAAAGTCCCCCAAAGCGCACTAGTGTGGACCGCCCACTCGTCCGCGCCAGTGCGAAGTTTTCGAGATTGACTACGTTCCGAATCGACAACTATCCAACGCCCGGCGAGACCCTGCAACACCGCCAAAGTGAGTCTCACTCCTACGCATCCCTCTCAACCCGTGTGCTCCAACCATACTGACGAATTTTTCTTCTGTCTTTCAAGATGGTCGCCGCAAAGAAGCATGTCCCCATCGTGAAGAAGCGTACGTTAACCGACCGCCCGACCGATTTGGATTCTCCCCCAACCCCAACCCCCATACGTTTTGCCTGGATAGCATCGCCCTTCGACCGACTGGCACTTCGAGAAGACCATTGAAACGAGGAAGAGGTGGAAAAATTCGGGATGCTCAGGAAGGATTGAGGAATGTCGGTCGTGTTGTAGAGAGATATCGAAATTCTCTCCAACTCGGTGATTCAGTCGAAGGGCATTGTTATCCGCTCAGGCATTCGAAACAAACCGACTTTTCACGACAACGATGGCATATATCTAGATGGAACCTAGGAGCTAACGTTGCCTCGCAACAGACACCACCCGCTTCTTCCGCCACCAGTCGGACCGCTTTATGCGTGTCGGTGCCTCGTGGCGCAAGCCCAAGGGTATTGACAACTGCGTCCGTCGCCGTTTCAAGGGTGTTATTCGCATGTACGATTTTCTCCCAACATTCCAGATTCCAAGTCTGGATTTTTTTTCTCGCCCATGGACATTTGATTGACCGATCATACTTTAGGCCCAAGATCGGTTATGGCTCCAACAAGAAGACCCGCCACATGATGCCCTCCGGCCACAAGGCTTTCCTCGTCCACAACACCAAGGACGTCGAGCTCCTCCTGATGCACAACCGCACCTACGCCGCTGAGTATGTCAACCCGCAAGCACCGGTCGACTAGTCACAAAGTCAACTGCAGATTTGGGAACACGAGAATGCATATACTAACCAACCCTCACAGGATCGCCCACGCCGTTTCTTCCCGCAAGCGCGTCGAGATCCTTGCCAAGGCCAAGGCTCTCGGTGTCAAGGTCACCAACGCCAAGGGCCGTGTCACCACCGAGGCTTAAATGGAATGAACCCCAAAAAGTTCTATATCCTTTTTCTTTTCGGTGGGGGAGCAGGAGCACGAGAGGGGTCGGGGGTTTTTGTACGGTCGTGATACTATCTATTTGACGATCACGAATTTCAAGAATTGTGCATGGCATACCGTGTGCGGCTCGCGCTTGGTCTTAGTGCTGGGCGGATAGAGCAAGAGAATCAATCTTTCTCTGAAATGACAAACAAAAATTGCAAAATCTTCTTTCTTGATACTGTGTTGTGCTATGGGTTGTATATGCCGGATGGAGTTTTTCAGTTACGGGAGATTGGATACACATTGGATACATGGTGTTCCCGTACTCCGTAATGAGTGTCAAGGCGATGTTGCGGACTGAAGGGCGAGACATCTTCAGATTGCCTCGATAGGGTCTGGCCCAAAACATCCTCCCTTTGACAGGTCGTGGACAACATAGGCGATATCGTACGGCTTGTAGCTTTCCCTTGTGCGATACGATCCAACAGATCGACATTGAAGAATGCCAAGTGCTGCGCCAAACTATAAACCAGGGTAGCTCACGATAAACTCGGTTCATGATAGACCTAAATCCGACTGCCTAAAGTCCCGAACCCCGTTTGTCCATGACGCAGGGTTCTCCTGTGAAGGCGCAACCCCCCTAATTCCCTACTATCCCGCACTGTTCCCCCCCCCCCTGGGATGCATATTATTCTTGGAACATGGCATCAGAGTTGACTGATCGTCCCCGCCCCCACTGAGAATCCTGGTTTTAGTCTCATCCCGTTCACTGGTCCCGGGCCCTTGTGGTAACTTGTCAGCATGCGATACTGTACTCCGTACACAATGCCCTTGGAGCCAACATCCGAATGATCCACGGCCAAGCTTTCAGGTGACGGTTGAGTAGCTTATCCCCGAGACTCCCGACGCTAGGCCGATCGATCCATTTCGACACAGGAGGAAGAATCAAAAAAAAAAAAGAATAAACCACTAGATGGTCCAGCCAGCTATCATTACTTTCTTGGTCAATCGGAGCGGTGCCACATGCGAGGCCTGGGCCAATGTCAAGTCTGCAACCGGTCAGCCCCAAAACAAGGCTCCACCACACTGGGTCTCTCGCGGTCTTTCTCAGGGCTTATTGACACCCGGTCTGACTTAAAGGGACCTCCTGGAATGGCTGGAACGAGCTGATCGGAGAGAGCGACAGCGACACAGAGCGTTTATAATCGATTCGATCTCCACTCCTGGGCCATGGAGACTCGAAGGACTCCTTCGCCATCTTTCTCTCTTCTCTCCCGCTCATTTCGCGGTCTCCTCCCCTCTGCCCCCGCACGATGCTCGCCCTACCTGCCCGGTATGGGCGATGGGTCCCGATTCTGGCCCCAGTGACTCTCATCCTGCTCTTCCTCCACCTAAACGCCGGCCTGAGCACGCAAAAAGCTCAAGTCATCCTCGAGCCAGAGCTCAAACCACCAACAAATAATGAAACCGACTCTATCATACAGGCAGATACAAACACAACCTTGACACCAGAAACAGAAACACCGACATCGCAACCATGCCGCCCACTGCCGGGCATCGAAAATGTCTTGGTGATAATGAAAACGGGCATAACCGAAGCCCTGGACAAAGTCCCGGTGCATCTCCGCACGACGTTACGCTGTATCCCACACAAACTCATCGTATCCGATTTCAAAGAAGAAATCGCCGGCATCCGCACCCATGACGTCTTCCGGAACGTTAGTGAAACGCTCCTAACGAATAGCGACTTTGCCCTCTACAATCGTGCCCGCGCCGGCGGCCGCGATGCTCTCCTCCAGTCCGACCTGACCAAAGTCGCCAACAGTGCAGCCGGCATGTCGGACAACCCCGGGTGGAAATTGGATAAATGGAAATTCCTGCCCATGATCCAAGAAGCACGGGCGTATCGCCCGGACATGCAGTGGTACTTCTTTCTCGAGGCTGATACGTACCCGATCTGGCCGAACGTGCTCGCCTGGCTGGACCAGTTTGATTCGACCGAGAAGTTGTATCTGGGGAATCAGATGCAAATCGGGGATGTGATTTTTGCGCATGGCGGGTCCGGGTTTGTCTTGTCGCATGCTGCGTTGCATGCGGTGGCGGAGTATCATTCCGGTCAGGTTGATCGGTGGAATTATTTGACGGAGACTCAGTGGGCGGGGGATTGCGTGTTGGGCATGGCGCTCGGACAGGTCGGGGTGGATTTGACTTGGTCCTGGCCGCATTTTACGACTCAGTCGGTTTGGGAACAGGATGCGTTGGGTGAGGCATTCGGCAAGGTTCAGTGGTGTTATCCTGCTTTGACGTTTCACCATATGATGCCCACGGATATCGATCGCTTGTACGAGTTTGACCGGAGGTGGTTCTCCAACGTGAGTATCATCTTTGAAGTTGATTTTTATTTCGAGTTTGACCCTGCTAACCCTTGATTCAAGGAAAACAACACTGTCCTCTTATACAGCGATATCTTCCGCAACTTCATCCGCCCCATGCTCGCCGACCGACTCGACAATTGGAGCAACTTTGCCAATGATGAAGTCAAGCACGAACCTGAGAACCCAGCGTCCGAGCCCGAATCCATCAACCAATGTGCCGAACGTTGTGCCCGAACCGCGGGCTGCCTCCAGTACCGCATGGACGCCGACGGTAAATGCTATACGTCAGAATGGGCCCTGCGCGGTCTTCCAAGTCCCGGCGTATGGTCGGGAACGATGATGTGGCGCATCGATGCTGCTATACAACAGAAGGGCCTATGTGAGAGGCCCATGTGGGTATTGGAATAGGTGGGGCTGAGTTAAAAGTTCGATCTTGTTTTGCGTCGCATATAGATGCCTGGAATCTTTGGTTCAGATACATTATTGGGATGTTTGGGATGCATTGAGCGAAAATGGGGTTTGCATGGGACATGGTTTCGATTGGCGTTGGAGCTTTGGAAGGATTATTGGGTATATAAATTGTATTGATCCATTCACAATGGCGCCTGCTTCTTTTTAGAAAGAACACTTAGATGAAGATTGTGCCGGCTGACCTGCAACTCCGAATATGGATTACCAGGTGTGTTTCGTTATCCATCAAGACATACCTAATTGCCCGCTGGCAAAGGACTACGTATGCTAGTGAGAGGGTAGACCGTACTCCCAAAGGTATGTCAATAATGTCTTAGTATCTATTTACGCTCAAGACCACAGTGTTATGCAAGCACTGGGCTCTCTTTGCTGATAGTTACTGACAGTAATGCTTACTCAACCACGTCCTTGAACACCATTCTTCTTGGTGTCCCAATGAGAGGTCTACATAGCATAGAGAGGCTATAGCCTCTGGAGGGCCACACTTTTGGCAAAAGTGACGAATACTCGATGCAGACTTCACAACCCCGGATACTTTTAGAAAAGAAATCTAGAACAAGACTCTCATGCAAACCTAATTCCATAAAACCCCTCCAACGTATCACTCCCCCGCCCACTCAGCAGCCTGCTCCAAGCCCTCCCATACAACCCCTCCCCATCAATTACCGCCTTAGACATCCACTCCATCCTCTTAGCCTCCTCATTCATACCAAGTGTACACTCCAACTTCGCCGCAGTTCTATTGCAGATATATAGAACATTATTGAACGGGCGGGGTTGGAGTTGGGTTTGTGGTGACCGGAGTGTTTGTCCTTGAGTGCTTGTCAAAGCATACAAATTCTCTGATGCCTAACATACATATCCGAGGTGGACATACATTAGACAGCGACGAAGTAGTTTCTAAGTACTGGTGGGAGGATTGCGTTTAGGGTGGAGAAGTCTCAGGAAAGTGCTCTATCAACAGCCCATTTCTAATGACCAAAGCCGAAAAGCAAGGTATACAAAATAACCCATCTTTCGCTGTCTATACAGAGATATGGTATCATGAACCAGAACGTAGCTTTTGACAGACTCGAAATGCGACAAAAGCCCCAAATGCAAAAACCCAGCAAGAGTATATAAGATCATTTACGGGTTTGCAGGAGTGGGTGTCGCCGTCTCCTTTAGCTGGGAAACATCATCCGTCAGACCATGCCTCGGGTCTGAAAAGTCAACCATGCCGACACCCGTGACAAGCACCGTGCTGGAAATAGGCTTTGGCTGCTCATTTTCATCGTCAACACCAATCTCCGGAGGAACGGTACCATGACCGAATACGATTTCCTCGCTTTCGGGAACGGGAACCCAGTCTGGGACTTCATGAGGGCCTTCTGATCCAGGAGGTGGGAGACCCCAGGATGGCATTGGACTGCGGTAACCCCAGTCACCGTTACGGTCAGCATAAGCAACGGCGTGCAGGAAGATACCAAGCTCGTGAGGACCCGGATCAGTATACAGCTCCGTTTGGCAAACATCGCAGAACTTGCCGGAGAGACGCTCGCCCTTGCGCTTCTCGTACTCGTCCGAGGCAGCTTGCTGCTCCCGGGCCATGATATCCGCTAGAATGGCGGGGTCGGTACCCGGGGGAACATTGGGCGCAGCGGTCAAGTGAGTGCGGTATGAGACGGTGTCGGCAACTTCCGTCTTGCCCATGCGATGAAGTCGCTCCATGATTTCATCGTCACGGTCACCGCTGGTCTCGTTGCGGCCAAGCTCTGGTCCAAAGACGCGACGGTTCGAGTAAATGGGATCATTGGTGATAGGATGGCCCAAGAACTGGAGGTGCACACGAATCTGGTGGGTCCGTCCAGTCAAGGGGAAACAGTGAACAACACTGTACCCCTCGTCCTCATTGGCGAGAACGGGCGGAGGAGTCACCGCGCGATCGCCAGAGGCAGCGTGCTTCTCGGCAGAAGCAACCGCCGCCTGAGGAGGATAATATGCCAGACGGCGGAACTTGGTCGTGGCCGACTTGCCCGTGGCCCGCACCCGGTTCAAGCCCAGCTTCGGACTCACTTGCATGATGGGCTGGTCGCAGACCACCACGCCGTCGGGGAACTTGCCCTTGACGCGAGCGACGTACTCCTTCTGCACGGTTCGCGCCATCAAGGCTCCCGCCATTTTCTCCGCACCCTTGGGGTGTTTTCCGATAAACATGATTCCCGACGTCAATCGATCCAGCCGATTGCACGGTCTAGGAACCCAGTCATGGCCTCGCTCTGCGCGCAGAATCTCAACGACCGAATTGTAGTGGTAGCGACCTGCAGCGTGAACGGGCACACCGGCCGGCTTATCAATGACGATCAAGTCATCATCTTCGTGGATGATACCGATCGGTGCGCTGGTCACGGCGGGTTCGTGGCGGTGGGTGGTATGGGAGACGACTTGGCCGTTCTTGATGATGGTGTCTCGGCCAGCGGGCTTGCCGTTGACGCAGATCAAGCCGTTGTCGAGTGCGGCCCTCTATAAGATATCTAATTAGCTTCAAGCCCAATTGTAAATTCCCTCCACGGCCAGATATGATCATACATAGTACTCAGGCGCTCGGTCTCGGAATTCAGAGGTAAAAATGTCCTCCAACCTCTTACCCCGCCATCGCTCCTTGCAGTTCGTGTTATAGGTGTAGTGATAAGGCCGGACGCGACGCAGGCCCCGTTCCATGTAATACGGCGCAGGCCACGGATCACAAGGGGTGACAATCACATCCGGAGTCTTCTCGACTGGAGGAGGCACCTGCAAAGGGGTGTCGACACTGACGAGGGCCATGCAGGGCGGTGGGGGCAGAGGATATTTGCCTCGCCGCAGCAGATAGGCCGTGATTCGAGCTGAAGGAGCCAGCGAGAACGGTGATTGTCAGAAAATCGAGTTCACGATTTATCTCTGGAGCTGAGGTTTCTTTTTGGGCGCGCGTCGAGGAGGGTTGCGCTGTTGAGGGTGGCGGATAATAGAGTTTGGGCGGAAGAAAAAAATTGCGATTAGCGTTTGATAAGGCCAGGCACAGTAGTTAAACCTTCCAGTTGACTAAAATAGGAGTAAACAATATATACTACAGGTTGAAGGACAGACGAGCTGGACTATACTGCGGGTATATCATTGGCTAAAGAACCTGCTATGCTGCCATTTAGCGGACGCCTTCAGGAGTAATCATTCATACTACCAACGGAATACTTTGTATTCGATAGTGTTAAATGTTGAAATTCAGATGCCATGCGCGTGGATCACCCGCTTACCTAATTTACAGCCAACCTCGGTCCCAAGTTCCCCGAGGGTGCGGAGATGCCGTCGCAAGGAGAACGACCACCCCAGTGATTAATTGTTTCTTCAGATACCGCTGTGTGGATTCTTAAGTTTTAGTTTCTTGTCAATATCCCCGATAAGTCTCTGTTCATACACATACAACAATGGCATCTTCAGACATCCAGGCCAAGAAGAGCCGCAAGCGCAGTGACTATGGCTACCACCAAGTACACCAGACAAGATGGTACTGTGCCGGCCCGATTCCTATTTCCTCTCCAACCTCGTTACCAAAGATCAAGTTCCCCGTCAGCTAACATACTATATCTCTGACTAGGTTCGATAACGACATGTACGCACACCTAAACAACACAGTCTACACCGCCCTCTTCGACACCATCGCAAATGCCTATCTCATCCAGCACTGCGGCCGAAACCCCTTCAGCGTCAACAACCCCACCCCCAAAAGCTCCCCAGGCGAACCATCTAACATCGCTATTGGCGACGATCAAATCGGTCTCATTGTCTCCACGCACTGTGAATTCTTTGCATCGGTCGCATTCCCGGATGTATTGGAGGTCGGATTGCGTGTTGCTAAGCTGGGCTCGTCGAGTGTGACGTGGGAGATCGGGGTCTTTCGACAGGGCGAGGAGGATGTGAAGATGGTGGGGAATTACACGCATGTCTTTGTATTGAGGGAGACTATGCGTGTTGGGAACGGGGGGATGGCGAAGGAAGTGCGTGAGGGTTTGGAGAAGTTGCTTAATTCGCCTGGGGCGAAGCTGTGATAGGCTAGGGAAACTTTGATAGGGACTAGATATTAAATGTGAGACGTTTCCATATGCAGATAGTGCTAGAGTACCCGATATGCAGGTCGAGAACACTAGATAGAGCACAATTTGGTCTAGACGCGCCAATTGGGTGATATACCTGTCGGCATTTCAAATCACGGTTGAGTAAGATATGGGCAAGGCGACCCGAAATACCGTAAATAGAGCAATCGTACGAAGGAAGAGGATCAAGAAGTTGGGTCGGTGTAATCGCAGCGAGAATTGAATTTCCCTCGTCTTGCGATCGTTCATCACATTAATTCTATGGAATGCGCACGCCTAGGGGACCATCCCTATTCTCCAGTGCAGATCACTCGAAGTGATTCAATCAAAAGCAAAGTCTAATCTGATAAACCTCTATGACGACCTGCCCATCGTAAAACAGACCCGAAAGAGAACATGAGTGATTTCGTTACAACATCAAAAGCACTTTTATTGTAAACCCAAAACCGAAAACATTGACACGCTGGAACGCTGCCCGAAGCCAGAATAGAAAGGAAAGCGTTAAGTAGGTAAGCGTTGAGGACGAATACCATTTGGAAGTGGTACATAATAGTTTGTTGCTCGTATGAGCTGTTCAATCGAACTTGCCAGCAATGACACTGCTGCACCGAGATACGTTGGCACTGGTAGGAGGAGAGGCACCACGACGCATGGTTTTTCCATCCTCATCGAGGTACCACTTAGGGTAGGGACCTGGGATGAACCGTCCCTGGGCATCCCAGCCAGCGACCCAGTGAATGCCGTCGTCAAGAAGGAAGAAACGGAGTCGCTCGGGTGGACTACCCTTGTGCAGAGGAGCCGAAAACCAGCGGCAGCGATCTTCGAGCTCGGCTTCGAACATGTATCGGTGGAGGATGCGGCAGTAAACCAGAGAAGCGGGGACCTTTTCATCCTCGTCGGAATCATCGCGCCGGACAAGGTGCCAGCCCCGACCGGGGTAGAACTTGTAGGTTCCTGGAATGGGGCTATCCCAGTGCTGTTCGCGATTCACGTTGCCATCGATGCGTTCGCCCTTTTGGAACCAGTAGGACGGGCAGCACAGGGCGCGCAGGCAGATGAAGAGGTTGGGGGCCATGACTTGGAGATGGCGATATAATTCAAGAAGGAAGGCGGGCGAAGCTGGGGGAAAGAGTCTCTATAGACTACCCCAAATGTAATAGATGGAAGAGAGGTCCGAGGGGTATTGGACAAAGCGCTGAAATGCAGAATGATCGAGAGGGCGACACGGATGCTATAAGTGGACGTCCATGGTGATAAACAATCGAGATCAATCAGACGAAATCGAGTTTTTGGAATGGAGTTGAAGGGCCCTTCAGCTTTCAGAGAAGCTTGATGGAAGGTCCCTGGAGGGTTGTGCTCTTAAGACACAAAGAAGTGGATTGGCGCAGAAGCCACGGGTCGTGATTCAAGGAAGAGACTGGCTGAGAATGTCCAATGAAACCGGGATCTGAGGAATAGAAGAGGAGATACGGAGTCGAGGTGTCGCGTTATCGTTGCGGTGAAGGACGACCCGACTTCCCCGGTTTGCAAATCTGAGTAACTCGACGGGTCGGAAAGGGCCGTGATAAGCTTGCAGCTAGCCTCGGTGTAACGGGGACCGGCTTGGGATTCAGGAATGGGAAGCTGGGGGAGGAGGAGGAGGAGGTGAAAGAAGAAGGATCCAGGACGAATCAGATGGAGACCAGCGGACGAATTAGAGTGCGGGATTAGGCAGCTCAGACGTCGGCAACGGGCAGATGCAGTTGCGCAAGACAGCCGGTGTTAGAGCTCAACGCAGGCGCATGGCAGATATGAAGCATTTGACTGGAGGAAAGTCGACATGGTTGGTTATAAGGTCGGTAAGTTATAAGGGGACAAGCAGGGAGGTAAAAACAAGAAATGTGTGAGCGATTATTCTGACCATTGGGGGCGGTCTGAAAAAGTCAGTTGCCACTGATCCAGTCAACTTTTCCCGAATGGAGTCGTCTAGACTCCGCCAAAACTGTTTCGATGATGGAAAGCGTGGGAAAATGTGGAAAAGGTGGAAAAGGTGGAAAAGTGGAAACGACCCCGTTTGGTTGGGTTGTGTGATCGCTGATATTTTTTTTCAAGGTGGATACCTTCTTCCCAAGTGGTTCTTAAAGGGGATTTTTTTTTCTTCGAACTTTTATTTAGGCTTCTACGCTTTCGTAATTCTTTTTTTTTGGTTCACTATGAATAATAGTGTGCCTATATACAGACTAGTCAGTGTCCACTATGCTCTATATTGCAATTGCATGCGATTGTAATGACAACAATGATCAGTCTCACCATCTGACTCTTACACGCCAAGCCCTTGGCATCACGCCTCGGCAAGCCGTCTATGGTGTGGCGCAGTCCTGGTAGTGTTGCTTTTTTCAGCCTTATGCTTTGGTGGCTAGCAGCTCAGGCCCAGGGCCAGCCCTCTGACGCATATTCTAGTATCGATTTAGAGTTTCGGTATGCTTGTGTCTCTCCCGAGCTGCTTAATTGGGTCTCACATTTTTCTCCTTCCTTTGTTTTCCTCGACTACTTAGCGACCGGGCAAGATCGGAATATCGTGTCGAGCAATGACTCCTAGTATCTCCGATGCACTACCCCCCTCTGAGTAGACTTGGCAGTTCTAAATTGAATCATGCAATTCATGATGACTATAACTTCAATATTGATACCCTGCCAAAGATCGAAATCAATTTCAATCTAGGCTCCGCGCGCAGCCTAAACAAGATATGCGACCGCTGCTGGGCCGGTGGCCTTGAAACCACTGCAGGGCCTCTATTAGAGAGTCTCTGTGTAACCTGGAATACTGGCTTTGAAATATACCAACAAATTTGACTCTCATATCTCTGACCAATGCTTTTTGCCGATACCACGGATTAATTCCAGTAGCAAAGGGGCCCCGCGATTTTCGGGGCTCACGCTTTGTCCAGCATACTGAAATCAGCAAGATATGCTGGACTTGGGTGGTCTGCTCAACCCTTGAGCTCTTAAGGTTGAAGCGGCCACGTTCCAGCAATTATAACCCAGTTGTGATGCGGAAAAAAGTGAAACCTTGCATGTTGATACGAGGTCTTAAGTCAAACGAACCTATGACTTTTGGGAATAACCTTCAGAACGCTGTAGGACGTTTAAATGCAAGCACCATGAATGTCAAGCATTAGGGCTCAGGCATTTATGGAGTCACCGAGCCAGAATGCTCATATACGTTAATCGAAGAAGAATTTCGTGGTGGTCAACGAAGAGTAGTGGTTGCAGTGCAATTCTTGAACACTTCGTCACAGATATACAACTAGGACAATCTAGAAAAACCTCAAGTTAAGCTGCCTACCTACTGAATTTTGGTCCCGCTAGTACGGAGTTACATGTCCCCTTCTCATGGGTTTGACCTTTGATGTTAAGCTCTGAAGTTTAATACGATCTGCAGAGTCGCATGTCGATGAAAGATCACTGGGACAATGTTTCTTCAGTCTCAATCATAAGAAAGAGTATGGTGAAACTGAAATAGCAATACAGAAACTCTCACTCAGCAACCTCAACAACCAACTTTGTACAACTGACACCTTGAAGTAGCAAGTCCAACCCGGCATTAATAGCCCCCAAACCCTTTCCTACGACCCTCAGCTCCGGACTCGGCCTGATAACTCCTTTGCCCAAGTTCTCCCTCAACCAAGTCCCCATCCAATATCGGAACTGAGCCAACCTCTCCTCTTCATTCGCTGATGGCATCACGAAGATGGTTTCCACCCCGCTGACCTTCTCTGTGTCCGGAGGAATAACTGGTGCTGACGCAATCCTTGCCTTCTGGCTTTCTCCTACATGATCACCCCCGAGAAAAGCCTTAAGTACAGTCTGACACAACGCCAATTGACCCGTAGCAAGGAAGCAGTGTCGAATCACTAGGCCGTCTGCTCTGGCCGCTGAGACAATTGCATCCACAACCTGTGGATCTTTGTAATCAAACACGCGATTCGCGCCGAGAGAGGCTATGTACTTGTGATTAGCTGCACCTGCCGTGGCGTATACTGCGGAGAAAGAAGAATCACGATCTTCTCGTAGTAGCCGGGCAGTTTGCACGCCCATCGTGCCCACGCTGGAGGAAGCGCCCCAGATTAAGAGGGCTTCTCCTTTTTGTTTCTTGGTCTGGGTTCCTTCGCTTGTATTGGAACCGTCGTGGGCAGTGGAGACGGAAGTAGGAGCAGTCGCTTCGCCCAACCGTGGAATGCCCATGATATCCCATGCATTCAGGGGAACCTCAACAGAGACGGGCAAAGTTGCCGCTTGATTCCAAGTAACTCCATCATCAAGGAGAGGCACGGCATGCTGCCAGGGGACGATGCACCGTTCTTGAAAGGCACCATAGTCAGGATCGCAAGACCTCCAGAAGGAGGCAGCGAAGGCGGCCACACGGGTGATACCCGGTCGGAAACAAAGCCCAGTTTTCACATCAATCTCACCGACGGGGACATTCTCGCCCACTTCAAGGACTAGTCCCGAGATATCGAAGCCGATGACTGTAGGGTAGGTGGGTATGAAGAGGCCTAGATCGCGCATCAAGCGGTCTGCAGGGTTAAGGGCGACGGATTTGACATCGATGAGGAGCTCGCCTGGGCCTGGTCTCGGCGTGGACCGGGCTTGGAGCTTCAACGGTTCGCCTTTTGCGACAGCGATGGCAGCCATGTGAGTGGTCATTCTGGACTGCTTTCAAGGTGTTGACGTTGACAAGGATACAGTAGAGGATGGTATCCAGGGTCAGGTATTATGCTATGAACATTAGCAGTGGAGTTTCTTCGCGCAAATGGCGAGGAAATTTCTTCCCTTTTATAAGTGAGGCTATCATTCCAAGCTAATTATTCTTCGGCGCAGTGACGTGCCTGCTCATTACGACTCCGTGTTGATCATAACTTCTATAGATGATGCTGAACTTGTAGCCAATCAGAGACCCGTGCATCCGAGGAACAGTTAGCGTATCAAGGTGGGATATCCGAAAGAGGGTTAGCTTATCTGGGCGCCCCTAGATGTGACAGACCATGACCACCACCACCATCTGCTCCAAATCTCTCCGGCATTGAGGAAAACCCCGTCACAGACAAGTTGTCTAAGTAATGACTCTGACTTATCCAAGGGAAGTACAGGAGAGCAGGGCTAAGCAAAGGTCAAGATTTGGCTGCCGAAATTGCAAACTACGAAAACTAAAAGTGGGTAGCCCCAGGCTTTCAGTAGATGGTATGATGGCTGACCGACCGTCCTGGACTACAAAGTGTGATGAAGGCAAACCGCAATGCAAGAGATGTCATTCATTTGGGGTACTATGCAATTTCATGTCTAACGTGCCCGACCTCCAACCCATCGCCGCTGACACGGGCCGACTATTGCCCTCTCTCACAAATGCTGTCTGGACATCTGATGCATCGACTTTCTATGAATTGAACACGAAATGTCAAGATTTTATCACCCGGTATCTGGGCCGAAGTCTGATTACACCGGATGACCCTCATATGATACAAGTCAATCGCAAGCTCTTGACACTAGCCTTCACCGTAAGTTTTCATGATGTGAATCCTGTCGCCGTAGACAGAATACACGCCATATTGTCCATTATGGGCGTAAGCTTGACTAATATATGATTTGCAGTACCCATTCTTAATGCACGCCTCTCTAGCTGTAGCACTTACATATGACCGTCATCTGAATGGCCACTCGGACTGTCGTCGCACCCTACCAGAGTGTTATCACTGGTCCCAAAGCACGATCCTCTTCAATAAACGGCTAAGGCAACCGATCGAGGCGCAAGATAAGGACCCAATATGGGGCACTGCCGCTGCTCTAGTAATATTAACATTCTCATCCCCCGATGCATGCACACCGGAACAGTCGTGGCCTTTAAAATCCTCATCATCTTCTGACTTGGACTGGCTACGCATGAGCCAGGGCAAAATGTCATTATGGCATATTGTTGACCCATTACGATCGGACAGCCTATTCAGCGTCATGACGGCGACATTTGCTCGTATGCATTCACCATTACCCGAAAGGGGTATAGATGGTATACCGCCAGCCTTGGCCGTCGTGTGCGACCTGCATGGCTCATCTACGGCGAGAAATAATCCATATTTCCATGCCGCCCATGGTTTATCCCAGATTCTGGATCTACCGGATGGGGAGGTCACAACTGGTCACATTCAACTCTTCCTGCGGAGTGTCCATGGTTCCTTTGAATACCTGCTTCGGGAAAGGGACCCGGTAGCGCTGTTGTTGCTCTATCTATGGTACCGCAAAGCTAGTCGCAGTATATGGTGGATTGAACTTCGGGCTAGAGTGGAGTGTCCTTCGATTTGCATGTATTTGCAACTGTATCATAAGGACAGTGCTACTTTACAGGCATTCCTCCCAGGAGGAGCTCTCGCCGATGGGTGGAATTAGTTGGAATATTGAAGCATCGTCCCAAGTTGCTGGCTCATTTCGAGCACTGAAAGATCTGCAATGCTGCATAAGGTCTATTACGGAGATCTCTTCTGCCTTATTAGCTACTGAAACTTCCAACTACAACGGGAAAAACCAGACCCAGAAGGTGTAATCGCAGGTCTAGCTTGAGGTAGAGGGTATGTATGTGCAATAACAGACAAAGAATTACCGAGAAAAACACGCCACAATGCCAAACCACCTATCCAGAACGCTCAAGTACCCAAGAAAACTTCGTTATAGAAGAACAAGAGCCCTTTCAATCAAAATTTTTCACGCAGGTGGTCCATCAGAAATCGCGAAACGGTATCATAAAGTCATGAATAATAATAGTACAAGATATGGCAGGGATTATTTCTTTTCGTCAGTGGATGAGGCGTTGACCGGTTCAGTTGTGGAGATACCCGGTGTTTCTCTGGAGTTGCGGATTGTCTGATCTCCACCTTCGAGTGTGGTGCTCGCAGGGCCAGGTGAGTTGGCCGCCGGGGTAGCATCCGGGGTGCTGTCAGGCACACTTTCAGCCTTTTGGCTAGTTCCCACAGCACCCTCGGCGAATGGCGCTGACGGATCAGCCTGCTTTTGAACCCAGGGTAGGAAAGATTCTTGGACCGATGCGAAACGGGTGCGCGCGGTGGGTGCAGTAATGTCGTCGACGTATTGAATGCCGCCCTGCCCGCGATTCTCGGCCCAGGCTTTTTTCTCACGACGAAGGTCACTTTGAACCCATGGGATGGTGATCAACGTCCATACACCAGCCCAAGCAAATGGTAGGGTCCAGCCCAGCTGTTTATCGTATTAGTATATTTCAGTTTCCCATAAGCCAACCATTCATTTCCCGAAACTTACGGTGAATGCAACGGGTTCCGAAACAGTGAAGATGATGGCAGTGAAGACTGCGGCAAAGATGATCGACCCCCCGCTCCAGAAGCAATTCATTTCAAAAAGCATTCGTCGGAAGTATGGACTGGAGAGATATCGGGTCCGCAACGCATATCGATACATCTGACCTCCACCTCCATCGACCGCCACCACATCTTCGATCAGCGCATATAGTGCCGTCGGCATCACGGATCCTTTCGGCGTAGAGGAGATTCGGAAGGGCGCTTTGTAGCCCATCATGCGGAGGACGTCGAGGGTAAGGTGGACGATTCCGAAGTAGAACATGACTGTCGGGAGAACCATGGCGACGAGGCGCACTAGAATTTGTTAGTCATGATTCGTATGTAACTAAAGCATCTGAGATCTAACCGTAAGGTTCGGCAGGTACGGTTCCACTGTAATTCTGTCAGCCTGTTTGCAATTGCGCCGGGGGAAATTAACGACCACTTACACAATGAGCTCAATCGCTAGAATCAGCCACACGATGGTGAAGTTGATATGGAAAAAGTCCAGCTGCGCAAGGTATTAATACTTCCATCGCCAATTGCCGAATGTTGATATGTGTAAACCTACCCATGATCCCTTGGCGTTCAAAGGTCGGGCGCGCGATTTTTTGCGGAAGAGGTTGTATAATCGGTAGAAATATTCGAACACGGATACACCACCCAAACACGCGGTGACAATGGAAAAGACTGCCGCCTTGTATTAGTGATTGCCCTTTTGAGATTTCCCAACCTGGGGGGGGGGGGGAAGCTGTGCCACGTAGTTCAACATACCCAAATTATGCGAAAGATCGGTGAGGTACCATAATGTCCAGTACAAGATCAATGGTTGACCCAAAGTATCGATCACGAAGATTGTCCAAAAGATAGCGATCGCCTTCTTCCGAGTATGCAACGAGTAGGGGAGTGGTGGTGGTTCGGAGGGTAATCCGGAGACGGTGCCTTCCTCCATCTGCGTGGCAATGGTGGCGACGGCGCGAATCTGGGGGAGAGGCGATTCAGGAGTCGGCGATGGATAGCACAGCGGCCTGTTTGGTTGTTGATGGAGTGCTCGTTAAGGTGGGAGGACGTTGTAAGGTTTAGGACATGGCGGAATCGCTGAAATAGGGGAGACCTCTCGAACGCTTGATCGCTAGGAGTAGAGTCGAGAACAAAGGTTTGGACGATCGCGGGATCCTCTGTAAAAGCGAGTTTTTAATTTGCGCCGGAAACGACGGAGAAAACACGCGGGTACATCTGCGGCCACGCAAATTGGCGGTGGATGGAAGTACCTGACGTAAGATGGCCCGGTGATGTCATCCAAACATGGAGTGCACGAGTTACGTACCAGTGAGTATAATTAATCCAGTATCCACAACCCCTGTCAACTATACCAAGACGTTATGTTTCACTTGACAAGAATTTGACCAAGACCCTGCAACAATCAGGTTTATCAGGCAGGTCCGTGGTATTAATGATTGTCTTCTAGTCTCGGCTGACGTTCTCCTGTTCAATTTTTTTCGCCCTCCATGCCAAGCCCAGCGGCGTTTTCTACTTGCCACTACTGACACCCGGCCGTAACAGTTCGGCGCTCGCCCATTGGACTGGCTCCGAGAAGACATGATCGGACCCTATGAGGCCACAAGAAACACCCACCATTTTCAGAAATAAGATGCTGTCAGATAGCTTATCATTATGTTCGATTTGTCAACATCCCCGCCAGGAATGCGCATCGTCTCTGCCACTGTATGCCTTGCTTACTTGGATCTCGATTGGGTACAACTCACAGAAAACAGTGGTGTTGCGAAGAGGACTCGGAATATGAAAGTGGGAACTGCATCGCAGCTCGGCCGCCGATCTCCAGTCAGACTAACTTGCGGATCACTGGGTCCAATCCGACTCTCCCTGAATTCATAAAATTTCACAGCTTAGGGAACCGTCATTAAAGATTCGAGATCCGACTCGCCATCCACGATACTGCTTCCCTTACTCTTCAGTGTATTCCTATATACAAGAGCGAGAGTCTCAGTTGACTATCCTATGGGATACTAGAGTGCTAATATACTTCGATACTCCGACCCCCGTATTTGCACCCAAATCGGACCTTGACTGCCGGTTACCCCCAGGCTTGCCGCGGCGATCGGGATTCGGAGCCTGAAATCGCCGTGAGTCTTTTCTTGTGAAAGAACCCTAAACGGCCGGAGCCCGAACGCGGATGGCTCGGAGGCTTTAAGTTCTTATGATCCGCTTAGACAGCATCGTGGGTAATTAACTAGATACTCCGTAGCTATTACAAGCACAATAACCAATAACTGATAGCGAGCATGTACAGCACATCCACGTAGCAGAACATCTGCCCGCGCAAGTGGCAGCCAATAGGGCTGCATAGCTATGATCTCTTCTCATTCTGGTCGGAGCCGCAATGGTCCGAGGTTACAACAATACACTCAGAAGCAGCACTGCTTCCGTCTCAAAGCCTAGCTCCCTGATTCAACTCCCCAAGTGGTCTCTCATTCTGACCACGAAGCGATTTAGACCTTTCTTAGTGCCAATGAATGAGCTAGCAACCTTACATAGCAGGTGCTCATTGCGTTGCTTTGTCCGAATCCCACATTTCGCCTGTGAGGTTTATCTTTCTCAACTGATGAAGGTGATACATCAGACGCAAAGTAACGCGGCGACGGGCTTGGCAGCTACTCTGAGTCTACTTGGCTTTCTAACCACTCGGATCATTGCCTCGATGTAATCCTTCCCCTTGTGCGTTGTTGAGTTGTTTGATGGGAGTAGGCATGCCACCGAAGATATACGCCTTGCTTTTCTGTCATTTGTCTGATAAATCCAGAATGACTGCCAGGTGTAAGCTCACTGACGATTGAAAAAGGCTGATCTTGCTGTATCGGTCTTGGCCAGCACACCGCCCCCCAATGCTACTCGTCAGCAGCGCTTCACGACTAGAGACTTCCAAAGTTTATACAAATGCATTGCCTCAAAATCAGCCATAGTGGAGAAGCCAAGATATAAGCCGCATCAAACGCGAGATTTACCGACTGCTTGGGGAGCAAAGATTAACTTAATCTGCATGTCGCGCAAGACTAGCTTTGTCAGGTGCTACCCAGCGAAGGGTTTCAGCTGATATTATGGGGGCCAAATTTCAAGCGATAGCTTGAGGCCTTGTGGCTCACGATTCGACCCCGACTTTCTTTCACTCCGCTATTTTCCAGACGAAAGGTACACACCAGCCTTGTTATCGGGTGACTGCCACGCCTAAATCAGAACCCAATGATCTTCCATGGAAAGACAAGGGAAGCTGGATTATGCCTTGTCGGGCTGGGCGATGGATTTCATTGGCATTGAGAATTAGAGAACTTATAAAAGCAGGTGAGAATCCTCGAGGAAATTGAGATTCGAATAGACGCTTCCAATCTCAGTGACAAGCAAAAACGCACACTATCTCTTCATCATATCATCTCCATGTATTACGGATCGCTTCTTCCGGCATGCTTGACGCTACTTCTCGCCTCGTGTGCCCACGCATGCTCTCCTAGATCCGACTCTGGAGACTGGAACAATCCTATCGTCATTGGAAACGATGGTCCCGCTCCTGCAGCAACGCTGGGATATGCAATCAACCACTTTGGTCTCCTCACTACCAACCTCGAGGCCATGAAGCATTTCTACGGCAACATCCTGGGTATGAGACTTCTCTTCGACGCCCATCTTACCCCTGAGTATACCGTGACCTATATGGGCTACGCCCAGGGTGGTCGCAACGGCACTGGCTTCCAGAGCGGAGCCGAGCTCGCGCGCGACAAGAACAATCTGTACGGGCTCCTCGAGCTTGTTCAATTCAGCATATCGGATGATCATCTTGTGGCATCGACCAAGCGCACCAATACATTCAGCCATGTCGGACTTATTGTTCCCGATATAGCGAAGAGCCAAACTTATCTGGAAGAGCATGGTGTTACCTTTCTGAAGAAGTATGGTACACCTGTCACTGAGATGACTGGGCCGCTTCAGAACGCCTTTGGAATCGGCGAGTACGCAGGGGCACACATTGCTGCAAAACAGGCTCTGCTTAAGGCGCAAGGGTCGATTGGAATTGAGTTGTTGTTGATAGTTGAGGATCCTGATGGGAATATGGTGGAAATTCAGCAACAAGACCCTCCTCGCAGCTCGGTGTTGTGAATGTGACTCCGGAAGGCGGGACTGTGCCGTAATAGCCTAGCTAGGTAGATGTACAGTACTCCAAAGGCTAAAATATTAGGATATTAGATGGTTACGTGTCCTGATCTTGGTTTCGCATGTTCTGTCAACCAGGCTGAATTGTAGCAAATTGGTCTTTCAACTGGCGAGGCGAGAAATCTTAGTAGAGTTAGTCGTTCCACAGGCTAGCTGGTCTCAAATTATAATAATTACTTTCTTACAGTCACCAGTAAGAGCCCAATTTTTGTGCCCTGCTAGGACTCATCTGGTGAGAGCTAGGAGGGATGGCAGGCTCTCAAGTTTGGTGATCTCCGAGTTTGCGCCTCTGTTTCCAGGCAACAACCAGATGTGCGTCACGTGATAAAAGTGATGGCAATCACCGAATTCAAGTGACCCGCGTTCGAATCACACTTTTCGCTCTCAAAAATTTTCATCCCTCGCCGACTCTTTGACCTCCCCCAATCACTCTCCCGTCCTGAGTTGATGATTACTTCCCCCCAAATCGTTATGGTACAATCATGGCTCCTGGCTTACAAGAGCTAATTGATTTCCTCCTGAATGAGGTCGCGCTTTGCGGAAGCCAAGGTGTGTATAGCTCCGGAAGCTCCTAGACCCACTTTACTCAGCACGATGTATACGCACCGTGCCTCGCCTTTCACCGGCTGGATGGACCATGCATGTCTTACGTTGACGTACATTCATACTTCGTGCTGAGCATGTCCTCTCTGCACTGATGCCTTATGCCTTATTTCTCATGCTGTTGTTTTGCAAAATTCCAGCTGTCATGAATTGGAAGCTCTTATGCTCTCTACCAATAACGTGAATCGGAGATCTGACTAACCTGCATCTAGGCATGACCTTGCCGGAAATCCTCAAAACAATACATGACTTCTACAAAAATGCATCTCAAGACCCAAGCCAGCGAATCCAATCTGTAGATCGCCGCTTCGAAGCTAAGGTCTGGTCATGGCTCATACGCCATCCAGAAGTGTCTGTGACACCGAGTGGTGAATGGCAGCACCTTAGTTTGGAGGACGCAGAGCAGAAGAATCGCGAACTTGAAGAAAGCGCCAATCACCATGCTCCTGAAGCCGATGGAGATGAAGCTGAAGCCGAAGCCTTGCCCGTATCGTCGTCCATCCGCGTCTTCGTTTCTAAGGAGAGGATGTGGTACGCTCTCACTGGCCATGAGCCAGATGATACCAAAGTTCCCGCGAGCGAGTTCCTCCTACTCTCTATCATTGCTTCCCGCAAATCCGACGGTATCGCCCAAACAGACCTCGTGCGGCTCAGTGGTCAAGACAAACGTTCCGTCCCTAAGCGGACAGACGCCCTAGCTCAGAAGGGCTACGTCGAGAAACGCCCAATCCAAATCAAATCAGCTCGAACCAGTCTGGTCACCTTTCGACGATTCGTCAAACCAGCGAGCGTTGAGTCAATGGTCGAAGGCACTTCCGAAGGCGTTCCAGAACGTCCCATTATCAACTTTGATGCATTCAATGCCAAACTGTTCGAGATTTTAAGAGAATTTGGCATCATTTCACGCAATGATCTCAAGAGACGTCTGGAGTTCGGAGATCGTTGGCGCTGGCGTGTTTTGTCGCGGGCGCTTCGCAAGTTTGAAAGGATAGGAGTCTTGAAACGAGTTCGAGCGAAATCTCAATACAACAAGATCCATCCTTGTGTGATGCTCATCCGCGAGCCCACAGAGACCGATATCGCCAAATTCAATGCTGTTAGTGGGGACTTGAACCGGACTGCAGATGACCAAGCGGATGCCGACGACGATATTGACGATGCTGCCGAAAATGACCCCACTGGTGCAGATGAAGGCGCTATTGAAATGGAGAAGGACAAGCCTGTGATCGAAGCTGAGCGGCTCGTGCCGTCATGGACACCAGATCGCCCCGTGGGAAACCAAATCTTCGACGTTGTGAATAATTCTGGGACGGAAGGGATCACCAATCATGTGCGATTTCTAACTACTCAACTTGACCAAAGATTGATTGCTAACAAACCTTCTTTCCAGGATATCAACCGCTTCTGCTTTGGCAGCATCTACCGTCGACCTTCAGAAAGCGCGCTACATCGTCTTACTGATTGTTGGCAACTGTCACAGCCACCTCACCTTCGACACCTTGCCATCGTTCGGGACACAGCGATCCAGAGGACCACATTCTTCTACATACATTACTCAGCCAGTAACTTTGCGAAACTGGTGGAAAGCGGCGAAGCATCATGGGAGGCTGTCGAGTTTCCGGCGGGAAAGGCCAAAGCGGCGAAGTGTGTTATTCCTGCAGTTGACGCTACTGTTCAGCGTGACAAATACGGCTTCCATGAATCAAGTGCCACTAAACTGTTGGTGAAGAACGGCAACGCAAGCTTGTTCGAGGCACTTGCAGTCTGCAAGCCGCCCACTTACCTTCTGTCAAGCAGTGATCCAATGCCAGTGAGGCTTCCGGATGGTCATTTCAGTACGTACTCAGAATGTGCTCAAAGTCAGGGATATTTTAGTTGACTGATGAATCGCAGCGGTTGATATGGGGAGACTAGCTGTCACAGGAACTATCATACCATCGCCAATTAGCGCCCGCCGCCATGGAGGCCGTCCAAGAGGACCGCGGTACAAGGCCGCTCGAAAACAGTCAAATCTCTCTAAAATGGAGAGGAGCTCCCCCGGAATTCCTGATCCCAATGACCCTGAGGAGATGGAACTGGATCATGTTCCGCTTCAGATGCCAGAACACCTAACCTGGGAACAACCTTCTCGTCAAACTCCAAGAGTCGGTAACAAGCGTGACAAGCTGGAAGGCCTTTCAGAAAAGGAAAGATTTGAAGCACTAGGCATGGACGAGACTTGGACAGAGTACAACGTACTTGTCAATGAATGCCCCAACCCTGGGGTCTACGTCACACCACAAGGAAAGAGGAGACCGGCTGGGAGAAAGCAAGGCCGTCCCGCGAGAAGCCGAATTGCAGTTTTCAAATCCGCAAAATTGGCTTCTTTCTCCTGGTTCCAACAGGAAAGCCGCGAAAGGGATCACACGGCTGTTGAGAAACAGGAGGCGCCAGCCTTGGCTGGCGCTCGCCAAAACGGTGTTCCTATCGCGGTCCCCTCCGAACCTAGCTCCGAGGAATTCGCAGCTTTACAATCAGCTGCGAATGTGCAACCCACTCCAAGGACTTCGTCCCGGCGCAAGCGGGCCCAAGATGATTTGGATTACATTGATTCGCCAACTCCAGTGCTCAGTGCCAATGAAGGGCTCCAGCATGGCACGAGGCGACCACAGAAACAGCCTCGTCTTATCGAGCCCGAAGATGAGGCTAATGGCGCGCTTGCAACGGTTCCAGAGAGTGCAGCGCCAGAAGCGACTACTAGGATCTCCGCAGAAGTTGAATCGGCCCCGGCTATCACTCGCGATAAGAGTCCTACTGTACACGCACTCAGCGACGTAGAAGCCGGAACGGCTGCACCTAAGCGGCAACGCATTGGCTCTCCGGATCAAACCGCCGCGTCGGAAGATACCCAAACAGCAAGAAGTGAGGCTTTGAAAAGCCCTGCACAGCGAGGATTGGGTCGCACTCGAAGAACACCTCAGCCTTTCTCGAGGAATTGGCTCTCCAAGGCAATCAGTCCGTCTACCACGACACAGCCAGGTCAGAAACCCAAGCTGAGCCATGGCTTGGCGGACCGGGGTGGTTCTATCAGTATCCTTCGGAGAAAAATCATCATGGAGATTGTGGAAAAAGCCGGTGGTGCATATCCTTCTGTTCCTGAAATTTGGTTTCCGTTCGCAACCATGTGGCTCAAGCGGAAGCAGAAAGAGCGGCCTGATAATCGTACAGTCAAGACGGCGATCAGAAATCTGGTTGAAGCCGGCAAACTTCGACAACTGACATTCTGTGGCAAAGGCCCGAAAGGCGCGATGGTCACCAAGACCATTCTGGCCAAGCCTGAAATGTCCCCAGATGACCCTTTGATCAAGGAGATGCAACGCAAGCTTCTATCTACAAATGATCAGCGACTTTCCTATTCGCCAAACATTGAACTTGATCCGGAGCTTGTCAGGTCCAATGGTCACACGGGAATACCAAAACTGGCGCTGCCTATGGTATCTGATGCTACTGTTCAGCTGCAACAGAAACCTGCAACTGTCCTTGCAGAGGAGCAAAGAACTGAGCGTCGGGTCCAGAAGGAGCTGTTGAAGAAATTGGAGGACCAGCTTGGTATTGGCAATGATTCTTCTGCCACTGGTACCAAGCGACTCATGAAGATTGGTCGACGTCAACCTCGTCAGCTAGGCGAAGACTCTGTGACAGGTCAGACCTGGATTGCTCGACCAGGTCTAGGCAGACGGATCAAGGGTGATGCACATCGACTAGTCAGAACAATGTCTGCTATCGGGCCATATGGTATGCTGATGCACCCAAAACAAGACTTCCACACAAGCTCAGGCACGTTTGGTACATTTGGCGCCGCGATAAGACCTTACAGGCAGCCTTTGAGCGGCGATGTAGCGAGCTCTGTCCGTGAGCTGGCTGAGCTCGCATCTGCTCCCAATGTCACCCAGACCGGCCGAGTCAAAACATTCCACTCGAAAACAGAGAGGATTTTGCGCTGGGAACTTGAGCACGAGGAGATCTTTGACGAATCCCATGACGGAAACGGCACATACATTGATCAAACCGTTAGTGACGAGTTTGAGCAGGTGCCTATTGAGGGTGAGATTCGGTTCGATTTCGACCAGCCAGTTGCTCAAGCGCTTCAGCCAAGAAATCTGATGACAACCCGGAGTGCAAAGCAATATCGCCAGATTCGGCCTCGCCCTACCGCATCGTCGTCTTATTCTATCATGCCGCCAGGATACCAGCCATTCCACAACATTGGTGCTCCCGCACGTCGTCGTATCGATGGAGTAGATACGTCTCTTCCTGGCCGGCATGGTGTACAGCCAGATGATGTCAGATTACAACGGTCGCGCCGTCGGGCTACACTTCCTCCGCTTGACCAGACTCTGTACCGGAAGATCATGGTTGCCATTGTCGCCGTCAGAGTGTTAGCAGGTGGTGCAGAGGCCAGGAGCGTCGACTGGGACCTTGTTTCTGCTGCGTTCCCCAAACACGACCCCAATTTTATCCTGGAACATGCAAGAAGTATTCTGAACAAGAGCCGATTGCAGATTGCCGGCATGCAGCGTCCCTTCCAAGAGCAATATCTTGAAGCATATGCCAAGCAGAAGGTTCCAGTTATTGACTATAATCACCTGGACAAATACAACTGGCCCGCGGTTGTTGAGTGGGCCATCATCGAACTCGAGTTCTCAACGTCTGAAAAGGCTCCGCTGCTGCCTGCGACTCGGGAGGAGTTTGATAGTATCTTCGAGCTTCGACCCGAGGCCGTTCCTACGGCGGATGAGCTGTACACCGCCACTTCGGGTATCACTGTTAGCTTCAAGCGTGGCCTGATGACCCATGTGCCATTCGCGGTGCAGGCTGGCGTTGGCAAAGATCGTGCAGTCCAAGGACCTCGCAAGAATGAGCTCGCTCGACTGGATGTCGTCAAGACTTGGGTACGCGCCAACGTGGCCGCATCCGAAGCGACTTACAACCCGCCCAGAGCGGAAGAAGCTCTCAAACCGTTTGGTACCCAGCTTATCAACTCAGCTGTGCAATCGCTCCTCACCGATCGGGTTATTAGCATGAGCAACAGGGGTCGCATTATACCTGGCCGCAACTACGACCTCACAGATCATCTCCTATCCTCACTCAGCCGCAAGCGTCTTATCGACTGCCCCATCTTGAAGCGCGCGGCATATTTCAAGACCACGATCCTGGACCCACAAATACAGAGCAGAGGGTCCTTTGACGTGCATTACCACGCTGAAGATGGTGATATCCTCGCTTTGATCAACCTATTCAGTTATGGCCAAGTCACCCTTCACCCTCGTGGCCAGCCGCGCAGCAGATTCGGTCTCACGGAAGGTGGATACCTCACCCGACAAATGGACAAGGACCTCTTACGCTTCGATGTCGAGGTTCGCCCAACAGCTTCGTACACCCATGGCAACCCTATTCAGGCCCGTGCAAGTACCATTCCCGCCCCGCTGCCGCCCCCATCCAATGACCCCAACCTCCCGCCCAAATTGCCCCTCTGGTTCGATATCCATGGATTCCTGATTCCACAGCTATGGGAGATGTCCATTGCTTCGGTGCTGGGCTGTGTTTGCATGCGGCAGGGTCTTAGCCCGGAACGCATCTCGGGTATGATCAAACCTGCTATGGGCGCGTGGGAGATTGAGCTTCTCTTGAACTGGTTGAAGGAGGTCGGTATCGTGGATCGGCAAAGTTGTGGCGAGAAGAACGGATGGATGGTTCGTGATTGGTGGTGGATGGTCCTTACGGAGAAGGATTCTGGTGCGGCGATGCCCGTTACTCAGGCGTCTGCCGACCCGCTGGCCGAACCAGCTGCTGAAGCAGTTGCAGAGCCAGTGCCAGAGCCCATTGCGGAGCCAGGTTCGCACGCCGAGGAATCAATGGCTTCTTGAGAAGACAGTGCCCTATTGGGTTGTTGTATGTATGATTACAGATGTACTTGTATCAATTGACTTGATGTAGAATAGCACATGAACGCTCAATATTGTATGGTATCTATCGCTGCAAACAATGAATAACGCGTAGTAAATCAAAAGGCCATATTACAAATACCACGTCGTCTTGAAATGATGGACACAAAGTAAGGCCGGCTTTCTTTGCACGTAAGCGACAGTGGCCGGTTGCAAGTGGGCGGTTCAGAGGTCGTCGACATTGACTGTCCGCTTGGTGACGAGGATAATCAAGGCAAAGATGATGCCAATAATAGCGCGGTCCAACCAGGGACTGTTCGCGGGTTCGGATTGGCTAGCAGCTGCAGTTCTAGCAGCTATAGCCACGGGAGCAGGAGTTGTTGGTGTAGGATGAGGGCGGATGCTGGATTGAGTCAAGGGCGCCGAAGCGACAACTGCCGGAGTTGAGTTTGATCCCGAAGGTACTGGAGGAGTCGGAGAGACGGCGGATGTTGAAGCCGGAGCGACTGGCGTAGTTGCAGGCTCATCAAGAACAGCTTCGGTTTGACCATCATCCTTCTCAGCCTCTGCCTCATCCTTTTCTTGCTTCTTATCCTCCTCCTCCTTATCCCCGCCTACAACTTCACTCCCTTCAACGTCAATCTTAACCCCCCTCTCCCGACAAATCTCCCACCATTCTTTCATAGCCTCCTCATTACTCCTCCCACACTCCCGACAAACCCATCCCCGACTCTCGCTTGCAAACTCCCTTCGAATCGCCTCACTGCCCTCCATCCCACCAACCTGCCCTTTGCTTTCCGCCCCCATGATCTCACTCCGGATCGCCAGCAGCGCCGTCCGCACTCCCCACGCCGGCTGCCATGTTTCCTCATGGTGCCCCGAGATACTGAGGCATATCTCGCGGTTCACCTCAAATCGGCCCGACGGCGTCAGAAAGCGGAAACTTGGTGGGCGGAGCGGGTAGGTTGGTGGGAAGGTGATGCGGCCGTGGTAGAGGCCGTTCGCGTAGGGCGTTGGACTCGGGGGTCCCGTGAGGGTGAAGTGCCAGTCGTGGAGGTTGCTGTCGGAGATTGGGGAGGCGGTGAAGTAGGGGCTTGGGTTTTTGTGGATGTCTGTTGATTCTTTGAGGAGGCGGCGTGTTGAGGGGGACGTCATTTTGGGTGATTTATTAGGTATTGGTGGGAGGTGGATGCAGACGTTGATGTCAACGTGGAGGTGGAAGTGGAGAGGATAAGAGGATAAGATCGTGGAGACTAGCCTGACGATTGCTGATTAGATCATCAAGATAGCGGGCTCAGGCACAAAGGCAGCAATCGTCTATCAAGATCAGCCGAGTAGAATGGCGAGATGAGAAGGAGGACAAATTAACGGAGACTGATGCAGTTATATTTAAGAAGAAGAGATGCAATGTACAATGGCACCTCTCTGTTCATTGACTAGGTAAAGTACACGTCATATTACCGCGTAATACACCGCAACAAGAAAATGCCAACTTGGCCACTTCCACAAACCGCTTAGGTTATCAAGTAATAATCATCACCAAGAACGCCATTTTATGCAAAATCAACCGCTACAATATCTCTCCAAAATGCACACTATGAACAGCCATCAGCCCTGACAATCATACTTTAATCGTCCCAATCACGCCATTCATCCGTGTCTTTAGTACGCCCGCCCTGTTTCAAGCCCTGAGCTCTGCCACCTTCGGGGTCAAGCAACCCGTTGCTCTCAGGCTCATCCTCGAAGTCACTATCTCCGGGTCTGGGCCGCGGTGAAGCCGGTGCAAGTGTTTGCATGGAAACACTGGTGGGCGGGCGCTCGGGTGCATCTTGTGGTCGGCGATTGGCGATCCAACTCTGCTGTGGTTGCGACTGTGCTGCGCTCGCATTATTCACTCCCCAAGCATGACTATTATTCATGTTCCGCGAGTAAAGGTCGCGGTAGTATTGCTGCTCGTTGCTAGCTTCCTGCTCTCGGCTGACTCGGATGCGCTCGCGCGCTTCGAGGAATCGCTGGCTCGGCTCCCAGCGCCAGCCATCACCGGTGGTTGTGCATACCGGAATCGGCCAGAGTAGAGGCCGGTCACCGAAGAGGTGGGCCAAGTTGCGACGCCAGCCGTGGTCGAATGCACTCGGCATTTTCTCGCTATCCTGTTCGTTGACCCAATCTTGGTGACGATCGTGCTCACGCTGGCGTTCCATTTCCGCGTAGGACCGAGTGAGGGCTTGTTGTGCCGGGGTCATGGGATTATGAGGGTTGTCAAGACTGGGGCCTTGACCGGGGGGATAAAGTGCTGGGGAGAGACGTTCTTCGCCTTCCTCGGCGCGCGTCACGCCGGGGATAGCATTGGCGTGAGCTTCGATTATTTGGTTGCCGTAGCCTTGGAGTCGATGGACTAGACTTTCGTTATTAGGGTCCGTAGCATTGCCATTGCCTGCACCGCTCTCGTGAAGTTGACGGTCCAGCGCCTTGCGCAGCGGTGAGACATATCTCGTCTTCTCCAGACATTCAATGGTCGTCACTCCCCGCACTGCCAAACTGATATGCCACGCCGTGAAACAAGTCAAAACAAGACCGATGATTCCCCCCAGAATTGCCAGCAGTACAACGTTGACTGGCATGAATGTATCCATATACCGGGTATCATTCAAAACCTCGGTCCATGTCCACACGGCAGCAACCGCGAAACATACCCAGCAGAATAGGGATGTATAAATCAGGAAGAGCAAAAATGCTTTGTAGTTGTATAGGCCCACACATGTCGCCAACCAGGGGCAGTGATGATCCATTTTCAATACACACCGCTTACATGTCGAGCAGTGGTGCGCGCGGTCAGGCTTTGGACATTGACACTTCTTGCAATACCGCGAGCCACCAGACGAGCTAACAGTGTATGATGTGAACTCGGGGAACTCAGAAACCGGCAAAGCGCTGTACTCGTGACGACCACCTCGGCGTGTTGTGAGAGGCGAGCCAGGATCCGTAAAGACGGCGACGGTATAACTAGCGTTCAAACAGGCGTAGAAAAAAAGTCCTAGAAACGAACTCGGAAACCCTATACCATTTAAGAAAAACAAATAGAATTAGTCCACTGAATCATGCATCTTGCCGAAATGTATCCATCCACTCCGCATTCTCGGGGGTTATCCATACCTATCCAAGGACTTTGATGCTCCTTCAGTCCAATGCTAACTTCCACATACACCGCCCACGTCGTCAAACCGTACACAAACGCAAGGGGAAAGCAGCTCGCTGCGGCACAACATATCCGCTCACAGCGAAGCGCCCACGCGCGAGGACGTCGCTTCGGCCACGAGGGCGAGGTTGGGGGGGACGAGGCCAGGGTGGCCATGAGTATGATGGTTATCGCGCTAGCGAACGGAGGGCGATGTTCATCGGACGTGGAAGATAGAAATTCGAATGGAAAGAACGCAATTTGTTAACAACAGGCCCGCATGGCGCGGAGATGGAGGGTGTTGGTAATTGGGATTGGGGAGTAGCGCGGATCGGGTTCGATTGCGGCCTACTGCGGAGCTGCGTCAGCCTGGGCGGACTTACTCAGCCACGCTGAGCCACGCCCTTATTTTGTTAGCGTGGTAGGGCGGAGTGGGACTGTACCAAGACTTAAAGGTGGATATTTTTGAAGATGTTGATAATGTATTTATTTGGATAGGCTTCAGGAAAAGGGGTCGAAGGGTGACAATGACGATGTATGCTGTACCACCACGTGGACTTGGGTAACATGAGTAGGCTGCAGGCGTTGTGCAAGAAGGGCTTACTTCGAGGGTATCTGGTAGACAAGGCTGAGCAGTGTCTATTTCGAATTTTTTCCTAGGGATGAGATTGATGCGAGGGGTTACAAGAGACTGAGAGAAAAGGGACGCAGAAAATCGTTCATGGAGATAAATGGAGTATATTGCACGCATCCGCGCGCTCTATTTACAGATAATGCATATCTTAACTCTAGTCAGCGCCGGCAGCAAGCGGCTGAGTAAAATAAGAAACCGATAAGTAATGCAAAATGCACCCCATTTAAGTGCTCGTAGTCGTCTCCGAGCTCTGCAGAGTATTCTGGTCGCACCAGCCATTGACGGGCTAAGAAGAAAAGATTGGTTAGCAAGCATCTCAGGAAATGAGATAAGCAGAAAATGACTCACCAGGCAACTCAACCGGTAACACCAGGAGCAATTTGACGAAGGGTATTTGTAGAAATCAACAATCAACAAGATAAATCCAACAAGCACCGCGACTAATGCACCAGCGCGCACCAGCCACCAGGCCCACCACAGAGGCTTGCGGCCCTTGAAGAAGTGGAGCGGGCCTTTGGACTCGCCCACTCCGCTAGAAGACGAGACCATATTGCCCTTGCTCTTAAAGAAGTCCATGATGGAAGTGGTTTTCCGCTTGTCGGCAGGGTCGGCTCCGGCGCCGCCGCTCATGGCGACGTAGGGCTGGCGAGCGAGCCCAATGCGCTCGCGTAGGGAATTGGGCGAGCGTAGGATAGACAAACCCATGGCCAGACCCATAATGAATCCGCCAATATGGGAGAAGTTGTCCAGACCTGGAAGCAGGCCGAGGACGAAGGAAACGGCTACTCCCAAGACCATGATGAGTAACTCCACCCACGGCGATTCACGTTGGGGCCAGTCGTATAGCAGGTCTAGGAGGACAAGAGCCATGATACCAAATAACGCACCGGAGCACCCGGTACTTGGCTCCAGTTGCGAGGCATAGTTTCCACCAAAGACGTAACCGAAGATACCGCTGGCGAAGTAGGTCAGGGTGTACCGCCACATTCCAATCATGCGTTCCATGTCCGCGCCCATGGTTAATTGCACCAGGAGATTGAAGCCGATATGGATGAAACCACCGTGCAAGAAAATGGGGACAATAAAGCGGAACCACTGGTTGGGCTCGGGCTGGTCATCGAGTGAACCGCCTACCTTGGGGTTTGGGACACCATTAAACCCACATAATTCCGAGAGAGTGCAGTCACCTGTGCTGGTGGTGCTGTTAGGACAGGGCCAGCTGATAGCCACGCTAGAATTTTGGACACCGGGAATATTCTTCATGCAGGGGTCGTATCGAGCGCCCATGTAGATTTGGACATATGGCGATGGACCGATCATGACGTTGAACGAGGGCTTGGTCTCAATCGGCGATCCGGTCAAAATACCTAGGATCTCTATATTAGCCTTGCCGCGGTAGCATTACCCGGTGCAGTTGACATCAACTCCCCGAACGTTCGGTACCCACCATTCTTCACCAGTTCCACGATAAAAACGATGACTTGCGCCAATGTCAAGGTCCAGGTCACCCACGCAGGCTTCTTCCGGAGGAAGCCCTTCTTATTCCGATTATCTCCTCGCCGCCGGTCTTCCAGAGCCCCTGGCGACGGAGGCGGGTATTGTGTCTGCTGGTGCATCCATTCCGGGTTATTCCCAAACTGTGTCTGCGCCTTCAGTGGGATATTCTCTGCATAGTGGTCGCCATCTGCGACCCGCCCAGACGTCTGGTATGCTCCACCATCTGATTGTAGTGAATGTTGACTTTCACGGTTGTGATAGGGGGCGGATGGATCGTTGTGGTGGCTATTGGAGCTCACGGGACTGTGGCCCTGGAAGCCGTAACCAGGGGTGTTGGTGTTGAGTTGGGAGGGTTGTCCGGTATGTCCACCAGTCACTTGATCGTAGCTGGGCGGATTGGGGATGTTCGCATGGTAGTATTCGTTGGCAGCCATCCTGGGGCACCTGCCGAGATTGCGGGATGCGGGATCAAAGAATGGGGGTGACGATCAACGTCTGTCCGGCGAGGATCGTGGGAGTAGTGCAAGTTCGGCGCTAGCGGGTGGAAATTGGGGCTGCTCGAGGAAAATAGGACGGAATGGACAGACGGTTGGTGGTTGATTGAAGAGGGGAATTGAGAGACGTCAAGAGAAAGAAATTACCAAAAAAAAGAAAGTCGAGACAGGCAGTCACGTTATGTAAATGGGGAAGTTATTTTTGGGGCCGATCGTCACAAAATCAACACAGCCGCGCGGCGCTTGGCTGGGCAGTTTTAGGCGGTAGAAGACGGTCATTTTACTACTAGGTTCCGACCGGTGGTGGTTGTCATTCAGGTCGTCCCGATCCACTATGGCTCGTGTTGATTCAAATCTGACTTGACGAACTCCAGCCTCTTTGCTCGCTGGCCCATTTAAGACTCGTGGGCCTAAAACTCGCCATGACGCATTCCCTCAGCCTCGATGCCAAGCCTGCGCTGCCACATGCCTGACCACACGACACACATGCATCCGCGCAGCATTGGTTTGACTACGCTGTTATAGTACCCAAGATTTACGGTCGGTTAATCTCACTGACATCCTCAACTTCAAGAATAGATCTAAGGCATTTGACAGTGGCGGGACCACCCCTGAGATATTACATAATCAAATACTTTTTCAGGTACCGCCATCTAGGAGCAAAAGCTTAATTCTTAAAACAAGAACACACCGTCAAGTTTACAAACATTGTGGCTTGTTAAGGAATAGGTATTATGACTGCGATCATAACTTGGGATCTTCGTTTCTTTGGAGGTATATTGAATACGTTGAGACCCCGAACGAAGCCGATTATTCCAAAGCATAATTCTTCCTGCTGGCCGCGCACGGTTAGTCTACTCCATATAAAGGTATATCAGGTGCAATATTGAGCCACAGAGCATGTCATAAAGAAAGGTGTCCTAGTCTTGGACCTCCCCCAAATAAGAGAATATGAGAGGCCATAAAGTTACGTTAGCCATAACCTCTACCATGTCTAGTGCCCTTCACGAGATCCTAGTACAAAGGTTAAACATCCTGGCCAGCCCATCCTTCAGCCACTTCATGCCCAAGGAGCAGAAAGTGGCGAGGGACAAGCCCTTAACAGGGAAATGGCAGGGGTACGCGGGCGCCTTCGGCGGGCGCTAGTTCTGATGGGGCTGAGACAGACAATCTACAGAAATTCAAACGACAGAGTAAGTGCTGCATAGACATTTGACATTAATTATTATAGCGAAGAGAGTTAAAAAAATTGACGAGCATACTAATCCCCGAGATCCGCTGCGTCGACAGCCCAATGCTACGGGTCGCGCTGTCGGTTCGTGGTGCTCGTGTTCAGGTCGTTGACCGTCTGACCCCCACGGCCCAGGCCGGGGGAGGTCGCACGATGCGCGTCATTAAAGCTCGAAGGGCGAGGCGTCGTACCGTAGAAACGAATGAGCTAAGTCTCTTTTCCCCAAAGCGCCAGCCAAAGCGAAAAAAAAAGATCAAAAAGTGTATACGCCCGTCATCGAGCGGAAACAACACGGAAGACACATGACAACGAAAGCCAAAAAAAAGACACCAAGCGAAGAAGCATCAGATCAATAAGATGCGACCAAGCGTATGCGAAAAAGGAATCGCTTCAAAAACAGCAACGAGGGGTTGCAAGCCCTCGAAGAATCACCCTAGGCGCAGATCCAATCCACAGATAAGAGATGAGTGGGGGTGTTCTGGTATGTATCTATACAAGGGGGGCCGTGCCTGGATATCAACAAAGGACACCGAGGTCAATTATGAAGGAGCGGCGTGCTCGGCAATAGATACGGGGGAGATCGAAGTGCCGTGGTTATCCAGGATACCCAATGCAGTACCCACCTCCTGGCTGCTGTGGCCCGTCAGCAACCATACGAGGCGGCTGAGCTTGTGGTATAGTAGCGACGGGAAGTATAGCAGCAGTGCCCACAGCAGCAAGGACAGAACGACGACCACGAAAGTATTAGCCACGAGTTTCTCGCTGGGAGTCATGACGTATAAACCAAAGGTAACTTCGTAGCGGTAGTACTCCAGACGGACGCGGTCGAAGCATCGTTGCAAGGGGTTGCGAGTCCGTTGCGCGCGGAATGAGGCGTGAGCGCTCGTAGACGAGTACTTGCTGATCAGCTCGTCCATGGCCGGGGGCGCATGCGACATATGCGTCGACGGGTTAGAGGTGTAGAAGGTCTGCATCTCGGTTGTCATGAGAGGGATAGCTGGGGAGGCGGGTTGCTACGATCGCACCCGATCGCATTCAAGTAAGGCGACAAAATAGCGAAGCCGAAGGTTGTAGAAGACGAATTTGGCTTGATTTGTAAATTTGTCTTTTTGTTTGATGGCGGTTATAGTTGCAAGCCACCGAAGGATAAAGATATCCCAAAGAGGACAATCTCCAGATGGATAACAGGACTTTTGGGCAGAGTTTCAGTTCTAGTTGGAAATCTGGCTGGGCTTTCCGGATGCAGGCGGAAGTGCACAGGCCCGCGAGCTGATGATTGACGCACTTGGGTCGCAATGGGAAACAGAACTTTAACTACCACGAGGTAGAGGGAGAAATCGACAAGAAATTGATCGAGAGTGATGAAGAGATTGAAGGGAGAGAATGAGAATAAGTAGACAAGGAAGGGGATAAGGCATTTGGGGGAGAGAAACAAGGAATTGACGATGGGGATCGGATTAGTCGGCAAGGATCTAATTATTCAACTGCTCGGAGCATCCAGCCCTGTTTAGCTGCCCCACCTATAATGGGAGCTCCATGCCCTGGAAAATGCGAAAATGCTCCGGAAGGGGGTGGGTCTAGCTCGTGAGTTGACTGGTCTCATGGATAGTAAATCGAGCATATCGAACATGTTAGACGGATCCTCGGCTCCAACCAACGGAATTCGTCGAAAGGTCGGAGATCGGAAGTGTTGACGAAGTAGACAAAATTCGAAATTTCGGGATCCCCGTAAGGCGGATCCCCAGGCCGCAATCAGGCATAAATCAGGTACTCGTCAAAGCAGGATCATACATGCTCGACGGAGCGGTAACTTGCATTATCATGTATGAATGAAACGGATTCCTCCATAAATGGAGAGTGCCACAGTGCCTTAAGATTAAGCCTCTCCTTATTGTGCATTGATTCACACTTGACAAAGCCTTACTCATCCTTCTGTTTCGTATGAGAAAGCATCCAGAAATCACTAGTCCCGTTTTTTCATCCCCACCAGCCACTAATTCCTTAATTCCTTAATTCCAGGCGGTGGCTTGCCGGGTGATGTCATCGCCCGCTTGTCTGTCTTCCCCGCGTCGCTTCCGCTCAACCTATCCGCAACCTCATCAACAAATCAACAAATCCACAATCCCACAAATCCACGATTCCACACAGGAGCACTTGACTTCCCTATGGACGGCGACGATCCACTAGTCCAGGCTCTACCGCCAGCGACCGACTATCTTACTTACCTCACCCTCCTCGAATACCAGCTGACCCCCGAACGCCTACCCCTCTTGCACCGCCTGCTTCAAGATGAGAAGCTCACCACCAACATCGGCTGGGATTTGGTGAAGTTACTCCTGCCTATGCTGCCTGCCTCGACCGAGTGTTTACAGGATGTAGCTCGTCTAGGAAATCCCCGAGAAGTCATTCTACGCGTGTGCGAGGCTCTGGAAAATTTGCAGCCGGAGGATGATGGGGACGAGGACGACGAGGGAGAAGCTGAAGAGGCGAGCAAGGCGCTGCCCAAACACATTCTGCAATTCAACTGCCTTCTAGCTATGCTATCAATCTTGCACACCCGCCTCCAGGCAAAGCGTCCCAGTCGGTTCATCGCCACCTCTCTCAAAGCTGCCCTCGAAGCATACGAGACGGTGACATGCGATGAGACCACCCTGGCTCTCCTCGAATTCTTCCGCGATCTATCTCCCAACAAGCGCCCAGCACCGCCACCTCGTGCCCCCAGCGAGTCGAGCGTTCTTCGTGTCTCGGAGGCATCTGCGCCAGATCCGGAGGCTGAGGTGCAGTCACCTTCACTGGCCAAGGACAATGAAACACAACTGGTTCGCAAGTTCGTCCAATTCGGCTTGCTAGAAATGCTCAAGCTATATCTATTGAATTTCTCGGGCCCAATGGATCCCGGTATGGCGTGGACAATCCGGATGCAGGAGAAATTGAATCCCCATCTGCGGCTCCCGGCACAATCTCAGACGGACGCATATGGGAGCATCAAGGAGTTAAGGGAACGAGATATGATCATGGGAAAGATTGTCGTACGTATTGAGCCGCTTCCGAAGAGGATGACTATAATGACTAACTCGTTGATTTTGCCTAGGCTCTTTCGCGAGATGTGGGCATTGACAGCAATGACCTTCTCTCCATCATTTCCCGGTCGCCCGAGCACCAGGCTTCTCAACTGGACTTTGACGAGCTTCCAGAGATAGCAGATCAGATTCCCTTAGAGCGACATGGTTCTCTGCTGCTCCTTGCGGCTCGAGCTGCTGGGGCCGTACTGTTCGAATCCTCCGCGCGGTCGCCGCCTTCTGTGCCAGTTTTCCCAGATCTCGCTCGGATTTTCCCCCATTTCCTTGGGAGTAGTGACAATTTAGAAGAGGTGGCTTTCGGGCAACCGCACGCTCTTTTGGATTCTCTGTTGGCTTTGACTATCCACGCGACACAGTCACCCGTTGCCGTACCCTCTGATGATGCTGAGTTTGAGAATTTCCTATTTATTTTGACCGCGTGTACTGCGAGACAGAGTCACGGCATAGTCCGACAAATCCCAGCGATAATATTGCGCAGCCATCCATCGCCCACCGCTCGGTTCAAGGTCATTCGCGAGATCCTGGAGAACAAACGCCTTCAGTCTGTACGCGATACTGCCATTTCCTGGCTCAAAGATGAGATCATCAGCACCAAACCCTCTGAGTCACCCGAGGATGTCTTCCACGACCCGCTATGGTTTTCGTCCATCTTCTCGCTTCTGCTGCGCCCCGTTGACGCCGATCATTGTTCCAAGAATCTGGTTGAGAGCTGGAGCCGTCTTACGCAATCCGAAGGTCCATCTCTACACTCTGCGCTGAACCTGTACTTCCTTGCTCTCTCGTCAAATGACCTGCGTGATCATTTGGAGCTTGAAAAGACGGTCAAGTACTTCCGTACCCAAGTTCTTGTCCCACTTCGACAGATATTCCGGGCTTTCGAAAGTGATCTCACTGCCAAGGGAGGCGATGGCCTGATTGAAGAAGCCGTCGGAGAGGAAATGTGCCAGTTCGGCATTGCCAATTCTGTGGGGCTTATCGGACTCACCCTCGATCAGATCGAGGAGGTGATCAATGAGCACTTTGGGACTGACGATGCAGATTTAAAGGAGTACTCGACTGATGAGGAGGCACGGGTTGCGGAAATCCGGAAGCAAAGTGAAGGGTCAGCTTTGTGATGAGGAAGGCCTGGGCTGGGAAGTGGACGTGCTCGGAGGTGTGTTTATGCATGTAAATCTGACTTTGATATTCTGGGCTGGCCCATTGAATCACACATATCATTTGCAAAGATTTTGACATTTCCATACACTCATGTCCACCGAAGTCAACTGCATGGGACGAACACAAATCAAGACATGTTGTCCAACGTTAAGGTATTTTTGGGGGCCAATAGATTGGGAGATCTAGTCGCTAAAGGACTTCGAGATACAGAGAATCGAGTCTTGAAGTTTGCCTGATTCTGTAATGCAACCGATAGGTCCGGCACTGTTTCAAAGCCCATTTACAAGCTCTACGAACCTCGTCAACCTTAAGCAAACTTGAAAACCCTTTCTTAAGAAACTGGACTACGAATGGACAAGCAGAAAGGATTAGAGGCCAAAATTGCATTCCTAGCAGCCACTCATGATCAATAAGATAAGAGAGAATATCCCCAACCACAAACACACCAAGCGCCCCAGAAAGCAAAGCCATTGGAACTCAAAACCCGATCCCCAAACGAAGCAAATCACCAACACGCTTTAGTAGATTTAGTGCTCTCTCAAAAAGTGCAGCTGAAAGGAACAATTCGCAAAGTCGCAACCCCCATTTCTACATCACACCCCCAATATTCCCAAGTCCACGAAAGAGGCAGCGAGAATCAGGGCCCCAAAGGCCACCTGAGCTTTTTTTGCCAATCCGGCAAGCTGATCTACATTCTGTTCCTGAGGTTCAGAAGCAGAAGTAGAAGGAAGTGTCTTGCTGGCAGACAGGCGAGATGTCGAGGAAAGAAGGAGAAAAGCTCCAGATAGACCAGAAGAAACACTGGCACCATTGCCGCGAAAAGAATGAACTGGACAGAAAACAACGAAAGGCAAATAGCAGTTGATCATGTTTTTGAGAGAGATTTTTTGTCAAAGGTTGGTGGTTATCTCGTAAAGATCGAAGGATGAGTTGGTGGGATGGATTGGATTGTGCATTTTGTTGTCGCCCATTGGCCCAAACCAGCGATCAGGTTAGGGCATCATGGTGGAACGCGAGGCAGGTGGTTGGGGGGCGTCAGTGCAAGGAGCTTACATAACGACGCAGCCACCACCGGGGCCGGCTATAGAAGTAGAAGAAATGTTAGCAAAATGTCAATTGAGTGATGATGATGCAGGGGGAGTGAGTGGAGGCATACCCTTGACAACAACGGAGTTCTGGATGGGAGCCATTGCGATAGATTTGGAGCTTTGAAAAAGCGAAAAGATTGTAGTAGAGATGATTGATTGGGAATGAAGAGGGTGATGAGAAAAAAAAGGATATTCTGGTGGGTGTTGACGGGGATATTTATATCTGAATTACCGTGAGGATGGATCGGAGTATAGCATGTTGGAGATAGCCTGGAGGAGAAACAACAATACTAGTAGGAGATGAACAATGACGGGGATTGGTCTAGCAAGCGTTTTACGTAGCCTAATGCCGGTTAGGGCAAGTCTGGACTGTGTCTAGGCGTGGTGGCGTTGGGTTGATATTGTTCTTGAGATCGTGAATCTATGTGGCTGCCTCGAGCCGGGTTGGAACTTCTTTCAACATTGAGGATGTTGAGATATGATAGAGACGCATGACTCCATCAACTGTATCTCTTGAATGGATAGGCTGCTGGCTCGGCGGTTGGGAGATCGATGTTTGCCAGGGGTCTTCATATTGTTCTTCGATCTTCGAAGAACAATTCTTCGAAGAACAATATGAACCGAGAATCTAGGCGACAGGGGAATGCTCCGCATTTGTATATCTCCTAGGAAGTTCCTTTGTGAGACAACTTCTGGTGGCGATGATGACGGGGATGTTATCTGAGGTGGCGGCCACACTCTAGGAACTGAGTGACCTGAAATCAATCGAGAACAATATTAAGGTACTTCGAGGGTGGTGTATCTTTAAGGTTGAAAGAAGCTTGATCTGACTGGCCACGAGAAAGACCCACCACAGTGAAGGCGGCATGTGATTGGTGCGTCAACCCAACCGTTAGGAGACAAAGACGCTCAACCCCACCGAGTATTCTTGGAGAGAACAATCTGTTCGTGCCTAGTCAAGTTTCCCTATTTGTTGAATTCGGCAGGGTCCGCAAAGCTCCTGGTACAGGGGCACCACGTTTTTGACCCTCGGTGACCGTTATAGCTCAAACAGGAGAGCTAATGATGGGAGAATTACTGAGTATACTCACGAGAGAGGAGTTTTCCAAGAATATCCTCGATAATATAAAGAAGTCTATTGGCTAGAATAAACTAAGCTCCGGGATTTCTTAGAGACTCGCCAAGCATTGGGTAGACAGCCACTAAGATATTGGTACTTCGCGATCAGCATATGGGATCACGGATGCTGGAGCTCGGTCGCCGAAGATAAGGGTACATGAAGAGATTCTTGCATTGGTAGTATCCTCACATCAGATCATAAATTCTAGTGCGCAGGAAGTTTAAAGATGACTGGTTCAGATTCCCAGCAACGAGGAGATTTGACGTCCCTAAGATTGCGCGGGGGCAGATACTGGACGTTGAGTATGAGCTATGTATACGCATATCTGCTACATACATGCTGGATCTGAGTTCAGGAATACTCCATTGCAATTAATAGCTGGCCGGGGCCATGATATCATCCAAATGACCGAACAAAGCATCGCACATCCTAATGGAATCAGTATAGCTGTTTCTTAGAAGGTGGATTTTCTCCTCATACATGCTCGAGCACACGAGAATTTGGCAATATCTTATAGCTCGCGGTTATAATCTACATGTTTAGCTACTACACACTACGGCCCAATTTTCGTATCTCTTGAAATAGATTGAATTTCGACATTTCTTTCACTGTTTACTGGAATTGTCGAAAGTCTAGGTATCTCTGAATCGGATTGAGAAGCATGTTGTGGACGCGGACTTGAGAGAGAAAAGAGGCGATTTATTGAGACATGCGAAGTTCACAGTGTATAAATACTGCAACTAGAGATAGAAAATAAACGAGATAGAAAATAAACAAGTCGTTTATGAAAGGAATGCTCAGTCATTGGCAATTTCTCATATACACGAAACAAATCATAAACAGTACACGCTGATAAATCATTGGCAAAACCTATGCAAACATCATTTCTTCTCTTCGCAAGAACTAACATACTAACACACCCTAAGTATAGAGCGGCTGGGTCAATTCATTCAGAGTAATCCCCTCCTTCGCAATATCTTCCTCAATCAAGAACATCAACGGCATCTCCACCAGCGTACCCTTAACTTGACTCAACAACTCCTTAACCTGCTTCGCGCCCTCAGCACCGGGCGCAAAATCATCACGCACGACATGACCCCACTGGAAGCGCGGTGGACGACCATACTGATCCTTACCCTCGGCTTCCTTGTCCGCCTTGTGGAAGTAGTACTCGTAAAATTCCTTATACGTAGCCCAGTTACGGACGGCATCATCGGGAACTGCGTGGAAAACCTTGCGGAAGACTTCAGTATTGGTATGTGCGCGCGAGTTCCACAGGCTTTGGAGGGTGTCTGCGAGTGGATCGGCGACGACTTTGCTTTCGGGGCACTCGAGGTCGAAGTGGTCCGGGACACCTGGAGGCTCGAAGCTTGCGTTGGGGCGCTTGTAGTCCTGCGGTGCGAGGAGACCGAGGTGCTTGCGGAATAGCTCGCGACGGAGCGAGGCTGCGAAGCGGCTGGCCATCCAGGGTTGACCGTTCATGGTGGATTGGAGAGGGGTGAAGTCCTCGATGACGACGGCGATTTCAGAATCATGGTCGCCCAGCTGGGAGCGGTCGTTGAGGTTGGCAGAGCCGCAGATGACCACGCGATCGTCGGCAATCATAACCTGTTCACTGTTAGAGTGGGTGTTCGATACGTAGCTCGGGCTTTTGAAGGCTTACCTTGGAGTGGACATAGAGCTCCTCGCTCACGAATGCGTCAATCTCAGCGTCGGGGTGTCCGTCCCACGGCACATTACGAATATCCTGTCCACCCAGCATGTAGCAAGAGCTAACACTGTCCCATTGAGTAGATCCAGCAGGCTTGTTGCCCTGGCTATGATGCTGTGCTGCTTGCTGGTATTGCTGGAAGGGAGCGCTCGTATCATATGCGCTGCGTGTAGCACCAGGTCCAGGAGGAGGGGTAGCATAACCAGCAGCGCCAACGGTCTGCTGGTCATACTGTCTGCGAGCGTCCTCGTAGTGAACCCCGCTCTCCCGCTCCACCGCAGAGAGGAGCCCGGCATTGTTGATACGATCGTAGTTGCGCAGGTTATAGAACCGGATGTATTCCATCGGGTTGAACCCTTCCTTGGCGATCAGTTCCATAATACTGTGTCCTCCTCGGTTAATCGAGTTGTACTGGAACTCCATGATAGCACGAGTCCCCAGGGTCTCGTCATCACGAAGGTCGCCAGCAAAGCAAGGTACCGATGGAATGACCACAATGATCTTGTACTTCTGACCAGCACGAGCAGCGCGCAGAATACGCTCGACAATAGCAGCACCAATCTTGTTCTTCACAGGGTGCTGCGAATCCCCAGTGGCAGTAATGAAGAACTGGTTTTCGATATACACGAAGTGTTGGCTGTTCTTAATAATCGCAGCATAGGCATCTGCAATTGAGTGCTCGACTGGGCTGCCATTGCTCCATTTAGCACAGCTGCGAACAATCTGGCAGGACATGTTGCCACGACTCTGTGATTGAGGACGGCCGTAGGTGGTAAGTCGATCCTGGTACTGGTGGATCTGGCCCGCTAACTGGCCACGAAGTTGGTTGCCGTACTGCGAGATATCTTCACGGAAGCGCTTTGGTGCGAAGCCCCGACTCTGATCACCCCCATGCTGATAGTCGTCGAACCCACGAGTGGCAGAATGAGAAGCTTCCTGACCCGGTGGAGGCGGGTAGTAAGGAGCCTGACTCTGTTGCTGGGTCTGTTGGGTGGAACCACCAGAGGCCTGGTTTTGCGGCGGGGAATAGTATGATCCCTGGGTCTGTTGCTGCTGAGGATGATAAGATTGAACAGCAGGGGACTGGCTCGGTGCCGGGCCCGGCGGAGGTGGAGGGAATGAATCACCCGTGTAGCTGTACTGGTGGAGTGGCTGGCTTGGCGATGGCTGATTGGGGGTTGCCGAGTGGCTTGCGCCGGATTGGTAGCTTTGGGTGTTGTCGGAATGATATGCCTGGTAAGATGGGGCAGGACTATGCTGCTGCTGCTGGTGATGACTCTGGTCCGACGAGTATTGCCCTGGTGGGGGAGGGTAGCCCGGTGTGCTACCAGACTGGTATGATGAAGAGGTGTTGGGCTGCTGCTGCTGATATTGTGGCGGCTGAGGGCTAGAGGATGTAGGTGGGGGTGGGTAGCTTGGCGTTCCAGTGGAGGGCTGAGCTTGCCACTGGGGAGCTGATCCTTGCTGTTGATGGCTTGTAGCACTGGACTGCTGGCTCTGCCATTGAGGAGCCGATGCCTGCTGCTGCACCTGTTGCTGTGGCTGATGAGGAGCTCCCGACTGGTACTGGCCTGGCTGTGGGGTGGCACCAGGTTGTGACCCAGACGAGGTGGTAGGCTGTCCGAAGAGCGCAAGTCGGGTGTACCTAGAATTCTGGCGAACCTGGTACTTTGCATCATAGATGAAGTTCCAGCGCTCCACGAAATGGCGTCGCAGATCCTCGACGACTGGACCCCGAAGTCCAATTGAAATATCAGACCATCCCATGCGAGACATGGTCAAGCGATCCAATTGGTTCTTCTCCCACTCCGAGACATTCTCGAAATCGAGAACGCGGGAGTTGTTGTAGTCTTGACCCGGGAAGACGGTGTCGTTGATGTTGGACGGGTGCACATCGGAAATTGCGTGCTGATGGGTGTCCCACCGACCGAAGCACAGATCCAGGCCGCCCATGAAAGCGATCTGACCATCGACCAGGCACAACTTCTCGTGATGGGCCCAGTAGAGAATGACATCGTCGTTCATTCCGTACAAGCCCTTCAAGGTATCCTTGGACATCTTCGAAAGACTGGCGGAGGTGAGCGACAGGTTCTGGAAGGAGTGCGCAATATCAGATACAAGCTCCTGGCGATCCGGAAGATGGTCGGGGTGGCGGAAGACCGCGATGTTGGGGTGAAGGTCCTCCAGGGCATGCTTGGTGTGGGCTGAGGAGAGCGTCAATGCCTGAGTGACCTCCTTATAAACGATGATATTGACGCGCACACCGCGAACGGCGGCATCCTTCAACAATCGGTCTAGTCGGTATTTCTCATTCTCGGCCGGAGGTCTTCTCAAGTAAAGTTCGGGAGACAACCACCCTAGTCAAAAATTAGCCAAACATTGCAATGTGTGTATCCGGGGGATCCGCCACTTACAATCAAGAATCCAGATAGACTCGCGCGCATTCTCCAGCGCCACGGATACTGCCCAGAAATAGGAGCACCCATCGACGTACGGCTTCACCTCGTTGTGTTCTCGGGGCGGAGCGAAGCTTCCGAAGCGGTGCTCTGTCGTGGGCTTGGTAGCTCCATACTGGGCGTATGCCTGTGGATCGATGGCGGTTCCGAGTTTAGTGGCCAACTCGGATCCAAGACCTGTCACGGTACCTTGGATCTTGCCCAAAAAGCCACCGATTTTATCTTCTTTCTGGGGGCGTCCGTGGTACTGTGGGTTCTGACCCGAGTAATATTGTTCTTGACCTTGCTGGCCTTGCTGGCCATGGCTGTATCCGTATGGGGCTTGACTCTGGTCCTGGTAGGTCTGTTGCGATGACTGAATCGTTTAGATAAGTTCTGCGAGACAATTTTAATATTTCCACTTACTCCGGGGGCACCACCCTGGTTATATCCCTGACCGGTGGGCTTAGAGTGAGTCTTATAGGTATCCTTGAACTTCTTGAAGGTATCGCTCAGACCTCGAGAGCCATCACCCGATCCACGTTCGGACTCGTAGTAGCGGCCATAGGCCAGGTCATCATTCTGCGACATGGTGGCAGATGAATGCAAGGAAGAGGGGAAAACAAAACTACAAAGAGGATCGGGCGGAAAGTACGTTGCCTGAGAGCGGGGGGATTTTGTTTTAAGAGCTCTCTGGATAGCCCCGCTGCCCAGCCACTATGGAGACGGGAGACGTGGCTGTGTTGAAGATGGGGACCAGTCGCTAGGCTGCGTGATTCTGAGAGTGTGGTCGGGTGTGGAGCTGGGCTGAGCTGAGCTGAGCTGAGCTGACGGGTGCGAGACCAAAAGTATGACAGACACACTGTGTACTTTGTATTCCTCGCATTCCGAACAGTGGTGTTGTTTTGACCTTCCATCAGCACTTTCGATGCTTGTGCAGAGTGGGACCGCATGCAAACGTGGCCGCGGATCGCCCGATGCCATCAGGACCACGAAGAACGAGAATAATCAGATAAAGCTCATCAGGAGGGTAGTCCTCGTCGAATTCATTGTGAAAATTCCAATAGATCGATGCATTTCCCGTAATCACTGTGAATTTGTGCAATGCTTGGGTGGTCCACCATATCTGCGTCCGGTTTCCTGGTTCTCAGCCCTACGAATCCCCCGCCCATTTAAAGCTGGCCGACCACTCCAAAATTGTTTGCGATCTCCTATCCTGAGAATGAAGTCTCTTGTACAGACCGCTGATCAAAAAGGAGACTGCCATATATTTCCGATGAATTGAACCGAGTGCCACTATATACTCTTGACGACCCACGATCTCCCAGGCCTACTGCATGGGGACCTTGTGTAGGCTCGTATACTTCCATAGGGTTTCTCCTTATCCTACACGGTCACAAAGGGATATCTGATAAAATATTCATAGTTATCAGATCTCGAGCTACTGCATTTTACTAACGATAGGCTCAGTAATATCATTGTAAGAATTTCCTGAGAGAGCACGGTATGTACTCCGCGGAGAATTCCCCACACGTCATCCTGGCATAACTAGTTCTTATCTGCCCCGCATCGACTAGTATCATCCGATCAAGTTGATAACCGGATCGAACGAGCCCCCCTCATCTTCCTTTCTTCATCCCATATTCGTTTTCAGTCTAGTAATAAACGTATCTTTACTGACCTCTCACTCTATATCATCATGTCTCTCGCCACTCTTGATGTATGCCATTCCTTCCTAGTCAACACAACCTGTATACTAACTAGGAATCCGCTCCAGACCTCTCAACATTCCAATCTCCCCGCTTCCGCAGCAACCCTGTTCGCAGCCAAGGCCAACAAGAAGCTCAGCTTTGAGCAGATCGCTCAGCACATTGGCCGTAACGAGGTAGCCGTTGCTGCCATCTTCTACGGTCAAGCTAAAGCGTCCCCAGAGGATATCCAGAAACTATCAGAGCTCCTTGGTATTAATGCTGCTCTTTTAGGACAGCAACTCAGTGGCTTCCCGGATCGCGGCAAGTCAGTTGAGATGCCACCCAAGGAGCCCCTGATCTATCGATTGTATGAGATTGTGCAGAACTACGGGTATGCGTATAAGGCGGTGCTGAATGAGAAATTTGGGGATGGGATCATGAGTGCGATTTCTTTTTCGACCAAAGTGGAGAAGGAGACTGACGCGGATGGTAATAATTGGGCTGTCATTACTTTGCGGGGAAAGTGGTAAGTGTTTAATTGTGGATGTGTACCTGGCCGGGGATTCTGGTTACTGATGAAGTATTGCAGGTTGCCATTTTCCCGATTTTAGGAAATTGGATTGAGATACGACTGGGAGTGACGATTGACTCGGGGTATAAAATAGTGATGTTATGCTTTCATTGGCCTGAAAATACTCGTGAATCCAATGAGCTCTTCACCTCTCCTCCTCGTTGGTGTACACTTTAGACTCGAACCTAGGCGACCAAGTACAAAACTCACGCGAAGTAATAAAGCTCGGGCGTATTGCATTGACCATTGGTAGGAAATAAAGTGGCCCAGAATTCAGTAGAATTGATCACTTCAAGGGTGTTTTCAAAACACCCCTTCCACTCCAGATAGATGCGCCAGATAGATATGCCATCTGCGCATCGAAAGCCAAAGCACAAGGATATCAAAGGAACACGAGAAGAAGGAAAGCAAAACCATGACATTAACGGGGCATCTCGGGTCGCAAATGGTATTTTCTGGGGGACAAAAAGCGTTTGAAAGGGACAGACGGAGCACAAATAGCCCTGGGGCAGAATTGCGCCCGGTTCAGCACCTTGGTCTCCAGATCTCTAGCTCGCGCCCTCCGGGATATTTACATTGGCGGTTCATCAAATATGCGGGACCATGGGATGCTCCATCGTATCCGCTTTCTCCAGTCACGGCAACTAGGACTATGCAATATCTACCGCTTAGCAGCAGTCCTCACAGCACTCGAAGCAAAGGATACCGGCGCAGCTTGATTATGTCAGTATATATCGATTTGGCATGCGACATGGCTTTGTGAGTGCGACACAGGGCATTCTGCGTCTCGGACCGGGCCGCATGGCATGTGGGATCTGAACACTTACACGCCGCAGCAGACATCACCACCGCCACCGCCACGGAGCTTCATATTCTCCTGGGAGTTCTGGAGTCGCAAACTACGGTGTTAGCAAATAGAGAAGAGAGACGGACAAAATGTCCTCTTCAAATATGAGGCGACCTACGGGCTGCTCAGTGACGACGCGCTCGGTGGAGGGCGCCTCGGGGCTGGTGGGCTGGTGGTTCTGAACGGAGGCAGTTGTCGCGTCCCAGCTTGCGCCGTTGGTGGGCTCCTGCTTGAAGGAGAACCAGTTGAAGAGGCCGTTGCCGAGCATTATGATGGTTGCTGGAATCAAGAAAGAGGGATTGCTGAGAATCAGAGTGGTGGAAGAAATGTCGGAGGGGTTTTTGGGGTAAGCAGATCGAGGATAGCGTAAAGGATGAGGGGGCCCAGGGTGGTTTTATATGGATCGACTGGGGGAAATGGGGACGCCCAGAATGACAGTACAGAAAATCAGAGAATAGAGGGCGGTATTGTGGCTGTCCTTTGCAATTATCGGTCTAAGTGTGAGGGATTATCTACCCTAACTCCATACAATCCTTTCATCGTGACTGGCCCCAAGATCAGGATCCACTTCATTTACTTCATCCATCCAACGAATTATTAGGCCCGTCGGAGGTCCTGACGTCGTAAGAATGACCGTAATCTTGCAGTAAAGGCTTGGTACATCCCTGTACGACGTATCTTGAGCGATACTGTAGAATGCGAACCGATCCGACCGGCTGGGCTAGGACATTGGTGGCTGGCGCAGCATGACATCCACTGAACGGTTCAAGCTTCGCCACGTTGTTCCCACGATGATCATCGGATAGATGATATCACTGGCCATGCGTGCTCTACCCTCACGCAAGGGACAGATCTAGAGTTGGAGAGTTGAAGCATCCCCTGGGGCAATGGCAAAGAGTCAGACGATCGATAGATGGTCTTGAAATCCACCGCCCGTACGATCATGTGTATAATACACCAAGCCCCTGAAACTGGGGTGAATCCTCCAGTTATCAGCGTGCAGGGCTCCCAGTCAATTGGACCGCGGGAATTGTGACTGATTGCACACGAGCACACGAAAAGCAGTGAAACCTTCCGATCCCTAGCCCGAGGCTGGTCAATCTCGAATCGACAATGTCCCCACTGCGTCTCCACTTTGGGTGAAGTAGGGCCATTCAGCATGCTCGGCCCAGAAGCGCTAAGCTTTGTCAAGCTTCGTCATTCGTGCACATCTCGATATTTTTAGGCCCGCTTGCCGTGGCTCGGCGACGACCTTGTGCAGGTTGTCCCGTTGTACAACTGTTTGTACAGTATTTCATCCATCGAGGTGGATATCCTACAGTCGTCCTGACTACACCCGACCGCTCCGGGACTGTGGCTGGAGGAGCTTCGTCAGCGGGGTATTCATGGAGTCGAGCCCTGAGGCAGTGCTGAGGATCTCTGGCCTTTCCAGGAAAAAACAAATAGGCAACGAGAATGTGGCTGAACTAATTTGAATATTTGACAGATTCAGATGATTCAATCATTCATTCAAACAGACCATGGCATATATCCATGGCGGTGATCTAAGTCACATGACCTGCATACTTGGCACGCCGCGTCTTCCGTAAATTTTCGCCGAGACGCGCATCCAAAATTGACCGTATCAACGGCCCTCAAAAGATTCAATTGAAACTCATCCAGTATAGTCCCAACAAAAGACTAATATACTGTGAGAATCCTTCAAAATGGCGACTTCCAACCCACAGCAACCACCCAACTCGCTCGCGCCCCGCGAAGCAGATTACGAACGCTTCAAAAACTACGCTGCAATCACCTTCCTAATCGCCTCGCCCGTCCTAATCGCCCTACCACCCCGCAAATTCGACCACCTCACCGTTCTCCTTGCAAGCGCATTTGCCGTCTCCGCAAACCACATCACCCGCGAGCGGACAGGTCGCAGTATCGTCGAGCGCATCGAGGCTCGGATAGCCCGCCCACCTGGCATTATGCGGGAATTGCCGAGCGAGCGTGCAGAGGAGATCCAGGCCCGACTTAGGGCGGCGCGGGATGCGCAGATTCGTGAGGCCGAGGCGGAAATCAAGGCTAAAGCTGGTGCTGTTGGGGAGGAGTTGGAGAAGTTGAAGGCAAGGCAGATGCAGGAGAAGGGAATTGCGTCGAGGGTGTGGATGGGTGGGGAGGACGAGGGTTGGATGGAGAAGAGGCTGAGGAAGGAGAAGGAAGCGTTGGAGGAAGGGAAGGGGTATGGAGATTTAATTTATGAGCATGTTTGGGAGGTCTGGAATTGGGGGAAGAAGGTGGATGAGGATGAGGATGAGGATGAGTAGGGCCGCTGCATGTCCGAATCACTTGACCTTTGCTATACAACTGCTCGCTACTTGAGTACCCTTTTCACCACTTCGGCTTTTCGTTTCCGGCGACTTTCATCTGCGTCGCTGCATATCTGTTTGATCTGTCGATACTTTTTCGCTGTACCAATATCTCTTTCGACTCGGCATTGGGAATGGGCGTTCGGTGCTTTACTTAGATTCACGCGATGATTATCCTCCCCTCTTGGTCTACTGATCTTCAAACTGCCCCGAGACTATGTACATTCAATGTATAATACTTAAAAACCTTGCGAAACATGCCATGACTGTGGTCAGTCTCAGATCTAATCTAGTTCAATCTATAAGCCGAGAGCTACGTTCCTTACTTTGATCTGGAGTACAAGGGAAGTAAATTGGAATAGAAAATGTGATTATCATTTTGAAGAGCCCCCAAAATATCCAATGAAAGATCACAACATGAAATGCTCTCACACATGAAATTCTAATATACATAAAATTCGGATATCAAGTGAAGCAAATCTGGCAATCTTTTTATACTGGCGGATTGATTGTGCCAGTGCGGACGAAAGATTCAATCCGAGACAGCATAGCGTTTGCAGCAGCAATACCCTCAGCAACGAGAAGAGCCTGATGATAATCGACAATATTAGTATAGTCGATGACAGCTTGATTGAATTGACTGACCGGGTCATTAATGTGATTTTCGGGGTAGTAACTTTCAAGTGGAGGGGCGTCGGGCATTTCAATATCGGTATCAAGGTGTGAAGCATCAACCATGTCAACGTCGTGGACGGCTTGGTAAAGATTCGTCTGTGCGAAGATATTAGGAACTGCTTGCTGGACGAGTGTTGGATTCTTAATTCTTACCTGATTTTGATAATTTTTCCATTTCCGGTTTCTTGGACCTCGTGGAATGAAATGGGGGTGGTTTGATACGCGCAGTTGGTCTTGGAAACCAGTCCGGTATGGAGCCTATCAAGATTGATTAGTTTCTGCTTTCAATATAGGGGAAGGTCTAAATACTTACTGAGTTATCGCTACTGGCGTGGTTTGGGAACCGCCCATTCTGATTCTGACGGCGTCGGGGGTTGGCTTGATGGAAGTTGATGTTTTGTGAATGATTCTGGGAGAATGTCTTAGTGATTTTCAATCTCGAATCTCGGAAAGGATTCCTGACTTGTGATGGACCACCTAAGTGGACATTTTGATGAGGAATGAAGTTATGAGTGCGGTGGTTTTGGTTGTGGTATCGCGGGTTAGAGTTGCCTCGTCCATTCCATCCATTGTTCCTTGGTCCTGAGCCGTTAGTGGATGATCGAAAAGACCCGGCTTCTTGATTGTAGGCAGGACGGTGTTTGCCTCCACCGAAAGGCTGGCCGTTTTGATGTCGGACAGCCATCTTGACTTGGTTAACGGGGGGTAACGTGATATAGTCTCAGAGTCAACCCCGGAAAAGATCGAACAAGAGTGGTTCTATTGTCTCCTCCCAAGAGCCGGATTTCCACTTCAGAGTCTTTACCCGCTTTGCTGTTTTTGAGATGTGATTTAAAATATGAACGATTGTTTAACGATTTGCTTGAACGATTTGTTTGAACGATTTTGCACGCAGAAATCTCTCAAGTTTCAGTAGTTGAAGCCCGAAGTCCGACCACTTAGATTCGACCTAGTAACCCGGGCACGCGTGATAAGATCTTCCAAGGGAGAGAACTGAGGTGGTCTCTTCTGTGTAGGACGCCGGAATGGAACAGACGCAGTATAAGAGGTTTCAGTGAGTGAGGATGATTGATCTCAAGGAGAGCAGAGGAGATGGAGAGAAGGGAGGAAAGTAGAAGGACAGAGGGGCACAACAATGATTTTGTCTAGAGTCTGCTGAATGGCTATTATCCCCAAATGGGCATACAGGACTAGCAGAAAGCAAATTGGGTTTAGCAAGTACTTTTCTGGGACCGAATACCTGTCGGTGCCTCTTTTGTCGTATAGTTCCGTAGTTCTAGAGGGTTGGGACAGCAGAATTAGGGCTAGTTCGATTACCCCGGACCAGAATTTGTAGACGGTGGCCTTGTCCCTGCTTTTGCTTTTCGGCCTCTTCTAGACCTCGGACAATCTGCGAAATGAGCCGGGGACTGTAGAGAGTACTAGTCTCAACAGGGGCTTGGCCTGACCTGTTCGGGATATAGGATTCCGTAACGGGAAGCGGAGGAAATAACGAGGCCGCGGACATGGACAGGCGGCTAGTTGGAGACGAGACTATTAGAAGGCGATGGCTCCGGTGGTCCATCTGATTGATGGCAGATATATATGCTCTGAAGAGATATCATAGACTGGAAGAGCGAGACATTATATAACCTCACTACGGCTGGGTAAGAAGAAGTGGCGGAGGTTTCATGTTTTTGTTCCATTTGAAGAGCGGCTCCAATATGAGGTCTTGAAAGAAATAATGATAAGTAAGAATAAACTTGACAATTGCTTTATGACGAAACCCACCATTCGACAAAGACCAAGGGGTAGAGATACAATTAGTAGCTCATCAGCTGGTCTCTTATTTTAGGCCCTCTAAGAGTTAAAGACAACATCGGCTTTGTCAGGAACAATAAGAACAAAGAATGGACGTGACAGGTAGAACCAGTGATTGACTCGGTGACCAGACCAGACGACAATGGCCGCCCCTCCTGCGGTCGGCAGGTTAGCCCCCATTGCGTGCTCTCTTGAATCGTCTTGTCTTCTCATCTGCCTCTTTTTCAACCAGTGGCTCTCCATTTCTCTTCAGGTCGCTGCTCGTCCGCCGCGCGCGCTTCTTCCTGTGATTTGCTTCGGCGGGCGAAGCGCCGTCATTCGATACCAGACTCTCGCGCTTGCGCTTTTCTGGCTTGGTTTTCTCTCGCATTCGCCGCTTTTCCTCTTTAATCTTGAGACGTCTCTGAACCTCTGCAGATATGTCTTCCGTCTCTTGTGAACCGGACGAGGCATAGTGCGCACTTCGTGCATCTTCCCCGATGAGATCGCGCCGGCGTTTAGAAGCTCGGGGGTCTTCTTCTAAACTTTGGACTTGATTTTGCATATCCACCTCCGCTTTCTCGGTCCTGCATCTCTTCTTCCGACAACTGGTCTCTGTCTCCGTCGATTGCGGAGTAGCGGTAGGTCGTTCGTTCATCTTCGATGCGGAGGACGAGGAGTGGGGATTATTGAATGGATTTTCAGGTGCGTTTCCTATGGCGATCACGATATCGTTATTCATGCTGCAAATTTACAGTTGAAGGGAATGGCGATGGTAAAATTTGCAGGGTTCGAGGAAACTGAGCAAAACATACGGTTGAGCTAGAGCAGACGAGTCAGTCAGTCGTATATTCCCGAGATATAAGTCGTGACTAGCTTCACACACCATTTGCTTGCGAGCCACTTTGGACTGGTTCATCGCTTGTATCGTTTTGGTCACCATGGAGGACAATGTCCGAAAGGCTTCGCCGTCTGGCGCAATTTGGCTCTTCACGGAATCGAGCATCTCGAGATGCGAGGCAAGTACGGCTTCATGCCGAGAGAAAATCTGTTCCGACATGTTATAAGCAGAGATGAATTAGCAGGACGGACCAAAGCCAGATCAAAAGAGCTGTCGCGGCTGTCTTATCTGCAGGTTTTGTTTCCATTGCTTTGTCTGAGCCGCCCGGGGAAAATTTGGGATGACGACATACCTCTGCCCACGGGATTGGCGTACCATGCGCCTGGAAGCCGGAGGGAGCTTGAGTCTGGCCGTGTCTGAACATGGCTTCGGGTGTGTTTATGACTGCGTTCAGGTCTTATCTGACTGAAGGTCAAGAAAGCTGCCGTGCAAGGGCCGTCACGGAGTTGAGAGAAAAGAAGCTCGCAGGGATCGGCGGAGAAGATGGAGCTGCTCCGCGCCAAGACTTTCACCCTGCAGGGACGATCTGACAGCCACAAGGAGGCCCTCTAGATACATCATACACCCCAGCCTATGTGGAAAGCCTTGAATTAGGCAGCCATCACGGTCACCCTCAATGGATTGTCATTTCCAGCAGCATAATGAAAGTTCTCCTGCTCGATTAAACTGTGTACAAGGTATTTCCCCAACGCCATCAATGAAACACGCCCAAAACCCGCCTTGCACCACAAAATATCAGATGCTCCTCCTCAAATAAAATCATACAGAACCGGATATGCTTTGTAGCATCACCAGGCGCCAGCATCAAAGTCAAATCGAGACAGCTCCTTTTGAGAATCCTCTACGTCCTTCTTTGCCTTCATCCGCATGTAGAAGATGGGGCAATCACGCGACGAGCAGATAACCTCGCAGTGAAGACTGCCCTGGCATCGCTGACACTGGGTCCACAGACGTCCGAAACGAACTTCAAGGTCAGAAACTTTGGTGAGCGCCTTGGTGTACAACTCGCCAATACGAGGGCGGCAGTTCTCGCACACGGCACCGGCCATCTCTTCCTTGCCGGACAGCGGCTTCTTGCAGCCCATGCAGGTCTGGGTACGCTTAGTGAACTTCATGAGTCCACCCAAGCTAGGAGCAGCAACGGAGATCGACCGTGTGTGTTCACCGGTCAAAAGCTGGTTGGCCTTCTTTTCTCCCAGGATGGGCTCGAAGATACGGCCCAGTGGATTGGCAAGCTGGTTGTCCAAGTAATACTTGGTATCAATAGGGATGTTGTTCTCAAGTACGAAGATGGGGTCCTCGGCACGCTCGTAGCCCTTCGAGTTGGCAGCACCCTTGATCATTACGTAGGCCACACGATCTCCTAAAGCGGGGGCGGATCCAGCATCGCGCTTCGCCATGCGCTTGGCGAGCTCGACGTGAGCCTGCTTGGCCGCGTATTCTTTCTGTGACAAGGCTTTCGTGATGACTAGCTTGGACATATCCACCTTGTTCTGAAGGAGGTCGGAAATGGTGGCTTTCACATAGCTAGAAACCAGATTAGCCTCCATCTTTGAGTCAATGTGCAGAGTCAATGGCTTACTTTTGCGCGCTATCAATGTCTCGATCGATAAGAATCTTGTTCAATACGGTCTCAATGACGTTCTGCACCAGGAGGCAGTTGTCACGTCGTACAGTTTCAATACCCTTGGTATCCATCTTGTCATGCTTCTTCGTGTTGGTCCAATAAAGACCTGCGTAACGCTTCTTGTTGATGAGCAGGTAGGGGAAGTACACCTTTTCGAACTCAAGCTTGATGGGCTTGATGAACTTGGAAGAAACAAATTCTGCGGCTTCCTCGCCGAGTTTCATCGCGTCTTCTAACTCCGTAACGCCGAACTTGACCATGACTGAATCAGTATCACCGTAGATGACTTGCGCATCGTGGGAGTAACCATTGGCAATGGTGTAGCGAGCTTCCACTTCGGCCTTGGTTTTCTCAATCATCTGACGACCATAACTGGTAGTACTACTAGCAATCGGAAGACAGGGCAGCTTGCCGACCGTGGCACCAGTCAGACCGTAAACACTGTTTGCGCTAATCTTTAGAGCGAGCTGACGACCGTTCAGGACGGCTTTCTTGAATGGATCGGTTTCACTCGCCAACTCTCTCTTCGCACGCTTTCTCGCACCCAGCAATTCCTCGAGAATCTGCGACAGGAGACCTTTGCGCACTTTCGCGGTGCAGAACAGATCTCCGTTTGGCGTCACAATGTAGTCTTCATCCTTTTTGAGACCAAGCTTTTCAACGCTGTTTTTGTTGAGTAACGTGGTGTAGCACAGGTTGTGTGCTTGAATAATGGACGGATACAGTGACGCGAAATCAAGGGTGGCGATGGGTACGCCATAGTAGCCACGTTTCGGTTCAATGACAGTGGCACCTTCGTAATCCTGTTCATCCTGTGACTTTGAATTGGGAATGACAAGTTGCTGTTCGAGAGCCTTTCGGAACAATTGACTAATGAACTTGACTTGCTGGCCTCGAGAGAGAAGGTAATTGAAGGGAACACCCGTGACTCTTGCCATTTCCGTGTAGTTGACCAGACACATCAATTTGTCCATCAATCTTTGTGGAAGGTAGGCATCTTTTAAACAGTATACTGCTAATCGACGTCGAGAATCGGGAGTGCCGTTGAAAAGCTCTGTGATCATAGTGTGGTGGACATCTTCCTTCTGCTCTCCGAGGAATTCGTAGGACACAGAATTGAGAGTGTAGCTTCGCAGTTGGTGGTCTCGCTGTACTAGCTGAAGCAAATCAAGCTGAATTCTGCCGTTGGTATTGGTCGCTTTTGTCTCTCTGTTACCCATCTGCTTGCTCGAGAAACTAGCCTCCTTGGCCTCAGTCCGGCAGTTCCTCACTCTAGTCCAATACGGGAATTGAGTACACTTCAGGTGTTTGGCACGATCGAGTAAGTATGGGAAATCGAAGTTGGCGATGTTGTACCCGATGATAACATCCGGATCGACCTTTTCCACAAAATCGCGCCATGCCATCAGCATCCGTTCCTCTTTCTCGAATTCCAAGATTTGGGTATTGACGATGAGGCTGCAAGTGTCGAGGCAGAATACATTTCGAATGAAAGGTTTCGACTCTCCGTACCGAGTGACGACGTTGGCGATTTGGATCACTGGATCCACGTTTGGTTCTGGAAAGATGCCTTGACGCCCAGCGCACTCAATATCAAAAGACAGAATACGAAGTGGAGCCATCTTGGCCCATTCGCCATTAGGGGCGTGCGCAATCATGTCGCGGTAGTCCATAATGGCCTCAATCTGGCAGTTGGATTGCCTTTCGTGGTCAGATAAGAGGCGATATTTTCCGGCTTTGGCTTCAACCCACGACATGCCGTGGAGGCCGGTATCGATCATGAAGCGCAACAGGTATTGAATGCTGTCGAATGTTAGAATTCCAGAGTCGGAATTGCTCCACAACCCTTTGTAGTTCATAGATCCACTGCCTGTTTCGAGTGCGCTCCGCAGCCTGGCGATGAACTTTGGATCGGTCACAGTGATCTTAAGATACCAGCTCTTCTGATTTCCCTGGAATCCGTAAAGATTCTCTCGTAGGGTGACCTGCACGGATTGGATGACTGGGACCATTTGCGCAAGTTTGGTCTCGAGGAAGGCTCGGTAAGGGTTGCAGTCTTCCTGTGTGAAGCCAACCGGAGCAGCGATATAAAGATAGTGCTGGAAGCCAGTCACATGCAGCATGACTGATTGGCCGAGCTGAAAAAAAATGTCAGATTTCATATCGTTGGATGCATCACAGTCAAAGCACAAGAATCTTTACCTCGGTAACACCAAACAAGCGAACAGCCATCTTGTCGGCTCCAAATCGACCTTCTTCAGCATCAATCTGCTGGAAACAGATAGCCTCCTTTGTCGGATCAAAATCACCCAAAGGGGGTCGCTCCCACTGCTGGTCCTTTTCCGCATTGTTCCCTTTCAAACCCCCGATGTCCTGTGTCAGTTTCTCAAGGACCTCTTCCTCGAACTGACTCTTCTGTGGTTGAGATGAACCAAATCCTTTGCGCTGAGTATTCTGTGCAGGAGCTCTGAACTGGGAGGAGGGTTGGGTATCGAGCTTGCGCTTTTTCAGCGCTGCGGGGGAGATGGCATTGCCGCGTGGATTGGTGGTTGTATCGGTCAGAGCCCGTTTATGGGGAGGGACGGCTTCAGGCATGGTGCTGATACATTCGAGGTACTGCCGTTTATCTTCAGAATCTGGGTGCCACCGGGTGTGAGAAAGAGTTGAGCAGGATGGGTTGGGCGGGCAACACTCCGAGAGTCTGGAAGTCGTGTCGCAGTCGCGCCTTTGACGTGACGCCCTTTACGCGTGAGCAAGCAAGTCACATGCTGATAAGATAAGAGAGTCAACCCCAAATGATAAACTAAGCCACGCAGCTAAATCACAATGTTGTGATGATCATGAGAACTGAGAGGTTTAGTAGCACGTATTTCTCTTCCATTTGTCTTCTCATATGATCACTGCTCTGTTGGCGCTTTCCTGGTTCAGTCATCGTGGCTATCCACGAGAGGTAAATGTTGGAATACGGCTCTATGCCGCGTGGTTGTCCGCCGGCAGAAAATGACTGATATGAGTCTTCCCGTTTAACCTCTCTGTTGCCTTGTACCAGCTCGCCATTCACTCAACACACAATCCATTTGTTGTCAGGAAGCTTCCTTGATCATTATTGATCGTAAGATTGAAACTATTTTATGAACAGGTGGACCTGGCATCGTACCTCCCGAAACTGTCACTTCCACACCGCCCGCATGACACGCCCTACAAGAGACATTTAGAATCCTATGGAAGCCTGAGTCAATCATTGTGATTGTGACCCAGCGAATATTTGTCTCTGGCCCGTGCTGGGTATAACGCAGCGTGTCATCTTGAGACAACAACTCGAGAATTCCTCTTTTTGTCCATTCGGACGCTGCGCTTCACGCCACTGCTCACCTCAGGCTACATAACGACTTGTTCTGGCCCACCCCCACTAAAACTATAAGATCCTCCACGCCTCGCCAGGAGCATTGCCGACATCCCTGTCAATCGCCATTATTTTATGCGAACAACTTTATGGGCGTTCCCGATCGAAATTGGCCGTCCTGGATCTCAATGGAGCAACTTTCAACTTCTTCGACGTAGTTTATTCGTGTTCTCTTGATACCCAGCCAGACCTACTGGTTCCACAACCATCATAATGTCAATGTTCAGGTCCGCAGCAGATATTTCGTCCTCCGACCCAGATTCAGACTCGGATGAGGGAGAGTACAGTGGTCAACAAACACGCAACCCCAACGGCGGAGGGACCTCTGGGCCTCGAAGCAACGGCCGCGACGAAGGCAAAGGCAATGCTTCTGCGAATCTGTCAAGCAGCGTGGACTCAACCAGTGAAGTAGATTCTTCAATCTCACGAGATGATATATCTGCTTTGTCACAAGACGCTCTGGGCGCGAATGTGGAGCGCCATGCAAACTTTATGACAGCCGCTCTACTAGAGTTCTACTGCCAAAGTCGAGCGGCAGACATCCTCAATGCACAGAAGGGCTCGAGTAAAAGGTTCACTCGAAACTGTCCAGAGGCACAATATCTCGGCAAGAAGCTGTACAAGTACAAATCCCAATTTCTCGCATCACACGGCGTGCTAGCAGATGGCGTTGAAAAGGAAGAGTTGGGCGGAACAAGACAGACATACCGTGATAATCTGGACCTGCTTGGGCTCTCTGCCCTAGAGGACCTGAACTTGAACGAGACTCAGCCGCCAACACCGATTGAAGGCAGTGAGGAGCTTGCTCTAGTATCGAAAAACCTTTGGGCTCGTCAAGGAGTCAGTGTGGCAGACAGCAACACTCATTTTTGGAAGGTACCCGGGGAGAATGCTACTTTTCGTAAGGATATACCTACCGCCAGCAATTTCAAGGTACTGGAAGGTATCCCCATCGGCACCCCTAGCCTGCCAGCGCCATCGAGACCGTTGTTTGGAAGCTCGCCCGTGAGTATGCCTCTATTCAACGGACCAGCCGTGCCTCCATACAACAACATGTCACGTTACTCGGTTGAGTTCACCGAGCTTAAAGTTCTCGGCCGTGGATCCTTCGGGGAGGTGTATCATGTCACCAATCATATTGACGGACAGGATTACGCTGTCAAGAAGGTTCCCATTAGCCAGAGGCGCCTTGATCAGCTACAGTACGGCGGACAAAACCAGCTGGAAACCATCATGAAAGAGATTCGGACACTTGCTCGGCTTGAGCACACCAATATTGTTCGATACTATGGCGCTTGGATCGAGCAGGCGCATGTATCGGGTCGTGGACATTTCGAGCCACAAGCGCACACCAGATACGAACCGCCCCATATTGACATACCAAGCCGTGAAACAACCAACGAACCCAGCATGGGCATCGTATTCGAGCATTCTGAGAGCTCGGCAGTGGAGTCGCATGCTAGTAGTTCATTGCCTGATGAACATGGTTTTTCCACCCGCATCTCGCGTTGGGACAGCCACGCTACATCGTCGTCTCGTCGTTCGAAAAAGAGCTCGGGAACAGCACTTGAGGATGATGACGATATCGAGTCCATTCCTCGAAACTTTGAGAATCCCTCCTATGGCCAGACTTCCACATTTGGCGAAACGGATGATATCTTCACCGACGGGTTGAGCCAGGATCAGTCGAGATTCCGAGTTCAACGACAGCACCGTTTTGGCCAACAAGCACCCGCTGTCATTCTCCACATCCAAATGTCTCTTCACCCAATTTCTCTCAGCTCTTATCTGAACCCACAGTCAGCGGAGAAAGCCAATTCCGATAACGGCTCCCCCTCACGACGTCATTGTTTCCATTTGATGCCGTCACTGAGACTGATGCTGGACATTATCTCGGGCGTCGAGTATTTGCACTCGAAAGGAATCGTCCACCGTGATTTGAAACCAGCAAATATCTTCCTATGCGCACCAGAGAGCACGACCTTGAATATCTGCGCCACCTGCAAGTCTGATCCTGCGTCGCCGACCCATTTCTGCCGTCCGCGTATTGGCGATTTTGGTCTGGTTGCAGACATTTCGCACTTAAATGAGACTACTGAAGAGAACGCCATCACGCCGTATCATGGAGGTCCCAAGATACAGCGAGTGGTTGGCACGGAGTTCTACCGACCTCCCGCAAATTCGAGCTCATCAGAACCCTTGGAATATTTTGATGAGTACAAGATTGATGAGAAACTTGACGTGTATGCTTTGGGTGTGATCTTGTTCGAGCTTCTTTATCGTTTGAATACCAAGATGGAACGACAGACGGTGTTGAATGATCTTACTCGACGGGCAGGTACCTTCCCGACTGACTTTGCGGTCAAGATCGACCATCGTGGGATGCAACTTCCGACAGGACTTACTGTCGCCGAAACCATCATGAATTGCATCAGGGGAATGTTGGACCCACAATCGCAGCGGCGATGGAGCCTCCAAGAAGTCAAGGAGCACCTGCGCCCCATCTACAAGTGCATCAAGCACTTGTAACGGGAAGATGAAAGGTATCGGGAGGCACGGTGGAGCATTTTCGGACATAATCATGACATCGCATGTAATAGCAATACCCTAAGCATAAAGCAATGCATTTCTCCCCTCGCTTTCAACTACGCAGTATACATAATCCACAGTACATGAACATTGGCAAAGTATGGGGAGTGATCGACGCCACACACGTCGGGCCTCGGCCTGGTGGAAAGCTTCCCTTTTCACACGCTCTGCCGAGAACTTACCTTCCATTCTTCCCCGCATTATTCAAATACACTGCAGCTACCACGCAACTATGTAGATCACAGCTCTAGAAAAGCCCCAAAACATCTGCCTCACATATTTCAAACTTCTAACACACCATGGCGCGTAATCTCCGCCCTGCAACCGCTCCCTACAGCGAGCCCCTTCTTCCCCAGCTCGACGTTCGCAATCCGTACTACACTGATCTGCATCATAGCCTGCGCGTCTGGGTCCGTGATTATGTCGAGACTTCTATCGCGCCGTACGCTCAGGAATGGGAAGCTGCCGGGCAAGTCCCCGAGGAGGTTCGACGACGTCATTGCGAACTCGGCTTCGGCATCGTACACCCCCTCACGACGGAGGAGCACTCGGCAGGGCTGGCGCTGCCAGGCAATGTACCCCGTGATAAGTGGGATACGTGGTGTACCCTAATTGTGGGGGATGAATTGACTCGTGTGGGCTTCGTGGGTGTCATTTGGGGCCTTGGTGGTGGAAATGGTATTGGGTGTCCACCTATTGCGAGATTTGGCACACCGGAACAGCAAAAGCGCTGGCTACCAGGCGTTGCAAGGGGTGATCTTCGTTTTTGTTTAGGTATCACAGAACCAGATGGTAAGTGGGGGTCTAGACCTTAGTTTTTCGGATGCCCCAGCTGAAGTACTGACGTCTCTGGAAATATATAGCTGGGTCGGACGTTGCCAACATCAAGACCACCGCTAGGCGTGAGGGCGATCACTACATCGTCAATGGAGCAAAGAAATGGATCACCAATGGTATTTGGGCCGACTATTGTACGGCTGCGGTGCGCACTGGTGGTCCAGGACGATCGGGTATCAGCTTACTTGTCATTCCCTTGAAGGCTGAGGGAGTGACTCGCCGGAGAATGTTCAACTCGGGTGTCAATGCCAGTGGTATGCCAGACCATCATGTGTCCTTCTTAGATTATACCATCTTAACATACGCGCAGGATCAACCTTTATCGAACTAGACGATGTCCGTGTTCCAGCTGATCATCTCATTGGCGAAGAGAACAAGGGCTTCCCTCTGATCATGTCCAGTAAGTTCCGAGAGTCTTATCCTCGAAGCTGTGGCTAACAACGTATTTCAGACTTTAATCCAGAGCGTCTTGCACTCGCATGTGCGTCCCTCCGTCTTGCCCGTGTCTGTGCCGAAGACGCCTTCAACTACGCCATCCAACGCGAGACATTCGGATCACCCTTGATCCAGAGACAAGCCATCCAAGCTAAGATTTTCAAGTTCGGCTTGATGATTGAGCCGGCATATGCGTTCATGGAACAGCTGGTCAACATCCTAGAGCTCACCAAGGGCCGACCTGTGGACGATGTTAAGATCGGCGGCATGACTGCCTTGTTGAAAGTCATGTCTACAAGGGCATTGGAAAAGAGCGTTCGCGAGGCGCAACAAATTCTTGGTGGTGCTGGATATAACAAGGCTGGCAAGGGGGCTAGAATCGAACAAATTAGTCGGGATGCTCGGGTACATGTCGTTGGTGGTGGAAGCGAGGAAATTATGATGGGCCTGGCATTGCAGGAGGAGACCAAAGCTCTGCGGACACGGCGACAGGCTCTTGAGAAGAGACAATCCAAAGTGTAGGAATGGTTTACTTTACTGTATCTGCTTTTCTGACCAACGAAGCAAAATTCGCTGCGCGCACTACGCCACCCTCACTCCACAGCATTCACTTCGGGCTTACAGTACAGATGGGGTAGAAATCAAGGAATCAATTATCCATTTGAAGATATTTATTATGCAGCTTCCTATTGGTTTACAGATCTTCTTCCTACATACCAGAATCAAGGGTGAATTACTAATTCTAAAGATCTTCCCTTTTGATAATGAGCGTCAATGGTGGTTATAAACAACATTACGAAGTCGTCTCGGCAGATTTCAAATAAGTCAACTAGAATAATTCCTTAGCCTCGGATTTCGCTTATTTCAAGGGGCCTCCCATCCCGAAGCCCTCCAGGTATTTGCCGGCTCACAGGGAGTAGAAATGGTGCTAACTACCGCGTGCCTGTCAACTTCGACAACTTCGACCCGAATCTGACTGTAGGTGGGTTGATTCCTCAGGCACAAGCAGATCACGGCCCAACGACGTCACGACTGTGGGGAAAGCTTCCCGTCACGCCCTCGTCCATCCAACCCACCTACCGTACACGACGGTTTGGTGCCTTGCCCGGATGGAGAGTTTTGACGACGTGACACTAGTCGGCCCTGTGTCGGACCCCTCGATTTTGGACGATCACCTTCCACCAACGAGCAATGACGGAAAGCCCAGAAGATCCGCTGAGGTGGAACCAGCGGAACCAGGCACTCCCACCTCTGATCGCTCGATAAACATTGGGCGCACCCAGATCAAAGCTGTCACAACCGATATAGCTGGGGAACCTTCGATATCATCTAATTTCCCCCCCGAAGAAGAAGATGAAGAGCCTCGAGTCGCCACCTCCTTCGAGCGGGAGTCGAGCCCAACTTTCGCGCAGAAACTCCGGTCCGGTGTGGACGCAGAGGATGAGGGGATCAACAGGATGCACAAGTTCACGCTCTACGAGACGGCCACTCGATTTTACATGGTCGGAATCAACCTTTCAGAGACGCGCTTTCGGATTCTTAAAATTGATCGCACCTCCGAGTCGGGCGAGTTGAGCATAACTGAAGATGACATGGTCTACACGAAAAGGGAGATGGTCCAGCTGCTGGATGCGATCGACGACGGGAATAAAAGCTCTGGTGGTTTGAAACAGAAGTGTAGCGCCTGGGCACTGCTTGGTTTCGTTCGCTTTACAGGAGCGTACTATATGCTCTTGGTCACCAAGAGGAGCCAAGTGGCCGTGCTCGGTGGCCACAATGTCTACCAGATTGATGAAACAGAGCTAGTATCCTTGACGCCGGCCGAGTCATCGCGTCTGAAACCTGAAAAGCAGTCAGAGGAGGAGAGATACAGGGCAATTTTGAGCAATCTCGACTTGACCAGGTCGTTCTACTTTAGTTACTCTTACGACATAACACGTTCTCTTCAGCATAATATTTGCCGCGAACGAAAGGCCCATCATCAAGGGGTTTCTGGATCCGTCTCCCGCGACTACAACACCATGTTCATTTGGAATCATCATCTTCTCGCGCCGGCGGTCAGTGCTCTGAAGAATCCCTACGAATGGTGTCTTCCGATCATTCATGGCTACGTAGACCAGTCCAAGATGAGTGTCTATGGAAGAGTGGTTTATGTATCGATCATCGCCCGTCGGTCTCGGTTCTTTGCAGGAGCGCGTTTCCTCAAGCGTGGCGCAAATGATTTGGGGTTCGTTGCCAACGACGTCGAAACGGAGCAGATTGTCTCCGAACAGACCACGACGTCTTTCCACTCCGCTGGTCCGGAGCTACACGCGAACCCCAACTATACATCATACATTCAACATCGTGGAAGTATCCCTTTACATTGGACCCAGGAAAACACGGGTGTTTCACCGAAACCGGCCATCGAGTTGAATCTTGTCGATCCATTCTATTCGGCCGCCGCGTTGCACTTTGACAACCTCTTTGAGCGTTACGGAGCTCCGATCTACATTTTGAATCTCGTCAAATCTAGGGAACGCACACCTAGAGAGTCGAAACTTCTGCAAGAGTTCACGAATGCGGTGACCTACCTGAACCAGTTCCTACCTGAGGGCAAAAAACTTATCTACAAGGCTTGGGACATGAGCCGCGCAGCAAAGAGCCGTGATCAAGATGTCATCCAGACATTGGAAGATATTGCCGGTGATATCATACCGCAAACTGGATTTTTCAAAAACGGGCAGGATGCAGAATCGGGCTTGCGACTTCAGAACGGTGTCGCGCGAACAAATTGTATTGACTGCCTTGATCGGACCAATGCTGCGCAATTCGTGATTGGCAAAAGAGCACTCGGTTACCAGTTGCATGCCCTCGGAGTCATTGATGAAACAACTGTCGAATATGATACGGACGCCGTCAACCTCTTCACTAGCATGTGGCATGACCATGGAGATACGATTGCCATTCAATACGGAGGATCTCACTTGGTAAACACCATGGCTACGTACCGTAAGATCAACCAGTGGAGCAGTCACTCGCGTGATATGGTCGAGAGTTTCAAGCGCTACTACAATAATTCTTTCCTTGATGCCCAACGACAAGAAGCCTACAACCTGTTCCTAGGAAACTACACCTTTTCTCAGGGCGCCCCAATGCTTTGGGATCTCGCCACCGATTACTATCTACACCATGCCGACCCTAGATCCTACCTGCAGAAGAAGCGCCCCAACTACATCTCTTGGTACACGCCGGAACACCTGAATGAAAGAGAATTCCCACCACTCCCCCACCGACCCAAGGAGCCGCTTTCCCACTTTGACGATTACTGGCTTGAGTATTACCGGCCTCTGGCTGTCTCGACCATGTCAAAGATTTTCTCCTACAAAATGAACTCAACACTGCGCTACCTCCCTCCCCTCCGTCCTGGACACACTGCGCCCGATCTCAGCCCCTTCGTACCTCGCATCCCTCAAGAGCAACTGCAAAGAGACCGTCCGCCGCAACGAACTGTCCAATTTCAAGAGCCTACCGACACTCATTCTCGATATTCGACCACCACGCCGCCCATTCCGGACGCACCCGATACTTGGAAACACCAACCACCATCCTCATCCAAGCATGCCCCCTCGACAGGCATCATCAGAGAGCCCACATTTGAAATCAGCCAAGATTCTCACATTCCTCCAATCAACCCTCCGAACTCTACAACAACACCCAGCAAAGCACAAATTGCGCAGTGGACGTTGGGGCAACTAGTTACGGATTCTTTGAACCCATCGGTTACCTCTGCGGAAGCAGAGGAATATGAGCGGTATATCAATCATCCCCTCAAAGTTCCCCTAGTCGTCACTTCTGAGGACGAGATGACCGCCACATCTCTCCGAGAACACGGCGCTAATCTCGACCTACTCGAGTACGTGAACAAGTGCAATGTCGAAGAAGCGGTCCTTGAAGCCAATGCCGAAGAGAACCTGGCTGACTACGCTGAATTCTTGAATGTTTCGGAGGAAGGGTTGACCGTTGTCAGTGAAGACTATCAGAAAAAGCGGTACAAGCGTTATCGGCAGTGGCTGCGTGGGAAGAGTCTTTTCAAACAACGAGTTGATGTTTAATGGTGCTCGAGTATACTTTTTATCCGCCACTAGCGTTTACAGCCTGAAATGATACCCTGATGCATGTTTGACCCTTTGTGAATAGAGCCGCATTGAATGATCTTGATTTTCAGCAGAAAATATAACCCATGGTCCAAATGAGAAGCCAGATTAGGCTAAACGGAGCACTATGAAAATTTCTGTCCCAGCAAAGAGCAATAATGTACCCCTGTTCCATTCTCAAACTATCACGACTTGACATCAGCGAAGAGCAGAGCCTCCAACTCACTATCCGCTTCAGCTAGCGTCTGCAGTTCCTGCTGCATACCGTCTTTCGCGAGCAATTGATCCGCATCGAATTCCCCATTGACTGCAACGGGGTTCTGCAAAGTATGCTTCAACACATAGACAGTACTCTGCAATTCCCTCGTAATCTTAGCCAGTTCAGTCACCGACGGTGAGCCCTTGCCCGCCTTCACTTTCCCTTGATCTTCTTTCTCGCCGACAGTATAGAGCCAGCATGCACACAGTGCTCCGAGGATTTCACCACGCCATCTCCAAATACGTGGATGCGCGTTTAGAACCACGAATTTGGTGGCTGATACCGCGGTGAAGAGGAGAGGGGGGTGAGCAGTTCCGAAGGGATTGGTGAGCGTAGTGTAAAGAACCGGAATGATTTCTTGGAGATACTTTGTCGTGCTGATCCCGAGCTCATTCGCGAAGGTAGTAATCCATTCTAAAAGGAACGTTGAGAGACGAGGATGCGGGAAAGAGGCGGAGGTGGAGATAGCAGTGGGTGTTGAGGAGCTGATATGGTGGAAGGAGGAAATGAGATTTAAGCGTAGGATTTTTGAGATTTTGGCGGTATATGTCTCTCTATCCTTGGCGTTCTGGTCTTTTGATTTTTTGGGTGATGGGGTTTTGTAGACTGTCTTAAAGAGGGAGAGGAGTGCTGGGTATGCTGCGCTGAGTAGCCGGATAGAGCTGTCTTCCGGGGTGATGGTTGGTAGGGAGAGAAGACAGGGCGTGATAGCGTCCTCGAAGACGGAGGTCAAGTTTGTGCGAACGAGAATATCGGAGCCGCTCTGGTGAATAGGCTGCAGGATCTTGCTGAAGAGCTCACAGCCCATTCTCTTAAACGTGAGGTTATCATCGTCGATCAAGGCCAGGATTGCCGGGACCAGAAGAGGAAAATGTGCTTCCAGGTGGGCTTTATTGGTGGGCTGCAGACAGATCAGTTAGAGTGATACGCGCGGATCGGGAGTTTCGAGCCATACTTTATACCGTGAAATGATCCATGAAAGAACTCTTGTGGCATAAACGTCTCTGAACTTCCAAGGCTTCATCTCATCGTCGAGGATACTTCCGTCAAACCGACTCAAAGGCACGGGGTGGAAATTCTTGCGACCTTCGCTGGTAATAGCAGGGTTCTTGGCCTTGGTGAACAATGGCCGGATCTTTTCCTTGAGTAATCGCGCAATAAGATCCCATTTTCCATCTTGCATGGTCACGTCAAGATACATTGAAGCCTCATCGTGGCTATCCTCGGTCGTCCAAGGATCTTTCTGCTCAGTGAAACAGGCTGCGGCCAAAACGACATCGGGGGAGCTAGCGATCGAGCGATCTGATAGCCCTGGAGGCGCTTTTGAAGAAAGCTGTAGAATGAGTTGAATAGCCAGGGCAGATCGGAGTCGGCTCTCTTTCTGTGCGTCCTTGATCTCTACATGTTTGTTAGTGCATCCTGAGGCTGGAGTCCACGGCTGGAATGATTAGACGGGTTTCTTGCCTTTTGTGATCTCAACATGATCATCAAAGACCGCCGCAAATGCTGACGATGGAAGTGCAAGTTGACTGGCCCATTCGAATAGATTCTTGACGGCTTCAGTCTCGTTCCTATCCAGCTGCTTTGGCCCTCCGTCTTTTGGCAGAAGGGGATCCCAGCCATCGACGAAGCAAAAAGCCGTGTACAGATTTTCGCAGACCTAGAGATATGATTAGTCTTTTATTCTTCACGGTTCTAGCAGGATAGCGTGTATAGATACATCCAGATGGACGGTGCTATCGTGGGATGACACGTCCTGCCACAGCTCGGGCAAGCCATTCTTTGCTGTCGCCTTAAATGCCGCCCGCAAGAAACCCGGTCGATTCCAAGGATCGCGCTGGAGGACCTCGCGGGCCTCTTTGCGCAGCTGATCCATACTGAGTTCTGGTCTAATTGCTCTACGAATAGTGGAAAAGAAGAGAAGTTGTGGGTCTTGGAACCGGTGGAATTGGGGGGCATTTTTTGAGAGTTCTCCGCCTTCATTCACAACCCCAACTCTGCGCGACGTCCCGAGATCTCCTCCAGCACCGCCGTTTTGTCGGTGATCTCGGGATGCAACAGCTGCCATTCCACCACGAGGCTGGTGGCTTTGCTCATCCAGGGCCCCTTTTTCGCCCCCAGATGCTGCATGATTTCGGCGCCGTTTACAATAGGCTTGAGCTCGCAGACACTATCGAGATCCTTCTCTACAATATACGCCAGGAATCGGTCATACTCTTGGGCCACTATAGACACTAAGGTCAGTGTTGCGTATTCCACCGGAGATGACAGATAGAGGTATCCTACCATCGATGAGGTCGCGTCCTCTCATAACTTCTTGAAGTATGGCCAAGACAACGCAGAGTCTCCACTCCTTGCCCCAAGATCGAATTCGGAGGCCAATATGTTGCCGGATCTCAGCCGGCGTAGCTTGGATCGTGTTCCCGAGCAAGGAGTTCTTGTTGTCGATGATGTTTTGAAAATGCAAAGTGGCGTCGCGAAGTATGTAGAGCAATTTATTATCGGCTTTGAGGCTGTCCCTGCCAACTTCGACGGGGCGTGTGGGTGGGGGTCTCTTTTCATTGCCTGACGCTCGAGCAGGAACAGACGTCCACGGGGCAAAGGCTGCAATCATCCAAGCGTAGTAATGGCTAGATTGGTCACGCAAAAGAATCTCGCGAATACGTTCCAAGACATTCTCGGTAGATCCGGGTTGTAACAATTGCGCCAAAGCATTATAGGCCAGGGGCCAAGTCGATGTATCCGCAGTCACGTCGTCTTGGTGGTTGGCAAAGATCGTAGGGAATAGACCGAGTCGGTCGATGAATTGTAAAGCTCCGTGGGGATCGGGACCTTCGAAAACACGTTGTCAGTGAAGCTGATCGCTTGGGATCGCGGTCAAAACACTCACCATGAAGCATCTTATCTAGCTCATTCAAGACCCGCTCTTTGCTAATCTTGAGTTTCAGCGCAACGCTAATGTCCTCATTCTGCATTGCAGATTCCGTTTCTTGGTCGATTTGGTACCCCAACCTACTCGCGAACCGAATTAACCGCAGCACACGGAGCGGGTCATCCTTGAAAGTCTGGTATGGTTCGAGCGGGGTCCGAATAATGTGCTTCTTCATATCATCCAGCCCGCGCTTGGTGAGATCTTCCAATTTTGACTCGTTCAGGTTGTAGAAAAGCGCATTGATAGTAGCATCTCGCCGCAGAGCGTCCTCTTCAGCCGTACCAAATTCCATCTGCGGATTACGGCTGTCTTCCGAGTATGTTTCCTTTCGCAGGTTGACCAGATCAATGTCCAAGCCAAAAATCTTCGTAGTAACGGTCTCCAGGTGCTTCGATTTCTCCGGGTTGGCGTCGATCTTGTGCAGGCTCACGATCGCCTCACTCATCTCTTCACTTGGAAGGCTCTTTTTATATTTTTCCAAGTTCTCGGGAACGTCCAAGTAATCTTTCAGAGCCATTCCGAACTGGTAGCCCGTCATGCTGCTGATCCCCACATCAATATCATGGCTATCGACGCCGAGTAACTTGTCGCGCACCCAGCCGCCTGTAAAGCGTAGGACGGTCTCTGGATGTTTTTTCACATCACTTCCTTCTTCAGTGATACCTTCTTCTTGAATGTAGGATGCGACATCGAGGAGGAGAGTTCGCAGGGTGCTCTCGAGAGGAGTAAGGTGGATGGTGGGGTTTGAGAGACCCATTATTTCGTCAGGCACGTCTCGTTCGATCGAGGTGGAAATACGGCGTCTTTTAGGGGCCCGCTCTTGGGAGTGCGAATCCGTTTCGCGCCCGCGCATGGGCAGGTAGCTGCTTGGGTAGAGTTGGAGGGGAAATTTGGAGAAGCTCCGCGGGTGTGTCTCTTGGCTCGGTATTGCAAGAACGCGGACAAGTCGAGTGTTGGAGGGTAATGGACGACTGGCCTTCAGTAAGGACCGCAATGCGCGCAGACTAGGCATCAAATTGAGCCATCGAGTCACAGCTTAAAAGAAGTCCAGCTACACAGAAAAAAAGGTGGGAGTGACTCAAATGCTGATCCGCCCGATAAGATGCGGCCTCACGTGGTTGCAATCACCACCCGCAATCCGCCAATGCGCCCGAGACACGGAGCTTACAAGCTTCTAGGCCCAAAGTGCATTGCTAATCTCCCAGTCGGCACATATCCTTGACTAGGTGAATCCCCTGGGGCGCGCAAACCCGTTGTCTTTCCCCGCGGTTTTCGGCTCAGATCAAACGACTCAGCCACTCTTTCCCTCCCCAACAACAACAACAATTACACTCCGAGCGACAGTCCGAACACCTGCCCACCGTCGCCTTGCCGTCCGGCTACAAACATACTACCGTCTCGCCCGCCCGGTCGATGGGGCTCACCGATTCTTTCTTCTAGTTCCAGATTTGCAGAGTGCAAGAGGTGTCCATGACATCGCCTGGAGATGTCACTCCGGTGAAACCTCCGCCGTCTTTCTCCCCCGGCGTAAGGCGCAACGCATCCAAGTCCCGATATCCGGATGAGCATGAGTCTACAGTATCTATAGACACCGAATTAGCAGAGGCCCGCTCGGTTTCATCGCCAACACCACCTCTATCAGCTACGACTGCAGAGCTACCAATTCGGTCAGCGTCACCGCAATCCCGCTCGGTTAGATCGTCCACCCCACAATTAGCTCGATCATCATTCGGATCCCCCTTCGATGGACGCTTCGATGGTTCTGAAGATATCAGATCGTTGATAATCCGTGCTTTCTCTCCAACTATCGCCGTCTATGCTTCCGAGGATACGGATGAGCTGGTCAGGAATAAGGGGTTCACACGGGGCTTCTGGGAACTGCTCCGGCCGTTCGGGGAGACTGTCCCAGGGAAGGTGATTATCCGGGACAGCATTGGGTCTAGTCGTGCATGGGAAGACTATGGTGTGCGTTTCGTGGATCTGAAAAGGCTGGGTCGAGAGCCCGCCAGTCGGGATCCTGGGCGGGATTCGCCTTTGGCTCAGATTGAAGAGGTTCTGGGAGAGCAACTAGGCTCTGCGGAGGGATCATTGGGAGCATCTTTGCCTTCCAAGGATGTTCTGGGCTTTCCAGCTACAACATCTCTCGCTAAGCTGTTCTTGAAGCAACTCCTATCCTCTACGCCTGCCGCACCCCACGAGACATTTGGGCACCCTGTGGCCAGTGTCATTGCAATCAGCTCCCGCAACAAAACTCCTCTGGAGACCCTGCGGCAGCTCTACGCTGAGACCAACACGGGCGACAAGCGGCTGCCGGATTGGGTGCATCAGGAGTATCTTCGGTATTATGTCTTGGTCCACGATGAAGAGCGGGACGATATTACGGAGTCTACCAAGCTATATGATCAGATGAAGCGCCACTTCGGTCTACATTGTCATCTTCTAAGACTCCGAAGCAGTCAGTGCATCGTGACTGATGACGATAGCGTTCAAGTGCCCAATTGCGAGTGGCTTTCTCCGCAAGAGCACCTGTCCGGAGTTGGAGAAGCCGGTAAGTGCTCTCCCGCTCCAATTTTATGGCCTATCTAACACCCCATCAGAGACACTGGTAGATCTCGGTACAGATGGTACTCCCTATCTCTTCGATTCCGACGTGTCAGCAATCAAATCATTCATTCGGGAACTTACTGTACAATCTGTGATTCCCTTCATGGAGAACCGAGTAGCAGTTTGGAATGACCAAGTTGCATCTCGTCGGCGCGGTATCAGCGGCCGGTTCATGTCAATGTCAAGACGATGGGCTGGCTTTGGCTCCAGCTCTCGTTCTGGTATTGGCGGTTCGGGGGGCGGAAACAGTGGAAATTACGACACCGAGCACAATTTCTACCGCCAAGACACGCCCGAGGCAATTTTGCGGAAGATGGCTGATTTTGCATTCATGCTCCGTGACTGGAAGCTTGCCTCTTCCACATACGAGATGATCCGGTCGGATTTTGGAAACGACAAAGCGTGGAAGTACCATGCAGGAGCACATGAGATGTGTGCTGTCAGCATATTGTTGAACCCGCTCGCTATGTCGGCCAAAATCAAGCTGGAGAGCGTGGACCAGATGTTCGAGACCGCTTGTTATTCCTACCTCACTCGATGTTCCGACGCAACACATGCTCTCCGATGCTTGGCTTTAGCCGTGGAACTTCTCAAGTCTCGAGGTGGATCGGCAACCGAGAGTGCAGCCAGATGGGCCATGCGGGTCATGGACTTTGGTCTGGTTGGCTCGGTTGGTCAGATTCTTTTCATGGAGCGAGTGGCTGCATGCTATGCTTCCAAGACCCCGGTGGGTGGAGCTAAATGGGGTGCTCGTCGGAGGAAAGCTGGCATGTGGAGCATCTTTGCTGCTGATCAGTGGCTTAAGGCCGGCAAGCCTACCCTTGCTTCTGCCTGCCTTGAAGAAGCTGAACGTCTCTATGCCGATGTTCTCGAGACTGACGGTGTTTTCCCAATGCCGGAGATGCAGAGCTTCATCGATAATTTGCGTCACGCCGTGAAAGTCGAGTATCTTCAGGCTCGTGGTTTCGATACTCAAGACGAACCGGCTGCTGATGATCCCCTTGGCACTGAAGAGATCAGTGAGAAATTAGACAAGCGCAATCATCGTCGCTCGCTAATCGGGCTTCCCGCGCAATTGGATGCTGGAACTCTCATGAGTGCAGGCCCAAAAGACCTCGAGGAAGAACCGAATGATGATTTTGAACGAGCCTAGCCTACGACCTTAATACCTATCTCATCATAACATATAAGAATAGATTACATTTCTGAGATTTTGTGGTAATTAACAGCCCTAAGGCTTGAGTCCTTAGGACGCTTGGTAATATATATGTGTCAGTTGGGTGCGGGAATAGCGACAGTCGGGGTAGGTCGTAAGAAAGGTGGACACGCAACTTTACTGCTGCAACATCGATGAAGTTCGGGATGGGCTATCAGGTCCGACCTTGGGAGCTACTTTGACTATGTACAGTCTGTGATTGACTTCGTCCCGATCATCGTCATAAGTGCTGATGATAAGATCACGTGGGATTATCGATAAAGCTGCCCTCCAGGTGTTTTGACAGCATCTCCCGCAACCGCGGCACTTCACAATTTGAAAGCAACCAAGTGAAGCCTCACCCCTTCAGGCGGGCACGACATCCCTCCTGGTCCCGAAAGTCGGAAATTCTCAAATTCTGACCAGCATTCTACGGGTCGTCTATATACCGACTCGACATGAGTGATCTCCTGAACTACATCCTCAACAATGAGGATGCATTTCGAAGGTACAATCTCCGTATTTCGATCCCCACCAACAGTGGATATGGGTAAACTTGAAGATAACCTTTCAAAACGCTAACTTGTGACTAGGAACCGCCTCCCTTCACTCTACTCGGACTTCACCCTCCAAAAGAAGACAAACCCCGATGGCTATGCTGTCAACATAGCCGCTTGGGAACAAGCATTGAACCGAGCCGCCAAGCGTGGCTATACATCCTCACGGGGCATACGCGTACGTTCAGGATCTATCGGATCCTCGAAGAATACAACGGCGAACAAGAAGAAGACTGATCACCTCATTCTCCGCACTGATGAATCGCTTTTACGAGACCTGGAGCTGCCTGAGTGGGGGAGACCGGTGGCACTGAGTGCTGTGTTTGTATGTTACATCATACACTTGGTCAATGAACTTTGGAAGATTCGAGTTGCTGATTGACCATGATACAGGACGAAGCAATGCGCAAACATACTATGATTCCCTTATCGGTCTACAAGACTAGCGGAGCGAGTCTACAGAAAGCTCAGTGGAGACTTATTGATCCCGGTGCTTTGAGCCCATGGAATGTGATGAGCTGGGGAGTGCGGCAGCTCAAAGGCTTCGTCGTGGGCTCCGATGGCGAATCTGCGCCCAAGCTGCAGGTGCAGGAATTGGTATTGGTTGAGAACCTGCAGGTATGTTCATCAGATGGGGTACTGGTCTGGAAGTACTAGAACTCTGACATTAATATTTTCTTGACAGGAAGCGGCGGACTTGGTTGTTAAGAAGGCCACTGGTGGCACTTCATCCAAGCTGGACCTAATATACTCCAAAGAAAGCTTTATCAAAGAGTTTGCCTCCATATTGCACGATAGCACAGAATTGTCAGATGCCGATTTTGATATTCTATTGCTTTATTTGTCCCGCGATAGTGGCGCTATCGCGTATGATGGCAAGGTATGAGCGCTATATACAAGGCTGATATCTATCAATGCTGACCATGATCATTAGACTGTGAAGTTCAAGTCAAAGGATGAATCAGCACAGATCACGCAGCAAGATACGACGATCGCCTCCATCAAAACGCTTTTGTCAACACTTTCGAAGCAGGTCAAGGACCTAGAAGATAAAGTTGTGGAATTGACTGCTTCTGCAAAGACAGCGCTGGCAGACAAAAATCGTATCTCCGCCTTGTCAGCCGTCAAATCCAAGAAGATGGTGGAGCATAATCTCCATCAACGCCTGAACACGCTTGTCCAGCTCGAGGAAGTATATGCAAAAATCGAGCAGGCCACGGGCCAGGTGGAGATTGTGCGGGTCATGGAGGCCAGCACCGGTGTTCTTCGTGGGTTGCATGCACAAATCGGCGGAGCTGAGCGTGTCGAGGACGTGATCGAGGAGTTGCGTGAAGAGATGTCAAAGGTGGACGAGGTCGGAACCATCATGAATGAGGCAGGACCTGTCTTCGACGAGGGTGAGATTGATGAGGAGCTTGAGGCCCTGGAGAAGGGTGATCGGGAAGCAAAGGAAGAAAAAGAAGCCGAGGCTACGCGCAAGAAGCTTGCCGAGCTGGACAGTCTCAAGCAAGCCTCAGACGAAGCCGCGCGCAAGGCGCAGGCAGAGAACAATGTAGAAAGCCAGCTCGCACAGAGCATTGAGAGGCTCTCAAACATGTCGGTTGAAGATCGCCCATTGCCCGCCAACTAAGGGACCATTTATCAACGGGCCATGTGCTCGAATCGGTTGCTTTCACACCGGATTAACCGCGACACCACGTCGATCATCGAAGTCAAGTCACCCTGACATTTCATTCGGACCTGGCGGGTCAGAGTTGATCTCGATGGGAGTGCCCCTCGCAACCCCGCTCGCCGGTTGAGCCGAACTATCTACTACCGTGTTATTCGACCCCGAGGCCTGTGCAGCGCCCGGGATGGTCGATCTCACTTGAGCATCACTCTTTTTACGAGCGTTTGCAATTAAACGCTTGAAATCATTGTCGTGGCTCACTGACCATTGAGCCGCATCAAACTCCTTCGCCATCACCGTGTTGTTCGGCACGATTGAGGACTGCGCTGTCGCAAACCCACCTTGTGTCCTTTCCCAAATGTCAAGCTCTCGTAGCAGTTCTTTCTTGGTTCTTGGAAACGTGGAGTCGCAGTTCGCATTCCATAAATTCATCCACTCAGTGTGACGTCTCTGCAAGAGCTGCCGCTGACCCCAGTCGGGAATACCCAGGTCACGGAATTTCCGGCGCAATTGATTGTCTTTTAGGAGTGAGTAGTTCATGGCTGGGAGTCTTTCGGGTGCTTGTGAAGGGGATATCGGGGTTTGGCGCGCTTGAGGTTGTAGAGATCTAGAATACCGTTGAATTAGACATGAGTTAGACTTCAGACCGGATCGCTTTGAAAAATTCCATCATACCCAAATGACCTTTGCTTGGCAGGAGCTGGTTTAGAAGCCGATGCTGTGTCTCCTGTACATTTATCAAGATGCGCGAAGACAGCCTCGTTCTTCATCCGGCGGTTACATATAGGGCAAGCGACCATGCCGTCATCTACGACAATGGTCAAGGTTAGACTAAAGGGGCTCCGAGCGATGATCAACATGCTACCAACCTGGAATAAAATCTTCATCCTGACTGTCTTCGATCACTTCTTGTAACAATGAGCCCTGGTTGCGCTCCTGTCCATTCGATTGCGCCGGCGCCATTTGCGACCTCGACCTCGTACGAACGCGTTGTGGACTGTGCTGGATTGTCTCGGTCGCTTCAGTGTGGTCCACTCGGCTCACCTTCCGTTTCTTTAAGGCAGGTTCTGAAACTTCATCGTTTCCAGCAGCGATGCGCGCCGCCTCCTTTCTCGCAAGAGTGAGTGCGCTCTCCCTCGCGTTCTTGAACGCTTCGAGGATTTCCTGCACAAGCCAGTTGCGGCGAAGCTTAAGCTCCTGATCACCCGAACGACACGTAGGACATTTTCCCTCGGTACTGAGACATCGACGAATGCATAGAGAGCAAAATGTGTGACTGCAAGACGTAATCACGGGTGTGTCGAAGAAGTCCTTGCAGACTTGACAGCGGAGCGAGGACTCTAAAGGCGCAAGTAGGGAAAGCGGCGTGTCCAACCAGTCGGTCGAGTCGGGGAGGTCAAATGACTGCTCCATCGGAATATTGAAGCCGCCTGGAGCTTGTGCAGAAGTCGGGTCGTAGAATAAGACCGACTCTTGTCGTGTTGCAGCTCGCAGAGGAGGGAGACGCCAAAGGTGGAGGCGTTTAGTGAGAGCGCCAAGACCCGCTGACTGATACGCGTAAAGTGGTTTGGCACGCGTCAAGCAACTCGAGCAACTTCAAAGCTTCGAAGCTGCGAAGCTGCAAACACCATGGATACTACGAGGTTTCTGGCAGAGAACGTACTCAATGACCGGCGCACGGTACGGCTCATATATTCATGGCTTTGACTTCTCGCAACTGATCGGGTTCAGGTCACATATCGCTCACTGAGCTGTGCGCTCAAGGTCCACGCGAACCGGGCCAAGCAGTAAGTTGTGGAAACACAATTGCAACTGCTGAGATTGTCGCTGAATTGGTGACACCAGGATTCTGTTTGAATTTCATCGGGTTGAGAACGCGAAGAAGCCACAGAGTGTCCATGCAACCTATCTCATCTCCGGCATTCAACAACCCCCCGAGCCACCGGCGACCAACGGCCATGCAAACGATGAAGATGAGGTGATGCAGAGCAGCCCCTATCTGCCTAGCTCTATGCCCAATCAAGACGCCGTTCCCGAACAAGTCCGCATCGCCTCAATCATACTAGCTCGCGACGAGGATTTGGAAGGTACGCTACTCGGTCGGAAAGCTGGTGAGATTGCCTTGCTGACGACAGGCGCGTGGAATAGATGCGAAGGCGACCTTTCAGTCGATATCGACGATCCATGTCTACAGCGTGCAACCTTCCAAACTTCAGGACCTCAATACCTTGACCGATGTGTGTAGGGAAATGGCGGCCGCGCATGCGCAAGACGACCCGTTAGAGTGTGGCCAGCAATGGGGCATGATCCAGAACCGCAACGTCAAGGTATGTGATGTTTATTACATGTTGAAATTCGGGAGCTGATACCATATCTAGCGGAGAACCGGAGCCCGCCTACCACCTGCACCTGCAGCTGCTCCGACACCCAAGGCGAAGGCTGAGTCTACGGTACCGACCAAACGACCTTTGCAGTCGACAGCAGCCCCGATAAAGCCGGAAAGCAAGCCCGAAGAGTCTCAGCCTACCAGTGACTCTCAGTCTTCTGTCAAGTCTACAGGAAAGCCTGCAGCTCTCAAGCGGGAGAAAAGTAATCTCTTCAGCTCGTTCGCAAAGACTAAGCCACCCAAGCCCAAGCCAGCAGAATCGGTTCGTGATGTTTCTCGGTACCCTGCATTTGTATGTAAATGTAATGACTGACTTGTCAATACAGGCCACACAGAGTGCTGCGGAAGATGGTCAGTTGTCCTTGATCCAAATCGTAGACATTAGCTTACGGCCTACAGTGGTGCTAGATGATGCTTCCGAGGAAGAGCCAGAAGAGCTCTTCCCCAACAGTGGCGACAAAGCTCCACCCTCCAACCGCGAAAGCAAGAAAGAGCGAGAAGAGAAGCTCAAGAAGATGATGGAGGACGATGATGCTGACGGTATGAGTCCCTGCGCTAGCGCATGAGCTTTGTACAGAATCTATCTGCTAACTACGTTACAGATGAGGAAATGCTTGATGCCGAAGAGGAGCCCCAGCGAGAGCCCACACCGGAGGAGCAACCGCCCCCACCTCCATCCAAGCCCGCTGAGCTGAAGGAGGAGGTCACCGTTCAGGGTGGACGTCGGCGCGGAAAGCGGCAGGTGATGAAGAAGCGGACGGTCAAGGACGAGGAGGGATACTTGGGTAAGTACTGAACTATTGCTGGATACCTTGTGGCTCATTATATTAATAATACACGTCTACAGTGACTCGAGAAGAAGCGACTTGGGAGTCATTCTCTGAAGATGAGCCCGCCCCGCCCAAGAAGAAACCCGCGGTGAATGTCGCCAAGAGCAAGCCGGGCAAACCGGGAGGTCAGGGCAGCATCATGTCATTCTTTGGGAAGAAGTAGTCTCCTAGTACAATCTGTAATACAGGGATCTTCAGATATCCCCTCACACTGCATTCATCCAGAAATTGAGGACCAGAAGTTGTATTGTGTACTAGGCGCAAAGCTTGGTAGACCAGCATCTTACAAGCGTGCTGCTGATCAAAGGGCAGGACTCAGCCCTTGGGAGTAAATGATATGCGTTTGGCCGAGCTATCGGTACAGAGCGATTCGGATTCATCTCCTATAGCAAGTTAATTATTTAGACCCGGTTACAGCCCAGCCATTATGGCAATCGACTAAACCCTCTGATTCTACTTTCGCCAGCGTGGCCGATAAGCTTTGATAACCTTCTTGAGCTTAATCTTAAGGGGTGACGTATTGGTCATTTAACCAAAGAGTAGCCAGCAATGAGCGTATATCATACACCCGAGTCACTCCCCTGTATACTGAGGTTGGCGTCTCCCTCTTGAGGTGCTCGTTGGACAATCGTATCGAACTATCTCCTTCCATCAACTCTCACGATGTTCGCTTCATTTGAAAATTTGCATAGAAACTACTTGGAAAATGGAGAATACTGCGGTGGAGCAGGCGATGTCATAATTAGACATATTTTGTCGTACGAGCTGGCTTCTAGCCGTGCCAATAGGTGAAAACAATCTGAGTTAACCAACACGGTGATCACGGTCCCTATAGTACTATGGGGTGATCTACTTTGCACCAAGTAAATAGCCGCCGATCGCTTCTCCGCATTTTGTAGGTGGAGACGGTGCAACCATCCGCCGGACGATGTCACGTCGCCCGCAATTTCCCCGAGACTTGGAATATATCATGGGTCCCAGTGCATCTGCAACTGTAGATCCTTTCAATGCTAAGAGTCTGGCCAAAATAGCTCCACACCGGCAGTCAGTACTGGACTTCTTGGCCGAAGTACTCGTGGAGGAATGCGCCCTCCCTGTCTGGTTGGGATCGGCATGAGCGACGGACTCCCCTCTTTCTTTTATTTATTTCCCCCAAAGCTCCCTACTGCGCTGAGGTGCAGTTACAGCTCTTTCTCTCCAGCGAGCGCACCATGCCACTTTCAACACTTCTACTTGGGGGCCTATTAGCCCTACAGGCACATGCCCTGCCTGGACGCGACAACCCTGCGATACTCCGACGAGCTTGTCCTGACTACACCTCGTACGCCTCGACGCCGCAGTATGTATACATTTGTCCAATCTGTACAATGATTAGGTTTTGAAGAGACTAACGCCTCTGAAGTGGCCCATATAGCGGCGGTCCCTTGAATCTCCCTTACCAGCGCCCCGCCGAAGCATGTCGTACCTTCTCGTCTGCGTCTGTGGAGAAGGTCATCGAGGATATTACCTCGCGCCTCGTCGACAAAGACCTAGCGCAGCTGTTCCGCAATGCGTATCCGAACACCCTGGATACTACAATCAGGTGGCACCAAAATGCTACTACAGCAGCTTCTACGCGTAAAAGTAGACGCGACACGGCCCAGTGGACCGGCGCGCAGACCTTCATTGTCACCGGTGATATCAACGCGGAGTGGTTGCGGGACTCGACCAACCAGCTCACCAACTACCAAGCCCTCGCGAAGAAGGATAAGAGCTTGTATAATTTAATTCTGGGTGCCATTAATACACAGGCGGAGTTCGTGATCCAGTCGCCCTACTGCAATGCTTTCCAACCACCTTCGGCGAGTGGCATCCCGCCAGAGAACAGCACGCAGGTGGACACAGTTCACCCGGCATACGAGAAATCGTTCGTCTTTGAGTGCAAGTATGAGCTTGACTCCCTTGCGCACTTCTTGCTGCTCGGCACCGAATTTTATGAGAACACCGGCTCGACCGAGTTCCTAACCGACCGGTGGTATAAAGCATTGCAAACTGTCCTAGACGTGATAGACGCGCAGTCGCAGCCTACTTTTAACTCGAAGAATCAGTTTGTCACCAATCAGTACACCTTCCAGCGTGAGACTACCATTGGAACCGAGACGCTGAATTTGCAGGGTGTTGGTAACCCGCTCAACAGCGGCACTGGTCTGATTCGTAGTGCTTTCCGGCCAAGTGACGATGCCACAATTCTTGGATACTTTATCCCTCCTAATGCAATGATGTCTGTTCAACTGCAGAAAGTGGCCGAGGTCATCAAGGCTGCTGGCGGCCACGCCGACTTGGCCAGCGAGCTGGAACAACGTGGCAATAACCTCGCGAAGGCTGTCAAGGAACACGGTATTATCAACCACCCCACTTATGGCGACGTCTACGCCTTTGAGGTTGACGGCTATGGCTCTCGCATTCTCATGGATGACGCGAATATTCCTTCGCTTCTGTCTTTGCCGTACCTTGGTTTCCTGGACAAGAGCGACCAGGTCTACCAGAACACCCGGAAGATGATCACCGAGAAGGCTGGCAACCCATACTACCTAGAGGGTCCTGCCTTCCATGGTATTGGTGGTCCTCACAGTAAGTGGCAAAATACCCATACCTCGCCAGACCTCTTACTCACCATATTATAGTCGGACTCCAGAATGCCTGGCCCATGTCCCTCCTGATGCAGGCTCTTACCTCCTCCGACGACACCGAGATCTTGGATTCCATCAACCTGGTCCGTAACTCCAGCTTGCTCGGGCTCATTCACGAGTCGATCGACGTGACCAACATCAAGTCCTACACTCGACCCTGGTTCGCTTGGGCCAACTCAGTGTTTGCGCAGACAATTCTTCAGGTTGCGGAAGAGCGGCCCCATTTGATTTTCGGTGATAATGCCCAGCCTTATACTATTAATTAAACATGAGTCTTCTACCGCTGCATAGGCTGCGGGTGGTACAGCCTTTGCGGCAATTCAAATGGAAGAGTCTTATTACTCGGTTTTATTGCTCCCTAAGTGATGGTAACCGGAGATTGACTGTGTTCAACATCCAATCAATGGCAGTATTGACAATGAAGACAGCCCATCGGGCAATTCTTTGTCTGTTTCTTTGATGAGCCTACCCGAAGCAAAGTGAAGAACACCTAGAAATATGTTGTATTGGAGGTGTAGATAGCGAAGACGAAGAACAAAGGAGAATGGCCAGCCAGGAGTTCATATGCAGACGGCGATCAGAGAGACAGCCAAACGAGAAACAAATACCTAGAGCCAGTAGATTCTGGCAAGTGCCAAAAGCCGTCAGCATCCTCTGCCCACGTATAGCAGCTAGACAGTCTACTATTCTGGGCTCACCCTACCCGTCACACATGTCTTCAGCTCTTCATTCTAAACGCTCTTTGGGGGAATCACTCTCGAGCCCAGTGTTGATTATCAACACGTCTGCTCTGGATGTATCAGTGTCAAGACTCTTCAATCGCTCCGAGCTTCGATTCACTTCGATCACTCCAGACTTGCCAAGCCTGCCGTGCGAAATGCGCTGCGGATGGAGTTGTAGACCGTCCACTGTCTCCTCCTGGTTCTAACCCAACTAATCCTTGAATCTAACAGAATCGCAAGCCTACCACTGAGGTGGCACCTGTATTATAATGCGCCAAGAAGCTCCGTCTACAGTTCAGTCCCATAGCTCTGCTCCCCGTACAACCATGACACTGATCTTTTACACTGACCTTTGCACTATCATCTAGGCAGATTTAATGTGCCCGATCATCTCGCCAGTTTTGTAACTTTAGCTTTTGAATTCTTGTCACCTCTTCTTAGAGTTGATTTTACTCATCCCGAACAACAACGAAATGTTCTTTGTCAACATCGATAAGGCTTTCTTTGTGCAGCCTTGAGCTCTCAGGTTCCTAGGGAGGGTTCACCCAACATGAAGTAGGCTTTAGAGGGTGCGCTAGGCCAATCAAAGCCTTTGTAATTTCGATGACGAATGAGTTGCTTGGGGCAGCCATGCATCAAAAGCCCAGTGACTCTTACGATACCGTTCGCTACTTTGAAATCTAGCCCCGTCCTTCACCCCCTTCGTTCTCCCTTTTAGCTTTGCCATGTGGACCACTCCCTTGTTTCTGGTTACTTGCAGGCTCTCTGCCAGCCCTGAAGCTGATTCATCGTGATCATTTCTCTACTATTGGCATTGGAATTGCTTGTCAATGATTGCATTTCCGAAGGTAGCCGAAGTAGCGAGACTACAAGATGACGAACACGATGCAACGGGTACGGAGCGGCGTGACCGAGCGATCGACGTGCTTTTGCAGCATTTCGCAATTCATTTGACCAGCTGCAACCTTCGGTGCAGATGCTCCGTGCTTCCTGCCGTTCCGGCCCTTGGGGCTCATGCGCCCTTGACTCACGCCCGAGCGTTCTCCCGGATGAAGCTTGAGCTCAGGAAGATCCGATGTCACTTGTGGAGGTTTAACGGACGATCATTATCCGTGGGCTCTGATAGGTCCTGCTAGTCCACTCCGGGATGATCACTGGATGCTCCGCCGCCCTACCAGTCGATCACTGCCTGGGAGTCGAGGCCAGAATCCTGAATCGAGCTGCGGCAACGCGTATCGCAGATCTTGGGGGACCGAGTCCAGGTCTTTGGTATGCCTGCAGATTCCTTGGGGGTACCTCTGTTGTAATAGGTCGTTGGCTAAGACAACCTGCTACTTATCTATAAGTATGGCCTCTAATTAAGACGTGCTGTTTATGCTCTTACAGTCTCTAGCCTTGGTAGAGAGCCTGGCTGGTGTTGCTGGTGAACCAAGTGCTGAAACACCACGTGCATGCAACAAACAGACAGAGATCAAAAGAGTTGTCTGGAAAGTGACCGACCTATCCAGTGGATAATTGTTCCATGCTTGACCATGCTAGCCCGCATGCAGGGTAGGCCTGGTTATTTTCGGCCCCTAGGACATTGCCTCTGGCACTTGGAAGACCTTATTTTTCCTTAATTTTAAATGCAGATGTCGTAATTGGCGATTGCTCAGCCTCATATGATTCAGGAAGCTCCACTTGTATCCACATCCCTAGGCTGCACGCGCTTCAGGTCGCTCTAGGCTACGAGTAACCATTCCCATTGGCTTGAGTCCGAACCCCTTCGTCCCAAGACCCACGGGGTTGTAATTCACTTCCCCCGCGTTGCTCTGGGGGTATGTTTAGTAACCACTGCTTGTTCAATGCTTAATCAGAAAAACACTTTCTTTTTATAGGGGAGCTCCTATCCTGGATGCAGAATTCTCCAAACTCACTATCTGAATTCCCCCTCTTTCCAGTGAGCTATCTCACACGATATCAAGTCGAGGATGGCGTTGACTCCTTACAATACCCGACGGGAGTACCAGAGTGGACAAGCCAATCAAGATGGCTGGGAATACCCCTGGACACCCACCAACAATACTTCGCCCGTCTTCTCCAACCCGGGACAGAGCGTTTCACCTTCCCTTCGTAGGGCCGTGCCTGCCCAGGTTCCATCCACTCCAATTAGATCTAACGGTCCTCCAATCGTTTATTCGCCAACCTACAGAGCAGCTCCGACACCGTGGGGGGTAAACGCTACTCCAATAGCTTATCCCGAGACCATGGTCACCCCCCAGCATGTCCCATGGGCAGACTGGGGCCATTCGTCCCAGGGCAATGCTCCACCACAGGGCGACCTACAGCCGGCTCTCTCATTCAACTCTGTAGCGACATCATCTAATACCGGTGTCGACGATCCAACTCCCACAGGAGGCGAAGACGATCATAGATGCGGCCCTGCTAGCCACGCCAAGTATGTTCATGTGAAACAGCCACTGTATAACTGGTATTCTGACCGAATTGTAGCCATCATCAGCCCAGCCAGCTCAAGTGTCAATGGGCTGGTTGCACGTACTCTGGAGTCTTCACTCGAGAGACATGCTTATGGCGACACATCAAATCCGTGCATGTTTCTCCAGGCATGTATGCATGCACATATCCTCAATGCAACAAAGCCTTCGGTCGGAAGGACAAATTTTTGGCTCATTTGAGACAAGCACACATGTTACCTGGTGGACATTGTCCTGCTTGTCATCCTTGACGATTGTATTTCATTTTTCATTGGTGACTTTTCATTGGGCGCGGGTCGCACTCTTCTTTAATATAGAAACCATACTCGGCAATTTCGGGCTTTATCATTCTTTGGGGTACGGGAGATGGACTAATTATAGGCGTCTATGAGGCTAGAAACTCTCCATAGTTGAATCTTGATTTGTTACAAGTTTAAGTAGTTTAATTGGGCTGGATACAATTGAGACTTTAATGGCAGTGGCTTGTCTCGATTAACCTCCGGGACCCATGGAGGTTGCTCATGATACACGCCCGCCTCTCCCTGGAATCCAATTACCAGGGTCAGCTGGCTTCATCTAGATATCAACTACCATGTTCATTTGCATTATGCTTCGAAAATAGAAGCTTTCCGACCTGGATGAGGCCGGCAAGTAGTCAATCTCCATCAAAATCGGTAAATTTCGGCTTGTTTTCAGACTAGCGACCAGCCCCGCTTTCATTACTCCGCCTAGATTCTAAGGGATGTTTGGCAGTCACACGAACTCTTTTCACATCTGGAAATCAAGACTTGGATCAATAATATCAATCGAATGGGATCCGACAGGTGTCATGGCATTCACACCTGGCCGATCAAGTTAGTGTTGGCGGGCCGTGCTCCAAGGCAGAGTTCAGGCAGTTATTCCCACAGGATCTTTGGGCAGAGAAGTCGATGATATCAGATCAGGCCTCAACCACCTATATTAATAGAACGGCAAGCGGATCAAATGATCTTGTCCCAACGGAAACGATGCCACGCGGATCATTATATACAGGCTACTTGATTTCTGGGCAGCAGGGTGCTCTTCTATGCCGGTCTCCGATTCTGGACGAAGGAGCCTTAGGCTTCCGTTGTCAGGATTTCTTAGTAGATTTTGCTGATCGTGACCGGCAGTATGGTCGTGTCTTTCCATAGAGCATTCTCTGATCCTTTTTTTTCTGAGAAGAACGATTTAATTAGTGAATCTTGCTACAGCATCTAAGCAAAAGTCCAATAGAGAGTGATACTAAGTCCATGTGAGACGAATTCAGGCACCGATAGCTCAAGCCAAGTCAACAATTCCCGGGATGATACGGAGCTCTTAGCTGGTGATGACAAGTGCTCTTTGCATAACTGGGCGGCTTGGTAGAGACTTCGCCCGCGGGCAATATTGAGCGAGTCAGCCCCCACTTTAACCCGGGTGAAAGACTGCTGGCTTATCGAAGCGCCGTTGCGTCTTTGGGCTGGATTGCATACATGCGCCTGATGACTGACCAGACTGACTGCGCCAACTTCGTCTGTAGAAACATTAGAATCACTTTTGATTTGATTGACTAACGAGAGAAAACGTTTCATTGGAACATAATTGGACGGGGGTAACAAGCCCCTATTGATGAGGCTCCTGACCCATTTCGAACTGATCGGTTGGGTCGATGGGCCGCAAAACAAGATCATCTGAGGTGATTCAGTACAGTACTGCCTTTATGGGGGTCTATTGCGCCTCGCGTGGTCTGGCTTACCAAATCCAGAAATTAGGAAATAAATATGAGGCATCGAAGCGCCCCCTTTATGTCCTTTTATCATGCTCACTCTTTATTCCCTATTAAAATTTATTAAACAATCTTTTTCTTTCTCTGGCAATCCCCCACTCTGAGCCTGCTCACTATGCCACCCCCACCTATGAACCGTAATGTTGCCGACTCTAATCCCCGAGGACCGGATGTGACCAACCTGCCAAGGACCTGGATAACCCCTGACGACTACTTCCACAATCTGGCCATGTCTATGCCGGTCACAGAAGATTCTACCAATGCTATCTCAGAGCCCAGGCTCGTGCTGTCTACCGTGCCCGTAAATGATCTAAGGAGTGCCATTCCTCCCAACTGGACTTCTCATGCTACGGACTTGTGGCATCAATATCCTGAAAACTGGACACAGCTGGATCACAATGTAGGCAATCTGGATATCCCCGGACGGACCCAGGCCCCAAGTCCCCATAGGATGAAAAAATTGTGCCGTGAACCCCTACCCTGCTAATCCACATGCTGCTGGGATTCCAAGATCAAGAAGAATCGATGATCTAACTATCTTCGAAATCCAGTCCAACCCCTTATTATCGATGCCCGTTTTGAAGCACCCGATAAATTCGGCGATCGACACTCGTGATGTTCCTGATGGCAGGTTTGCTCAAACTGGCCATCAGGGGCCCAAGCCGGGGTATGTCTGTCCCAGACTATAAACCATGATACTCTGTTCAGGTCTATTTCGGACGGGATAATAACTCTGGTCAATAGGGTGTTTCAAGAACGAAGATGTCATTGGGAAGGTTGCACGTATACTGGTCGATTCTCATGCGAATCTTCCCTTATGCGACATCTCAGAGCAACCCACGTATCTCCAAACGTATACAAATGTCCCCACGTACAATGCGAAAGGACATTTGGTCGTAAGGACAAGCTTCAAGAACATCTCCGAGGTGCACATAAAACCTCCGACTCAACATAAGGGTAGCGATTGGCCCTATATACCTATCTAGTTGACCCAAGACCAGCATTGTCGGTACTGGGATAGCCTGGCAGGTCTATAAGGCGACAAAGCAACAAACTAATGATTTGAGTATCGGGGACGTGGTAAAAAACCCCATAGTTAATGTTTAACCGCCATGGATTTGACAACCTGGTATCTGTGTGATCATGTTTCCTTCGTCATTTCCTTGGCAATTTCTCACAGGCGCAATTCTCTCAATTCTTTTTTGATTTCTTTCCTTTCATGGTCTTCTGTGAGCAGGTAAAGTGGCAAGAGTTGATGAAAACTTCGTCTTAATAGGATACAATTGACATATTTGATTCATTCGACGGCCACTTATCGCTAGCAAAATACCGGATCGGGGAGAGTATCCCCAGACTTCGGGTAATCTTGGACTTTCTGAACTTTCTCTAGGCGGGTAATGCTCCCCAGATTTGATCCGATCCCTAGAAATTATCCTCAGTCTAATCACTGTCCGATTTGCCCGACGTGCGAGCAACGGATGATAATTGACACGAAGGTGACTTTCTACCTGAGTTCTTTGGTGCAAAGCACTTCAGCAACACCACATTCGCGCAATTAATTCCTTGGAAAAGCCAATAAGACACCGGTCTAAATTAAGTACCGGGAAGGTTCCGGCTAAGCCGCTCTCCACCGGGTCCACTGTGGGCCTCGTTCGGGTACGGTAGTCTGGTGGGGACGAACTACCACACTGTTCGGGCTTCCCGTGTGCCCAACGGGTCTGTCTCTTGCTTTGTACTAGGACCCTCGTTTACAGTTCATCGCAGCCATTCTTATATTAGGCTTCCCATTTTTGATACTACAGGATCTGATCTGTTACAAATATTTATGACGTATATATCTGCCCAACTGTGCTTAAACTTGCCACGCAAGCGGATTGAAAATCCCGGCGCGACAGGCGCCAAACCAGTCTCAAGGGAGCTATTGTGGAATTGACAGATTGTGTTCACCCTTCAGATGTCAAGTAAGTAAGGTGATGCAATCAGTTGCTGATCTCTCGAGCGGCTGTCCCGGCTTGAGGCTCGGCATCGAGGCAATGCACAAAGCGTAGGGAGTTCATTGTGTGCACACGCATTGCCAGTGACACTCGTGGTGCGCTACCACGTGGCAGGTGGTTTAAGGCGTTGATAGTCACTGCTAACATATGTGTCTAACACGCGCTAGCCTCTTCGTCAGCCTGCCACCTATGCCCCACCTGATCATTTGCCTATTGAGGCAGTATGGAGCAAGGCAGATTCTGATTCGAAGGAATCTATGTTCCATGGAATTCCACCAGAATCCTAAACGGTACATTTTACGAGGATCACACCCTATCGCCGCATTTTTCGTACTTTGCGCCTTGGTGTAGACCTCAGTAAAATCAAGCGTAGCAGGGGCTTAGAATCATCTCAAGACAGCGAGCGGTAGAGGAAAACAGCATCAGCCTCGTTCAGGCGATTCTAGTAAGCTTCATATGAAAAATGTACGGTCGGGAGACTACTTGAGGCATAGTTCTCCTTAGATAATACTGGTCACTCACGTGAGAATTTGCAAGATCGTTAATCCTCAACTTTCGAAAACGTCTAATTTGGATGCTATTATCTGAGGTCCCAGGAGCCGCATTCTGGACCCAGGATGAGATGGCAAGCACATGCGACAGCATCTACCCATGGTCGAGGAGCTCTCAAAAGACTACTCAGTCAAGATGATGGAATTGGCTATAGTTCTAAGCTTTTTCTCGGGGCTAGCTACTATCTTTCTTTCTGGGACCGGTACACTCATTATCAACTGCTCTTTTGCAATCTGAGAAGATACAGTCTACGTAGGCGGCGTGCCTCCTTGTTCGTCAAGAGGCCGGATTGCCTTATTCAGGCACCCTGCGCGAGTAAGGAAGATGGAGCACCGTCCTCCGTAATAATCATGCAAGCGGGCAAAAGACTTGAGCCTGGCGCTGGCCCAATGAAGATTGACATACATTCGCTGGCACTGAGAATCCATTGGAAGAGCTTGCATCTGTCCAGTAAATAGGTAGCCTCACATTTAACTAGCGAGCGCTTTGTGATTCGCCCACGGGCAGTTCCCAGGGGTGTGATTCTGAAGTCACTCGGCTACACCCCTGGATATGGGGGCTCTGAATCCAAACTAGCAACAGAACTGGCTACATATTTGAACTCCTAAGTGGCCATCACGAACTGGAAATATTCCCCCAAGACTACATTACATGTCCTCCTCCGCTGTAAGCCCGTGGTTTAGTTTATTTTTCCATTCACGAACGCCTCTCTCGGCTTGCTAGCTGTGCAGCATATCTTTCATTATGCCTTTACGCTCTCACCCTATCTTTATCCCCGACCGAGTTCCCCGTGCTCAACAAACGGAAATGGGACCTTCTTCCCAGGCAAAGGGCTATTCCGGGCGGGTGAATGTGGGGCGCTCCGATCACGGATTCTCCCCCACCCTGAATCAGGATCCCCCCACACCCGATATAGACAAAGTCTATGGATCAGTATCGCCGTTGATTTCGACTTTTGGATCTTCTCTGCCCGAACCCTCTTGGACTCACTTCGATGTAAGCCGCATGCTATATTCTGCAAACAACCCTCCGGAATCTTCCTTCCATTTTGGAAGAAGCGGTAATACGGTCGCAGACGAGGCGCTTCGTACAATAGACAACGTTATGCCTCATTCAACGCCTTTCATGTCTCAAGATATAGCTTTGTCTCGGACTTTTGCTGGTAGCCAGTCGGCATCGAGTGCTCCTATACCACCGGGTCATTCTCTTCCCATCAATGCTGAGTATGTCCACTCCGAGAACGTACTTACTAGTCATCGGTTCTGCCTTCCTGACAGTCTTTACCAGGTACGATCTTCCGGACCTCATTTGTGGTTGGACCGGCTGCTCCTATGAGGGGGGGTTTTCCCGAAAGGCAAGTCTATGGCGACACATCCAGGACCAGCATCTCCGAAGGGATCTGAGATGTTCGATGTGCCCCGAGACCTTTGGGCGCATGGACAAATTTAATATGCACCTTCGACACGTTCACAGTGATATTTGAGTAAATTAAGAACCGGGAGTGTGTGTTTGCATAGCCTGTGAACATTACCTGTTAGATTTTACCTGTTAGTGAGCGTACGTTGATCCTGCTTTTAATGCTTAACTGGTTTCTGACGTTGCGTGAAGGATTCCTTGTACTTCGGTGTTCAGCAGTGGAATATCCTTGGATCTGGGTACAGGGGATAACATGGGAGTCTTGGTTCACGGTCTGGAGTCCTTTCGGTTCGTTTTGTCGCCCCTAATTTCTGAATTAATCAGACTTGTGCTTGAATATGCAACCTATGAGCTTTCCTAGTAATACTACACTACTGTCATGCAACGGGAATCGGTCCCAAAGGGTCAAATGGAATATCGAAAACGACCGAGGTATGAAGCTCAAGCTTCTATTTACATGCGATAAATTGAAAGGATTTTGTTAGCAGTGTTGCGACGCTGACAGGTTAGTCATCCAGAATGAACGTCGGGTTACATCTACTGGTAAGCCCTGACTTATGTCTGGGGAAGTACCCTCCTCCCCTTCGGATATCTGAATCTTGGACCCCTCAAATACATGTGAAGGTCTAACGAGGTCTGGGCAAGCATGTCCCCACGGTCGCGATGAGTAGTTGATTTGACTCCCTTAGTAGTAGTGAATCAGGCTACAGAGTTCCGATTACTTAGTTTTATCCTTACCGGAGAGAGCGCTTAGCGCAGATGCCGCCGAGGTCTGGGTCTTCGTCTCTGATTTTTTGCTATGGCTTAAGTGCGCCTTGGCAGTGCTGTTAGCTGTGAGCTGGCCACGAAGTCTTCAATATCAGAAAGGGCAACCTAGTGAGTAGATGGACATTTGGCATAATAAGTGGCTGGTACTTTGTGACGTGTATAATTGACGGTGCTGAGCTAGGGGCATTGCCACAGGGAATCGCGAGATTGTAGATTGGTCACAAGAGGCAGTCGCCTCAACCAGTTGTGGTTGATCACCCGCTGCTGTAGCTTCTCTTCACTATTTGACAGTGTACAACAATGAGGACGTCGAAGAACACCCCATGTGGCGTGCGCATCGGAGATCTCCGCAGTGTTTCCCCCGGAATTTACGGGTCGGAGTCTATGGGACAACGGCAATCTTGAAGAATTCGAGATCAATTTCTGGCATAATCCTTCTCGCCGGTCATCCATTCTTCAATCATTGACCAACAGAAACACTTGTGCCAAAGAATGAATGTGTACTGCAATTTTCAAGCCGCCTTGGCCAATGAAAACGATCTATCGATTTCAGAGATGTATCTCAGATTTGAACCTCGATTGGTCACAAATTTTGCGTTCCGTGACCAGTCCCCCGCAGATAACAGAGCTAGTCTAGAGCTACTATAGATATCTGACCTTGAAGACAACTGCTAACTGGTATTTTCTAGGCCGCCTGTGGCTGTGGCGTATCCCGGTAAGCTGGAGGTAAAATACCAGCTAGAGCCGCCTTGATTTGAAGGGCCAGTGTACGCGAGTGCCATCGGTGCTGTTGGGTATAGCCACCCATAACCCAGAAGTTGTCAATCTTCTGATGGCGCTTCCACATACCACGAATCTCCCCCTCTACATCAAGCCCCCATGTTCCTTCTAACCGGTCTGCAATGGCATGAGGATCAAGTACTCCGTGTATCTCCCCGTTAACGCCATTATTCTTTATCGAATCACCGCCTAGGATATTAAAGGCAGTCTCGCGCACATTGGAGTCAGCAAAACCAGTGCACCAGATGACTGCATCTGCATCAATGGTAGTGCCGTCAGAGAAGCATAGTCCAGAGGTGGTAAACTTGACGGGTGAGACTCCAGCCTTGACGCTGACCTTGCCTTCTTCGATTAGCTTGGTACCACCCACATCAACATAGTGGCCGCCAGCCCGCTCAAGTAAATTATGCATCAGAGCTTGTGTTGGGTCACTGCTATCGAGGACGGGGAAGCCAGCAGCCTTCAGAGCCGCATAGCGCTCTGGTTCCTTTGACGCAAAGGCCGCAAAGAGACCACGCGCTAGCTGGGCATCTACATGAGCGGGCAGGGTCATGAACAGATTATCGGCGAGTTCAACACCACCGTCGTATGCACCAAGGCTCATTGGGTGGCAGCAATAATCCACGGGTACACAATATGTCGGCGAACGGACCACCATAGTGGACTGGAGTCCTGCGGCGTGGCAGTCCTCGAGGACGTCAAATGCTGTATTCGCCGAACCGATGATCAACACAGACTGTTGATATGGTAAGCAGCGCGTCTTTCACATCGGCGAGATAACTTATGCGTAGCACTTGCTTTGACACCTTTCTCCTTCAGCTCTTGAGCGTTCTTGTATTGTGCGGAATGCAAGCTAATACCCCGGTATAGATCTCGCTCTCCTATGTTTGGAATGTTTGGTTTCTGCGAGCCGATGCCAGTTGCAAGTACGAGCTGTTTCGACACGGCCTTATATAGACCAGTAGGGGTTTGGAATCTGATGTCCCATTTTCCTTGCGATGGATCATATTGTGTCGACTGGATTTCCGCCGAGTTGACCATGTTGAGATTAAACGTCTCCACATAGCGTCGAACCTGTGCCGCAAGCTCATTCCTTGTAAGAAGGTGAGGTGACTGTAGCGCCTTGTCATATGCTGATACCACAGATCACTATCAGCATCTCTACCCGCGGTATGATTTTGAGAAGTTTTATCAACGTACACATGAACGGCAGCTCACAGAATGAAGTCGGAATATGGAACTTCATGCAGTCATATCGGAGCGCCCAATTATCGCCGGGACATGGGTTCTTTTCGGCCATGACGCTGTCAACTCCGAGTGCTTTGAGACGTGCGGAGAGCGCGATGGCCCTGTTTCGAATACGGAGTCAGTCAAGAAGCTCCTACAATGACTTGCTTCAAACCTACGCATTTCCACCTCCGACGATAAACACATCTGTCTCGAAATTATGCAGGTCACTCAATTCTCTGGCGGGTAACCGGAGAAGAGTCTCGTCTTCTTCTTGCACATCAAGGCTCGCAAGTCTGGTACTTAGAATCCAAATCTTCCACTGGATGGCGCTTCCCTCATCATGAGGCTCAGCCCGAGTGGGCAGGAGAAGCATTTTTCCTTTACAAGTAGCAGCGGGTGACTCGGTGCGGAAGGTCAGTGGGCAGTCAATAAATTGCTACACAAGTCAGTGACTCTTTCCCGGGTTTTGCAGCTCGCAAGGCCTCCACGCCAGTCATCTGCTTACCAGAACCGGCGTTGCGGGAAGAAAGATTGCTGCTCCATCCACCATAATCTCCCCCTTTAAGGCTCTCAAAGTCTTCGTCTCTAGCAGACTCTCTGAAATAACGCTCGGGCTTTCAAATGTGCGCAAATGGTAGGTCAACGCAAGATGATCTTTCCAGTAGGCCTGGCTTGCGAAGAAACAACTGGCCAGTAACTCATTATCATCTGCCGCGAGAGCAGCATTCACAGTGTTCAACACCAATTGTGCCTGCTCGGCTGGCGCATCACCAGCCATCGTCGCTGGATCGACCAGGCCAGGGGTAAGCATAGGTAGCGGTTTCTGGTCCATCATCTCCCGCAGATCCCCTCGCGGGGGGAATTCGTCCTGGGACGGCGAGGCATCACTGTCTATCACCGTGTATCAGTATCTTTAATTCACATCACCACATTCAACGAAGCTCGGACTCACTGATAGCCATGGTCTGTACTGATCAGGGGAACAGAAGATTCCGAAAACTGCGATGCGGGGTTAGAAACCAGGGGAAATCCCTGCCGCAGTTCACGGAGCTGCATCAGATGAGCGTTTGTCACACCAGACTACGGCTGTATTGAGTCTAGGTTAGACTGTCAGCTAACCCGTGCGAGCTCCATAACGGCCGATGGCAGCAATGGGTCCGGTCGACAGTCGTTGCATGCAACCAAGTGGGCTTGTACAGGACATACTTAGCCTGGGGGCGTGACGCGTGACGCCGGAGTTTTCCCGAGGCCGTCCATCTTCGACAGAATGTGGAAGGTCACTCCGCAGGATTCTGTACCCCGGCCATCGCTTCGGTCATTGTCCGCGTTTTCCGGTATCAAACGGGTCTGGGTTTCATCCTTTGACAAAAGGATTGTTTCCCAGATCTCCGGACCACCGCTCACAATGCAGCAAGGAAGCCACTAGGAAGCCACTGAGGCGGAACTTTTCCATAGTGGTCGACCTGTCATTAGAGTGGAGCCTATTCCTCAAATTTGGGAAGCGTTGGCACCAATCACGTATCCGCAAACGGGAATATCGTTTGCCGATCGGTGGTCTCTCCCGCGGAGGCAGTGGGGGCTATGCCTATACAGTTAAGCTTGTCTTGGCCTAAGACAAGGCTGATGATTAACTTGGTCTTTCTCGCCCCCACGGTTTCCTAACTTTCTGATTGTATCTCTGTCAAATCACTCGAAATAACGGTCGTAGACTCATCAGAAACGATATCTCAGGATCGCAGCAAGGGGCCTACTGATGAAAATGACCCCGATCTGTTTTTCCCTGACATCCATCGACAGCGGGTGGCTGATAGGTCCACTTCTCACGATGATTAAGACCCGTCGATCTGTTCTGCGTGGCCCCAGACGGCAGAAAAAGAAAGCAATTATTGGTTCCCGAGGCCACATAGTTATTAGACTAACGGGTAGTAGTCATGACGTGACGATCCTTTCAAGACATATTCCCAAGGGGGGATTGCAGAGACTCAATTTTTTTTGCGGACTGATATATTCAAGATGCGACTGACCTTTTAACAGCTTTGCTCCTTACTTTCCGGTACCTTGTTTTTGATGATGGGCTTTGGCCGTCATGTCGTTATCACCAGAGGCCGTTGCTAAATTACTAGCACAGCCAGCTCTGTCGCCTCCCTCTGGTGTCACGCCAGATTTTGACAATCCTCCAAACACTAATGGCCTAGCATGGTTTGTGACAACATTTTGCATGGTCATTGCCACCCTGTGTATTTTTCTTCGGCTCTATTCGCGATGTTGGCTTGATAAAACGCTCCGTCTAGAAGAAGGTATGTGAGCGTGACTCTCGCGGGCATCGGGCTCGAATGAAATGGGGCTGACACTCGAATTCACTAGTTTTGATGATTGGCGCATATGTATGTCGCACTTCTCGCCATCTTGATTCCTGAATCTCGTCCTCAATAATTCTAATTCAAGCATAAAGGGAGCATACTGGGGCACGGCTTACGCTGGATATGCATTAATCTACGCCCCGGGCTATGGCATTCACACGTGGAACCTCCATAATAAAGATCTGATCCGGCCCCTCTATGTACGCGATCTGGTCAAGCTCGATCAAACCCAATCCAATTCAATGCAGACACTGACCCGTTGTTCCATTAGCTTATCCTCGTCTACGGCTGCTGTTACTCGTCGACACTTCCCCTGATCAAGACTGCCATTCTACTGGACTGGGGTCGGATCTTCATGCCCATTGACAGGAGGAAAAACCTTTTCTGGTGGGGATGCATGACCGTCATAGCCCTACAATGTCTCTGGGGAATGCTCTGCATCATCCTTCTGAATGCACAATGTCGTCCGCACGAGGCGATCTGGAAATTCTATCTTCCCAGCAAATGCTACTCACTGCCCTCCGTTATGCTTTCCTCTGCCAGTGTGCAGGTGGTCTCTGACATTGCCATGTTTCTGCTCCCACAAAGAATCATTTGGAGGTTACAGATGAACTGGCAGAAAAAGATTGGTATCTCGATTATCTTTGGAGTTGGTATACTGTAAGTCTCCGTGCCGGTCTTTGAATAGCCCCAGTCTCCAAGATTCCGCGTCCAAGCTCACCAGCACGTAGCGCGTCCGTTGCAGCATGCTTGCGCCTTGCCCGTACGGTCGATTTTGCCCGAATGGCTGACACCATGTACCTGATTAGTCCTCTTCTCTTCTGGGCATGCGCTGAAATGACTTGTGGCTTTTTTATTTTCAGCGTACCATGTCTGTCCAAGATCATCATAGCATCGGGCATGCCACGGAAGGTGAAGAGGGCTCTGGGCTTCAGTGGGCAATCGAAAGGACCTTCGAATGAAAATCCCGATCACTCTCCCGACTACGGATCGCATCCTGCCCGCAAGCCCTCCAATCATAAGCCTTGGATGGCTCCGGACAGCACATATTCTCGGCTTGAAGAGGGCGGTATCCAATTAAAGACTCCTGGAAAGTCGGAATCCCAAACAACTCTGCACGTCGGACCTCAATCGCATGAGCAGCAGCCACCTTTGCACGTGACGTGCACGTCGGACATTAGTATTGTTTCTGAGTCTCGCTCCCACGCTGGTAGTGAACGAGACGGCAAGGATCATTGGACACGATAGACATCACACCTGTTTATAGCGTTCTAAAAAAGCTTCTGCGACCTTTTTCAAGTGATTATCTCCACAACCAGAATCATGACACGAGGCCTAAACGGTTCGACAAGCTGTCACGAGCAGCGCGAATTTTTAATGTACAGAATATCTCATGTATAATAATGCCAAAGAACGCAAATATAGTAGATCCATGAAGAAGCTCTCGAGTTTGGAGATTCTTGTCACTGGTTTTCGTCATCGGGTGTGCTATAACAAAGTTAAGTCTGCACATCCTAGAAAGGGCCTCGTTCACCGGGCGCGAAACCAAATGTGTGGACATAGGTTCAAAAAGTGGATGAGTCTATAAACCACGTGCTATTGATTCAAGTAATGCTCATGCATGTCTATTTACCAATCGTACAACCTCCGGGGGTTATCCACCATCAGCGTCTTCCACTCATGATCTGACAACCACGAGCGCAGGCTTTTCAGCCAGGCGACATCATCGACTTCCAAATATAGAGTCTCTGTCAATGCTTCCTCCCTTGTGCGCACCTTCATCAAGGGTGTGTGAGGCCTATCAGACCGATATTAGCATCCTTGAAGCGTCATAACGGATCGCGAAGTTCATACCAGTCACTTCCCCACAACAGCTGTTGTGGATTCGCGTCAAACAACGCCCTGACAAGCGGCTTCAAATCGTCAAAATCAGGAGCCTGGGTGCTAACCCGATAAGGTGCACTGATCTTCACAAAGATATGACCCGCCCGAACGAGATCCAAAATATCGTGGAACCCTTGCTGGCGCGTAAGATCACCTTCGCATTCAGCGGGTAACATACTCGCTCCCTTCAACAAGGCAAAATGATCGGTGACAAGCCGAATCCCTTTTGGTGTAATTTCCTGTTCAATAATCGGCTTCAACGCGCTCCAGAATTCCGGACGTGTATGCGTAAACGCCATACTCCACCCCGTACAATTCCCGTCGAGTGCGCGAGCATGAGCCTTCAACGCGACCTTTTGCAGCTCGACGTCGTGCATTGCGCCATATCGGTATAAATTGACTCTGATCCCGCGAATGCCGTTGGCATGCATTTCTGCAAGTTCGGCGGGTGTGACGGTCTCCGGGTCGATCACTGCAATTCCCTTTGTGACATCTCGGCCGAGGTCTGCGGTGAAAGTGGTGAGACAGCTGCTGTCTGCGCCATAGGAGAGACCGTGGGTTAGGACTGAATGGGTGATGCCAGTTTTTTGCTTGAACTCGTTGTACTTTTTGATCGAGGCTGGAGGCGGGGTGAGATGACGATTTGGGTCGTAGGGGAAGCGCTCGGCTATAGTAGACTTGCATTAAAAGGAAAATTCAAATTGAGGTATGAGGTTATTGGATCTTACGTTCGAAAATATGGTGATGGACATCCCATCCGCCATCTGGAAAGAGTTGCGATGACATTTTTCCTCGAATGTCTTTCGTAGGGTAGTAAACAGTCCGGTTGAAATGGAAAGATAGGTTTCAAAGTGTAAATTGAGCCAACTTGGGAATTAGATCTCGGATGTACTTAGCGATATGCGGAAATATACAGGAGCCAACCGGTAAAAACAAGACGGAGTGTTCGAAACATGAGACAAGGCCAATTACTCCATAGCAAATAAGGCAACCGCCGAACGATAAACTCCACCGAAAATCAAAGGGGAGCTATCCAGTCTCCCTCGCGGAAGGACTGCGAGACTCTAGAGTCTGGGGATGGTCCCGAAGTGGGGATGCGGCATCGCAGTGTCTCTGGAGCACTCCGGGTGGGTCTGGAGCACTCCGAGACTATGAGGCATTCGGCATTTGACGAACAAGAGAGCTCCACCGAATGTCACACGATTTTTCGTCGGTCTTAACCCGAAGCTCTTTCGCATCTCCGGTTTTCGATATTCGGGGTCGCGAAGTCGGAATGTTCCCCTCCATATCCCTGAAGCCTGCTTCCCTGTCCAACGCGCCACTGGCACGCGTCCGTGGGCAATGTCATTACTCGTTTCATATATTCTCCGGCTGCTATCTATGATAGACAAATACAATCAGTATTATTAAGTTCCTTGGGGTTTACTGGCATACTTCCATCGGCCATGTCTACTCGAAAACAAATATCACCATGGCAATCCATATTGGCCGGAGGCGCTGCTGGCGGCCTGGAGAGTTTGATCACTGTATGAAAAACACAATACCAGGAAGAAGAGAAAATTCAAAGGGTAATAACATTGTTGATCATCCCTAGTATCCAACTGAATACCTGAAGACTCGCCAGCAACTTTTCAAAGCCGGAAGCGCGACGAAACAATCACTCCCACAAATCCTGTCCTCGGTCATTCGAAATCATGGCATACGCGCCCTCTATACCGGCGCGGGGGTCTTCTGTGTGTCGAATGCCTCAAAGTCTGGAATTAGGTTCTTCACATTTGATATGGTCCGACAGCTTATGCCGACCGATACAAAGGGGAATGTCACCCCGCTAGGCAACATGGGTGCAGCTTTAATGGCGGGAGTGGCAGAGGCAGTTGTCGTTGTCACTCCTGGAGAAACCATCAAGACCAAGATGATTGATGATCGAGCTGGGCCTAAGCTCTACAGATCGACGGGACATGCGGTCGTCTCTATTTTCAACAACGAAGGCCTGCGTGGTTTATATCGCGGCGTGATTCCAGTGACACTGAAGCAATCTGCAAATGCTATGGTGCGCTTTACGAGCTACAATATCTTTCTAGGAAAGATGGAGGCGATATCCTTGCCAAAATCCGTCAGCACTGTCGCGGCGGGTGCTATGGCGGGTATTGTCACGGTATATGCGACGATGCCGTTCGATTCGGTCAAGACTCGACTGCAGGCGATTGATGGGAATCAGCGCTATCGAGGCTCGCTGGATTGTTTTCGCTCGGTGATTTCCCAGGAGGGCATTTCTGCGTTATGGCGAGGAACTACGCCGAGATTGGTCCGATTGAGTGTTTGTGATCGTCTTCTTCTTGAATCCTGCAGCAGTGAGGCTAATACATTAAACATAGGTCTCGGGCGCGCTCAGCTTTTCGATTTACGAAGCAGTTGTCCAGTGGACTAATAGCCTGTTGATTAAAAGGGTGCAAGAGATGGGGAAAGCCAATGTTTAGTGTCAACTAAGCGACGTCTTATAGATTCATCAATTTGATAGAATAAAAAACAACAGCCGTGGAAGATGGATGCGGCCTAGATTTTCCTTGGAGGATATACCATTGATCAATATTAGCCTGGCTGGAGAATGTAATCGAATGTAGTCTGAGTCTTCTGGAAAAAAAATAAAAGATCACCAGAGCATGTAAAAGTTGAATTTTGTTGCTCTGCGGCATTGGCTGCTGGATGTGACAGAAACAAGCACCTCAAGAGGTTGAACTAGATAGATGCAGCGCGTTTGCCTCAAAGCCACTGTGGACGCATCCCTTGATTCATACTTTTTTTTTCAATCCATTCTCGTGAGCGCTTGATATCCGAAGCACCGAATCGGGGCATAACATTGTATTTCGGATTCAACGAATCAGCAGTGGTCAATTTCATCTACCGGTCATCCGCTGTACCCCAGAATCGGCCTATAAGCCAAGCCCTTCCCCACAAGCAAAACTTCCCGTCCTCATCTCCCCATCTTCGACAGCACTGGCATGACCATGAATCTTCTAGACTCCTCCATCCTGTAGTGGCGGTCAAACTCTTTTACCACTGCCTCCACCACCATCATCATCATGGCACCCGAGGACGGCAGTGCCCCACCCCCGAGAAAAGTCCGCTCGGCATGCCGCCGATGCCGCCAGAAGCGCGTCAAGGTGATTGCTTTTCTTGAATTATCGCACCACCAACAATATTCTGACGATGGATCTAGTGTGATGGCGGAATTCCTGCCTGTAGCAACTGTGCTCGGGCAAATGTTCCATGTATCGACGTCCATACAGGCAATAATGACTTGTCTATCCCGCGAGAGTGAGTCTCTTCGGCCTGGTTTCTGGATTCTGTCTGAAATATGATCAGTTTTTTACACAAGTTCTGACAATGATTCATAGCTTTGCGGTGAGGTGCTGCGCTCGCATCAAATGGCTCGAACACAACCTGGCCACTCTGTGCCCTGACTTTGACCTGTCGCAGGGCCCAAACGTCAATGCAAGCTTCATGGAGACCTTGAATCTACCACAAGATGGCTTAGACGCCCGAGACGGAGTTGGAATAACTCAAGGGAGTCTCTCTGGGCTTCACAACCAGGACGAAATCCTGGGCGATGCAGGGACGAATAAGCGCTCCCTCTCGGTGATGGAGTCTGATGCGGACTCCCCGCTGTCTGCCAAGGCACGGTCCGTGGCGATTGACCTCGGGATGCTTTCATTGCAATCCGACTCGCGCCAGAAGCATTATCTTGGGTCTTCCTCAGGATTACTGTTCGCAAAACTTATGGGTTTAGATAACGACATACGACCGGAGCAAGGCACGAGCCAAGCACGTCGACTCACCCCGCAGAGGATGTCAGCCGAAATGTACAGGTCTCTTTATGATCAATTAAGAAAGGTAATGTCCAGACTCCAAATGATTGCAATGTGTCTCTGACAGTAGCACTTTATATTTCAAAGGAACTTCCAAGTCCCGAAGAAGCATGCCTTTTGCTAGAGGTTTACTTCCAAAATGTCCACGTTGATCAGCCTTTCCTCCATCCTGCATCCTTGATTAACGCATACCATGCGTTGTATTTATGTGCTCAGGCAGGGTACAATGATTCAGTTGACCGCAACGGCTGGATTGATTCCGTTGAGGCGTTCGGCTATAATGGCCGGATCGATATAGTGGCAGGCTGTAGCAGCACCCCAATCTCCATCGCCACCGCCGTCTTCCACATCTTCATGATTTTCTCCCTGTCAGCGACGATCTTGACTAGGAAGAAAAACTACGACTTCTCCCCCACTCGCTTCCATCGAATGGCAATGACCACAGCATCGGAAACATTTTCTTATATCTCAGTCACGTCGCTACAAGCCATATTATTGCTGGCTGCACAAAGTCTAATAGAGCCCGCTGCCGTAAACTTGTGGACATTGACCCATATGGCCATGTCACACTGTATCGACTTAGGCCTTCACCGAGAGCCAAGCGAATCCGACATACCAAGTGGTGCGAGAGCTATACTGAGATTCATCTTCTATACGGTTTACTCTCTGGACCGGTACAATGCCCTTCCCAGAAAACGGAGTGCAAATATTTTGAGTTGCTAATTGAAGATAATTAGATCAGTTGCCACCATTCAAGGTCGCCCACTTGGAATTCGCGATGAGGCCTTTGACATTCGACCCCCCGAGGACTCGGATATTGAACAGGTCATGTCATTGGCAGGAAGTTGTTTGCTCATAAAGCTGCCAATGCCTCAGATTCTCTCTCTTTCGATTTTAAGGCTTCGACTGGACCGGCACATATCAGAGATAAAGCTGTTGTTATACCATCTCCCGACCCGAAACCAAAGCTTTGTCTGGCCTACTAACCTCCCCGAAATTCAAACACGAATCAAGTCTGAGCTTGATCACTGGCTTCTAAGTGTGCAGAAGATTGTCCCGGACGACGACGTGACTGATGAAGAAAATTTGGATTTCCAAGTTCAGAAGATGTGGCTCGAACAACTCTATCATTCCGCCATTTCTCTGCTATTCCAGCCGTCTCAGATGTTCCCATCTCCGAGTCAGGAAGCATTGACACTCTGTTACCAGAGCTGCTCCAAGCGCTTGCAGATATACGATGCAGTTAGCAACCAGGAAATGCTCTATTACAACTGGAGCAACATCCACGGGATTTTCTCCTCTGGTGCAACTATTGTATACTGTGCTTGGGCTTCACGAGAACTACAACGTACACTACCCTTTGCAAAGCTGCTTCGCGATTTGCGGACCTGCTCCAATCATCTAAGTATTGGGAGCCAGTGGTGGCCTTCTGTGCGCAGTGGCAAAGAGAGTTTTGAAATGATGATTGATTTGATCATCAAATATTTCAGCGACCTACAACTTCAAATTCAAGATCTTCACCCAGCCGCTCAGAGGCATCGACGGCCTATCAGTTCCCGAACAGAAGATTCGCAGTTTCCTCCGTCCTATACTAGCGGATCAGGCATGGAAGAATATCCGCCAGAACAAGGAATCGCCCAAGGTCACCCTAGACAAGCTCAGTCCGTCCAACCCCACCAAAACCAACTATTTCCGATATGTGAGTCGTTCCTATTCTGTAGAGGTCAAGAAATCATGTCCTCAAATCAACTCGGAACTTGCTATTAACCTGTGCAGTGAATGACCCTCAACCATCATTCGAAAATGTGGATATATCTTCATCAGGAGACGGCTTGCACGACTTCGATATGCCGACAATCGAAGCTGCCATGGAGAGCTTTATGGCAGAATACTTGCATGAAGACTGGGGTTGGGATCCTTTTTCCAGTTCCGTGGGCGGTTTTGACCATCAAGGGCTGGGTCCTGTCTAGACGCTCTGCACAACAAAGACTTACTGGGCCCTTCTGGAAAATGATCATATTCGCTATTGGGAGGCAAATTACAAATTTTGTACTATATCTGCAATCAAGCTTTCGAAAATACCCTCTCAACCTGACTAACACTGAGGTACTGAGAATCCGACATGATCGCCGGCTCGTGTTTTATCGACAATCAACATGATTTTCGTCCAAATCGGCGCACCAGCCATGAGCCCTTACTTTCTTAGCTTCTTAATAGTAGGTCCCATTTCATCTCCGTTTTCCAAGCATTCTCTCGTCTTCTCGTCGATCTCGTACCGCTCCTGACAGAGGCGCAAGCATTCTTCAACGACACTAGGCGGGATCGCGACAACACCATCACAATCACCGAGGATATAGTCACCAGGGTTGATGGCCACTTTCTCATTGACTTCGGCATTCTCATACTCCACCGGAACGTTCAACTCGGACGACCGAGTAAAACTATTCGATCCCAAGATGCTGATTCCCCGGGCGAATAATCCCATGTTCAATGCACGGTGCTCTTCAATATCTCTGAACCGACCATCAATGACCACTCCAGCGGCACCCAGCTTCTGCGCACGAGTGCTCATCAAACCGCCCCAGCAAGCACTGATCAGCCCCTTGGGCTGAGATACGAAGACGACGCTGCCTTTAGGGATTGCATCGGCGAAATGGCGCTCTGGGGTTGGGGAGGATTTGTCGGCAGCTGGTACCATGCGGACGGTATATGCAGGACCGAAGATCTTGGACGGTCCACTCATTCGGTGAGGGCTGTACATCGATAGGCCAGACAAGTATCCGCCATGTTTGATTCCGAGTTTCACCAGGGCATCTCCAATCTTCAAAAGCCCGCGTCAGTCATGTTGTGCCGATGGGTGCATTTTTTGCATAGCTTTGTCGTGAAGTTTAGGAGAGCAAGAAGACTTACATCACAAGACGCGAACTTGCTCAGCGCCTGGACTGCCTTCGCTTTAGCCGCCATTTTCGATCGTATAGAGATGATAGATGAGAGGTATGAAGAGGCGGCGGTGTTAGAGGCGGGGAACCGTAGGAAGGTGCGCAAGCAATGTGACTGGACATATAGGCCAATGCCTCGGAATCATAGCTAATAATTCATCAAATGACAGAGAATCAAATTCCAATATGTGGGAATTCTCCAACCGCCCCGATTGTATTTCGCTGTGATGTGGCTCCCTCATTCGTGCGGAGCGCTCCAGACCCACCCGGAGCTACCCAGCATCGCCAAACAACACTTTCCAAAGTGGCGATCTCGGCGAACAATAGTAAGTAGCTGGTAGATTTGAAATATATCGAAAGAACAATACTGGTTGCCTTCCTTCAGACTCGGAATTTTATATCCTTCTCTATCTACAAACATTGTCCTGCATGGTTTGACTGGCGCTCTTCCCAATAGCGTTGACTTCGAACTCAAGATGATGTCGCGAGCTCTCCGGCGCCTCGCGCAGTCGCGGCGGCCTTTGCACAGATCTTTGATTGCTCAGACAAGGTCACTTGCTACTGCGGGCACATATCCCTCGAAAATCCTCGGTGTCGATCATAATAAGCAAATTGCGGTTCTCGATACCTTGAAGCGGCAATCGCAGCGCCCATTGACTTTGACAGAAAAGTTACTTTACAGTCATTTGATTGTTGAGGGCGATCGCGAATGGGACTTGGAAAAGATCGATCGCGGAAAGACTATTCTCGAGCTGCGACCCGATCGCGTCGCCTGTCACGATGCCACAGCGACAATGGCTCTGCTACAATTCATCAGCGCTGGTCTTCCGCGCGTCAGGACCCCAACGACGGTCCACGGCGACCATCTGATCATTTCTGAGAAGGGTGCGAAAGAGGACATGCAACGCGCTATTAGAGAACATGCGGAGGTATACGATTTTCTCAGCAGCGCCTCAAAAAAGTATGGGATTGGTTTCTGGAAGCCTGGTTCTGGCATTATCCATACAGTGATTTTTGAGAACTATGCAATGTAAGCTGCCACCATCGTTGTCACGCTGGCATAATAGATACTAACCGCTTCGCTCTTCTTAGGCCCGGCGGCTTGATCATTGGAACCGACTCACACACCCCGAATGCTGGTGGACTGGGTATGCTGGGTATTGGAGTCGGAGGCGCTGACGCTGTTGATGCCATGTCTGGGATGCCATGGGAGCTCGTCGCACCAAAGGTCATCGGTGTCAATTTGACTGGCCAACTGCAAGGCTGGGCATCGACGAAAGATATTATCTGCAAGCTTGCTGGTATTTTGACAGTCTCTGGAGGAAAGGGTTCAGTCATTGAGTTCTTCGGTCCTGGCACTCAAACCTTGGGAGCTACTGCCATGGCGACCATTTGCAACATGTCAGCAGAGGTTGGATCAACATCTTGCATTTTCCCTCACTCGCCCGCGATGGATCGCTACCTAGCTGCTACAAAGCGCGAGCATGTGGCACAGGCGGCGAATCAGGTTCGCGATGTTCTGCTCACGGCAGATGAAGGGTCTCATCAGTACTATGATCGCATTATCGATATTGATCTCTCTTCATTAGAGCCACATATCAATGGACCTTTCACACCTGATCTGGCTCATCCTATCTCTGAGTTCAAGTCTGCCGTCGTTGGAAAGGGCTGGCCCCTTGATTTGAGTCATGCCATGGTCGGGAGCTGCACAAATAGTTCATATGAGGACCTCGACAAGGTCCGACAGCTTGTACGTCAAGCAAAGGCAGCTGGAGTCCCGAAGTTCAAGGTTCCATTCCTTATGACACCAGGTAGTGAGCAAATCCGGGCAACTACCGAAGCAGACGGCATTTTGGACGAACTGAGGGATGCCGGTGCTGTCATTCTTAGCAGCTCGTGTGGACCCTGCGTTGGCTCATGGGACCGCAAAGATGTTGATGTGAAGGGCAAAGAGAAGAACTCTGTGATATCCAGTTACAATCGCAACTTCATCGGTCGCCATGACAGCAACCCTGCAACTCATTCATTCGTGACTTCTCCTGAAATTGTCACGGCTTTCGCCTACTCTGGGCGTCTCGATTTCAACCCCATCACCGATAAGGTCTCTGGACCTATTTTACCATTCAAGCTAGAGCCACCAGTGGGACAAGAGCTTCCTTCCAATTTTGAAGCCGGTCTCGACACATTCCAAGAGCCAACATCTGATGGCTCCTCCCTCTCGGTGGACATTGACCCCAAGTCCGATCGTCTGCAGCTCTTGACTCCTTTCAAAGAATGGCAACCAGGCTGTGCCAATGACATGGAAATACTTTTCAAGGTTTCTGGAAAGTGTACAACAGATCACATCTCACCGGCAGGCCCGTGGTACAAATATCGTGGCCACCTCGAGAATATCAGTAACAATATGCTTACGACGGCCACCAACGACTTCCTTCCCAAAGATCCCCAGATGCTTGGCCACACCAAGAACCCTGTGACCGGAACACTGGACGTGGTTCCAGAAATCGCCCGGAAACTTCAAGCCCAGGGCATTCGCTGGTGCATTATTGGAGACAACAATTACGGTGAAGGCAGCTCTCGCGAGCACGCGGCGCTTGAGCCGCGTTTCCTAGGGGGAACGGCGGTTATTGCTCGCTCCTTTGCCAGAATCCACGAGACAAACTTGAAGAAACAGGGCATGCTCCCGTTGACCTTCAACAACCTGGCCGATTATGATCGTATCGCAGAGGGTGATCGCATTACCTTGGTTGGCGTCGAGGAGGGTGAGCTGCAGCCCGGCAAACCTGTTACAATGAGCGTAAGAACCAAGAATGGTTCGACCTGGGAGGCTCAACTTAATCATAGTTACCACCAAGGTCAACTTGCATGGCTCCGGGCAGGCAGCGCTTTGAATTATATCAAAGCCCGGACCGCAAGCCAGTAGGTAGACATCAGGGAGTATTCATGTATTGCAGCTAGGCTCTGTATGTATACATGTTGAATAGACTTGGAGTATGGCGTAGGATCTCAGGTTTCTAGCGAACGGAGAATATCAAAGGAATTCTTCTCGTCACCGCTGTACATTACAAGGAAATTAAAAAATATTATGCAGTATCTATTCAATAGATGGGACGTTTTTCCATTAAGCGCTTGTAGGCATATGTCTTGCCAGAATTGATGGATTTCTGATCTTGATTTCATTTTTATTCTTTGGCTTTGGCTTTGGCATCATGAAGACCAGAGGCAGAAGTTCGGGCGAGGCCGAGACTGGTCTCTTAAAGCGATTGATTTGATTCAGGAAGAAGACGGCCGAAGCCCGATTGCCAAAGTCACTCAAACCTTCTCACGCGAATTTCATTCCTAAGCGGTCTTGTGATGAACAGAATACGCGCATGCACACCGAGCGTCTAAAGCGTATATAGGCCAAATGATGGATGGCCAATGATTGGATGAGCTTTGTCATCGGCTCGAAGTTTAAACGGGGGCGGATTTAAATTTGCTGTCACGGATCACTCCGTTGTCCCCGGACTACTCCTGACCCTAGACTTCATTCTCCACCAACGGCTACCCCAACAATATGGCCGGCATTCATCAACAAATTGGTAGTAATGGATGATAAACTTGCCACTCTCGAACGATTCGGGCTACTCCTAAAGTGGGGTTCTTCCCCCGCACGAACACTTCGAGAAGAAGCTCACCCGCATCGTGCGATGCTAACCTCATTGGCTCTTCGTCTGGGGCTCAAAGATGCATATAAGTCAGAGAAAGCACTTTTCCCCGGCTTCTAAACATTCAATTCTACTCCGCATCGTTTCTCCCCGCAGATTTTGAGATCTATAGCTTCCTTTTTGTCAGAACATATTCTTCTTCCTCTCTGGAAATGGGAGCTGCTGGCGGTGGCTGGTCCAATGCGGCTATCAAACAAGTCCCGGCTCCAGCTCGCAGGGCCTATGTCTGGCTTGCCGTTATCTGGGCCTCATATTGTGGTGGACTTCATGGGTTCAACACGGCGAATATTTCGGGCACTATGACCCTGAAACCTTTCATCAGAGACTTTGGATGGACGCATTTGTCCTCGAAAGTAATTTCCAACTATTCGGGCTGGGTTGTCTCGTCAATGCTTTTGGTGAGTATTCACTTTCTCATCCATGCCTCAATAGAAAGCTTGGATTACAAGTTCTTACTGCCGGAGAATAATTTTACTGACTGACGATCGCCGATAGGGTCAAATCCTAGGTGTCGTGGTGTCTGGACCCTTGGGTGAGCGTCGAGGTCGAAAGTCAGTCATCATGTCGGCCGCTATTTTCTACACCATTGGTGCCATTTTGATGGCTGTGAACTTTGGTTCTCTTCCCGAGCTGCTCGTTGGAAGAGTCATGTCTGGAATTGGCTCTGGGCTTGGAATGACCGTAGGCCCTATCTACATCTCAGAGGTCGCACCGACAGAGATGCGTGGTATGATGACCACCTTTTACAACATCAATATCATGAGCGGTGTTGCCGGAAGCTATTGGATCAACTATGGCTCCTATGAACATATCTCGCCGCAGAATAGCTGGCAATGGCGGGCCACACTAGTCCTCCAGCTGATACCTGCTGTCGCACTCTTCGTTGGCTTCCCATTCTTCCCCGAATCTCCTCGTTACCTGATGATGAGGGGAAGAGTGGAGGCGGCCCGGCAGAGTCTTTTGAAGATCCGCGGCCTCGATGAAAACGATGATTATTTCAGCCGCGAGTATGACGAACTCAGAGGTCGTGTCGATGCACATGCCGAGAGCCAGTCTGCTTGGCAATCCATCAAGTCACTATTAGGTACATGCATCACCGATGCACCAACCCGCAAGATGCTCTTATTTGTCATGATCGTCCAGACATTTTTCATCATGAGTGGTGGAAATTCGATTACCTACTATGCGCCGACCATCTTGAAGTCAATCGGCCTCAAGTCCAGTCAAGTCCTCTTGTTTTCTGCCGTCTACGGCATGATCAAGGTCGCTAGTGTGTTGTTCTACGCTTTTTACCTCACCGATCGCTTCGGTCGCCGGCCATTGCTACTTATCGGATCAACAATGAATACCCTGTGCCTGATCTACCTTGCCGTTTATTTAGCAGTGGCCGATATCTCTGCATCTGCCAATCCATCCCCCGCAGCATGGGTTGCAATCGTTGCCATTTGCATTTTTGCAATTGGTTATGGATTCGGATGGGCACCTGTCTTTTCTCTGACGGCTTCAGAGATCTGCCCGACTTCTACACGCGGAACGGTGGTGACGATCGCCTTTATGTATCAAAATCTGCTGAATTTTGCCATCACTCGTGGTTTCCCCAGCATGGCTGTGGACATGCATGCGTGGGGCCCCTTCGCCCTGTTCGCTGCCTTCACCGGCTGTGCGACAGTGTGGGTCTTTTTCGCTTACCCGGAATGCAAGGGACGCAGTATGGAGAGCGCAGGCGCTTTGTTCTCTTTGCCTTGGTATAAGATTGGCTTTGTCAAGGCTCCAACTGCCGAGTATGAGGCCGCTGAGAGACGGGTAGACTTGGAGAAAGCATCATGTACCGAGCATGAGGAAAATGTGGTTGGAGTCGGCCACAAACAGAATTAAAGGACAATCATCTATCGAGGGGTCTGTAGTTTATATTGGAACTAGTGTCAAGATATTGACTGTCTGAGAATATTATGAGTTACTACTGGTTTCGCGATTTTATTTTGTAACTTTCGGATTCGGTTTGCTGGTAAACGACTATAGAAGTCAAGTCTACTACCATGTTACTATGTATTTGTCCTATCTATTGCCACCGTTCTCTACTCTCGATGTAAGTAAATAAAGTATATGCACGCAGGTCCCATCTGCTGAATATTCGAGACAAAACCGGGCACTGACTGACTCCTTCCAGATAGTTTCTGTCCAAGTCTCATTCAACTTGGCTAGATAACTAGTCTTGCACCTCGAGCCCGGGCCATCATATTCAGATCAAGTGCGTGCGGCAATCATTCACTTTTCAGTGTCTTTCTCGGGGGCTTGTTCGAGGTCGAACTCATCATAGAAATGACCCACAGCATAATGCGAAGGAGGAAGGGAAACTGAACTAGCTGTGATGCAAGCTCTGTCAAGTCGTCCTCCGAAAGCTTCCCATCGGATGACTGCAGGTTCGGGCTACTTCGTACCGGAATTCCTTCTGGCTTAGGGTCCACCACCTCTTCAGCCCGCGTCTCTCGCAATAATTGCTCATATCGCTCCGTTTCTTTCCTGAAGGGCGTTCCTCCGTATCTTGGCTTTCGTTGACTGACGGGTATTTGCGTGGGTGAGAGCTCACTTTGGCTTTTGACTGTGGAAATCTGCGTCCGCGCTGCAGGTTCCGTAAAATGGCCCTGAGTCTTCGCCGATACCTCTTTCTTCGGGGCTCTTCCAATTATTATCTGCTCCTCTTCTGTGAAGGTGGATATTCTCTCGAATGGTCGGTGGTTTGGAAGCCTCGTTCTCGCCGTATAATCGGTTGTCGAGGGGCCTGAATCAGTTTCTTCTACGACTGTGGCTGAAGTTGTACTCTCATCTCTCGATACTTGAAGAGTTTGCTGAAAGGAGACAGGGAGCGTTGTCGGTAGCTGTGACCGAACGGCTTCCAAATTTAGACGTTCCATATCCGAGGGTATACCTCGTGCAATAGCATCGAGTCTCCTTGGGGCCTTCTCCGCGCGGGGATTGACCACCGTCAGCGAGACTCCCTGGCTTTTGCTAGGATCCTTGGGGAACTTTAACAGTTCCCTAACACGATTCTTCATTCGCTCATGCCTTCTTTCAAGTTTTCCTTGAATCTCGATTCGAATCACAAATAGTTTCTCGTCGTGTTCGAGGGTGAAAGCTGTCTGAATCGTGTTGCTGTGACTAGTCTGAGGTTGGAAATCATCCTCAGAGAGGTCCCATCTGAGCTTGCGATACACAATATCCGCAGCATTGTCTCCGAGTATTGAGCCTCGAAGAAGGTTTCCCGTAAACGTCCATCGACTGCTTTGCTCAATACTTTGTTCGTGGTCCAGGCCCAAGCCTCCACCCCCATTCCCCAGAACATTGACCTGCGGGGTCAAATGTCTGGTCTTCTTGGTAGTCGCTCGTGTAGCCTCTCCTGCCAGCTCTCGTGGTCCAAATTCCTGGGTAAACTGTAGAAAGCGCAGTTCATCCCACTCTTCCCTTGCTTCCCTGGTGGGATCGATAGGATCGACCGTTCTATACCCTGATTTTTGCCCGCCTTCGGCTGCCAATCTATCTCCTCTTGGTGTGGACCGCGCAGGTGCGGCGGAGGATTTGCCCTCTTTGGGAACATTTTCGGGATCCTCCAAGCTCACCAACACGGTTGCACTTGACAATCGGCAATGCTTGGTTTGAGCGAACGTCAAGTCCATGTATAGAATGCCAGCCTGGTTCTCGGCGGGTCCTAAAACACCCCACTGTGTTTTTGAATGCCGAAAGCGACAGTCGATTTCGACTTGGCCCAATTGTTGTGAGCATAGACTCACATTGGCGAGATGATCGAAGGCGTTGAATGTCGACCCGTACCGACGAGCAAATCGCGCCGGCCGGCGGGAGGGTCGAGGAGGAATGTCGCACATGGCGAGCTATTTTTTGAAAGAGGAGTCACAGCAGACCACCCTCAGAATTCGGGATTCGTGATATTCCGCCACCTAGGTGAAGCTCAAAGGCCGGCAATCACGGAAAGGCGAACAGCTCAGGGAACTCTTCCAGTCCACCCAAGAGGGAGGCATAGGAGGATTATCACGGAGGGAATACGAGGCACCATCCCCTCCGTCACAGCCTCATTTGGGGCCGAAGCGCGGAAAACACCCCTGCACGGCTGAATTGACACAACTCGAGTAGCATGACTGTTGGTTGGCTGTTGATGAGGGGTCGCTAAGGGCGCAGGTTGCTGCAGGACCATCACAGCCAGTCGCTTTTGCGCCCCCCACTCGTTGCGCGACCTGTGCACGTCCGATTGGCAATCGCCTGCCTTGCCTTGTTTCTTCCTGGAGCTGCGACCATTGAAACTCTCAAATTCAAAGCCCAGCCCCAGTCTCTAGTGAGATTCATATCTCGAACCTTTATTTCTGTGCTTGAAGACGTTGAATCAACGCTCGAGACACAGACCCGCAATGGCGCTGGACACGGTTCGTGCGAGTTTACCAACTTCCAGCAATCGCCAGGATACATTCTCACGATTCGAATGGATGCATGAGAATCAATCCAAGCTGCCTCTGGTCCGACGAGTTCCAACGTTGCTGTATTCTGATGGCCCGTCGCCAGAAAAGGAGAAGTCAACGGAAAAGGTCCGCGAGCGAGTTCCCGTCAGCGTTTCCTCTTCGCCCGCTTCATCATCGGACGAAGACTCTGATTTTGAATTTGATGGGTCGGGCATTGCGCATCAATATCAGCTGGTCTCTGCTTCGCAGGTAGATCAGAGTGACAGCACTATACATTTCTCGCTTGATGTCGCTGATGACATTGAAGGCCACCTAGAAGAAGTCTCGCGCTTAAAGCGATGGGGTCATTTTCACGAAGCAATAGAATACTTCACTGCAAACCTCAAGCACCATCTGGATCTACCTCTGGTTCTTCTTGCATATGCCGACTTGCTCGTCGAACAGGGTTCTTACGACCAGTTTGATGCTTTCGTATCAAGTCAGCGCTGGGATCACCCATTGAAAACGAAATGTCTCCCGATTAGCAGCGACGAAAACGGTCCAGATCTGTATAAGCAATACTCTAATCTATTGGGGCTACGAAAAAGTCTTTCTTTTTCAAGGTTCGGGGCGTATGACATGAAAGCAGCAATGGACCACTTACAAGCCGAGTCTTTGCGCGAATACTTGGACAAGCGGGCCTCGTCAAGGCGTGGGATCCACTCCGCACATGGTGATGAGATACCCTTTGATTCAACGGAGGTATTATTATCATAGATTCGCTGAAAGAATCGAGTCCAAAGGCTTGAGCTAATAATCCGATTTCAGGTCCAGATTATTCGCAATCATCTCGAGATTCGATCCGAAATTAGGTGCAAAGGTAGAACACCAATACCCAGCTTTGATACGCGCTGCTGGCCAGACCTCTATAGCGATCTCCTGATGGGTGCTCGTATTTGGGAGCTATGCGATCTTCTATTGGCCATGTTCCATTATTTTGGTTTACCAGGAACGTGGGAACGATTGTTCCATGCGGATGAAGAGAACAAGGACAAGAATCCTCAGACAGTTCATTGCTTGGAACGACTTTTAAAGGATTGGACCATTGACGAATACGATGAAGCAACTGAATTGGCCATATTGACTATTGTTGTGGAAATGATGTACATGCTCGATATTGGGAGCCAAGCACTCTGCCTACTGCCAAAGGATCGTAACTTGAGCCTGGCCCGCTGTGCACAACAAGCTGAGCAATGCGCTGCCGATATCAGAGAATACAGCCCTCATCTGACGAAATCTCGTCCATATCTACAATGGATATTGGCAAAGGAGCATTTTGGTCGTCAGCAAAATTGGAGTACATCATATCGTGAACAGCGAGAACGGCATTTCGAGGCTGTCTCTGGGTTCGTTCTCAACAAGTGGTGTCTACCAATCTATATACCCGTGGCGACTGAGAACCCGGGCTGGCCATCTCCAGATCCGAAATTCCCACCAACTGAGCAATTACAGTGGGCACTCAAGACCTCCAAGGAGCTTTTAGACTACAAGACCCAGGCAATGCTGCTCAGAGAGCTTATCTGTCGCGTGGAAGATCCCCGACCATTGTTTCAGGAGTTGGATCAACTACACGGAGAGGACCAGGGAGACCTTGTTCAATTATATGAGTCATTTACTTCACAGTACTTGCTTGCTATTGATGATAGTTCTCGCCAAGAACTTCTTCAGAGACTTCAAGGGGCCGCTTCACAATTCGAGCCCGCTCCTGAAGACGACGTCTGTGTTGCGACCCGCTGGAATGGTCTTATGGTGCAGAATGCATTAGCTCGCTCGGTCTCCGACAATGCAGAGCTCATTGAGCAGAATGCCAAGCTGGAACAATCAATGCGCGAGAGTCTTCCATATACTCAAAAGGCAATCGACAAGCTTGCCCGGGCGATCGTTGAAGAGGAGGAAAGAGCCGAGGAACGCGCCGGTCAGAGCAAGAAAATCGGGTTCGCAGCAAATGCTCATCAAAAAGAACAGGAAACTGAGGCATCGGAGCGATTGGATCATATTCGTCATTTGGATTCGTTCAAGGAAGACGTCTTCCACCGGCTGGGCAAATTGGAGCTTGAGATGCTGCAACACAAACAGAAAGCCCTTGAAGAGGAGCTTCGCAGGACAAAAATCCAGCGCGAGCTGGAGCAGCTTGAATTTAAAGAAAGGCTGAAGACTGAGGAAGAGAAATTTCGCAAACAGCTGCGCGAGCGTGTCTCTGATGATGCACCCTCTCAAGCCCTAAAGACTATAGAGAACAAAAATAATGATCCGACATGGAAAAGGCAAATCAACGACGGCGATAGGGCCCAGGCGATATATAAAGTGAAACACCTTACGACTGAAATCATCCCTACGAAGGATGTGCAGAGGAAAATCGACGATGATGCCTATGCCCATCATTTCAAGGAGCCTCAGACGCCTCACAAGCCATACCGCTTTGCATCTATCGAAGAAATTCAAGATGAGCCAACAACATTCGAGAAGCGTGGCCAATCCCCAGCCAACCCCGGTACCACAGAGCCCCAAGGGCCCATGGACGAGCTGTTCGGGATCTTCGAAGAGCCCGAGCAGCTCGGCCATGATGAGGGTGTTGTTGGAGAGAGTGGAAGGCCTTCAGCGGAACTTGGAGCAACGGTTCACGGAGAAGAGGAGGCGTCTTCAGGGGATGAGAGACATTCGAGACCTCATTCTTCGACGCGGTCGTCTAGACGTGACTCTCCGGAGTCAGTTCATCGTCAACCCCGAATGATCCAGAATTCTGGATAATCTTGATTGAGCGTTCTTCTTTCTGATCGAAGAGGTTTTTTGAGAGAAGGCGCCAGCTGGAGAATGCTTACTGGCCATGTATATGAAAAATTACATCTCATTTCTTAGTTGGCAAAGTGAACGCTGAAAAGTTTCCGAATGGGATGTGCTCCTGCCGGCTTGTGCAGTATAATGTAAGAGAGATATGTGTAATAAGAGGTACAAGTAGGTATATACATCATCGTTCAAATCAAGACCCTCCGCAGGCCATCGGTTCCACCGAGAACTCTCCTCCCAGTTACTGGGCATCTTCCTTTCCCACTCTCCCACTTTCCGCCACGCTTGCGAGAGGTCTTGTCATCGGATCCTTGGTCGTCTGACGAGTTCTTCGTTGTCTCATCATCGCCAGTAATCTCTTCTTCCCAAGGAGCACCTGCACCTTCTCCATTCATAAAGTCCAGCTGTCTCTGGTGCTCGCCGTTAAGCCAATGGAAAATACACACGTAGCAGAACACATATCCCGTCTGGCATGCTGTTGGATTGACGAGCGTGTTCAAACAGACAGGGCAGGTGTTTGCACTAGAGGTATCAGCCGGTGGTAGAGGCACGGTGAAAATAGGAAGATATGAGGTTGCGGAGATAGGTGGTTGGTGGCGGCGAGGCGATTTCAATGCAGACTTCAAGTCTCCAGAAGCCTTCTTCTCCTTCTCTTCCTCTTGTCCAGACTTGCGCCGTTCCGCTGGGTTGGTCAACCCCGAAACCACGGGAGCTGGCAAGTCCAATACTTCGGTTGCCTTGCGAGCCAATTGCCGCGAGAAGTCACTTGCATGCCACCATTCCAAGAACTTCAACGCGAAGATCGATGCGGGGAGGAAGTAGCGCAAAGATGTAAGCAGTTGTGGGTACATGTTCTGCGGGCTCAAGAGGCCCATCAATCCAGAGCCAGGTCGCTGAGAACGGTTTCCGCCAGGTGCAGGCTTGGAGTCCAGCACAGCGGCGATAGCACGATGATCAGCGGCTCCCAGGCGGCGAATGCGCGTGCCAATCAGCCAAAGGAAAGGAGAGGAGTATTTGGTATTATCGAAGAGGTAAGCAAGATTGAATGCCAGAATGGAGAAATAGTACGCCGCATTGACGGACGGATATACATTGCGCAAGAACCACTTGTAATAGTGGAAAATGCGCTGGCGGATGGTAGGATTGTGTGGGAGATCATCGCTGGGATTGTATCGCGGCCCGCCGCCCATCACCAGAGACGCATGCGGCGCGGCATGGATGTCGTATCCCTCATCAAGCTTGCGTTTCAAGTAAGGGATACCGACCATGACGAGCAGGTTCTTCCACACGTCCGCCGAGTGCAGCTTGAGGGCGTCGCGCACCGGGCCGCCCGCGCCAACCTGGGCGCGTGGGATCTCGCCATTCTTCGTACGGAGCACACGCTCGCGCTTGAGGGAATAGAAGTTTTCGGTGAATGATCCGCCGAATGTGCGGAGGTAGTAACGCTCGACGACTAGCGAGAGGAGGGCGTAGACCTCGTCGTAGGAGTTGAGGATCCGGAGGAGGTACCGCGGGTGGCGATGTGTTGCGACCGCGAGGAGATAGCGGATAGAAGGTGGAAGAAGGTCAGATAGCTGTTGTTCAGCGAGGAGTTCTAGCAAACAGCAATCCTTAGGTCAGTATCTTGTGATCATTGTCGTGACTCCGCGAGGTGATGGCAGTTCCCCGGATTCCGGTGAGTGACTTCATTCCCCGCAAGACAGGACAGACATCAAGACTTACCGAAGAGCGATGGCTTGTGCTCATCGAACTCCTGTTGAAGACTAGGTAGGTACTCCATGATTTGGAGCGCCAGTCATCCTCAAGCAGTCGCAGATGGATGGTTGACGGAGAGTGCGGTCGGTCGAAGAGGAGGGAAGTGCTCGGTGCCGGATTGGGGGATCGGCTTCAGCCGAGGCTCAAAGTTGCCCGAGTCACACTTGGTCCATGTCGGTGTCTATCTCATATATATGACTCTACCACATTCCTATGCGATAATATAGTATCTAAAGGAGTATATTCTCGGTGTTGTTACAATATATTATAGTTTATAATACACAATGACTTTTTTTTCACAGGCTGGGTCGTGTTAACGCCTCCTGGCATCGTCGCCATAGACCCAAGAAGAAGCTGGGAGATCCATCCTCAACTCGGTTCTGGATATCCGGGTCTGCCACCAGGAGACAGTGCATCACGGATGTCACGATAGGGCCCTTCAGCTCAATGGCAGGAGACTCCCGTTCCATCATAGGCACCCACATCGAGAGACAGTCTCGCGCCCGGCCCTCTTCCCCAAGATCTGCGTGCAGCTGGAACAGATTTCGGTAATCATCTTGCGTGCGGCCGGTACCCTTCAAGGGAATCTGTCGCCAAATACGCCAGAAACCATCATAGTCCTCACATCGGAACTGGGTCACCATCAGCTGCCGTGCCTCTTCTTCATCAAAGGCAACTTCTGCAGCGGAAAGTATTTTCGATAAACGATTCAGCATCAGCCGCTGAGACTTGGTCCACTCTTTACCGCTGGTGGTGAGTGTCGGTTGTTCTGAATCCAGCACTTCCCGACGTGAAGACGAAGCGGGCGGGTTCATGGGCGTGTCAACCACTCGATAGAGCATATTGAAGACTTTGAAGTTGAAGATTGGAACACCACGCAGGCTGAGACGGTCGAGAACCTTCAAGGCGAGCTCAATGTCCTCTTGCGGGAGATAGGCTGTGGGCTTCTTGTTGTGGTCAAAAACAGAACGCGGGGCCAAGAGCGCAGCGACAGTATCGAAAGCAAGGTTGTCGTCCAACTCGTACCCATCGCGTAGAAGATCGGTGAAAGCCTTGAAAAGAGCATCCTTGGTATACCCTGGGTGTTGCCGGGAAACCGCAATTGAGTACAGCTTCATGCGAAGAACTGCGATATCCCGTGTAGACATATCTTCAGTGAGACTGGCATATAGGAGTTGCAAGAAAACGGTGGAGTTGTAGTCATCGGGGCCAGCTCCAAGCTCGGCCCGGGCATTCTCGTGAGGAAGAGAAGTCAGCATGCGAAGCAAGGAATCGGTGTTCGTTCCGAGACCAGGAGCTTCTGCCATGGTTGATTTGGCAGCCAAAGCAGCAAGCAGCCCAGACTTGTCGGACTCCGTACCGGGTTCCACGGTACGTCGGACAGTGTGCATGCTTCTCCTTTGGCCATTGGGGTTACCAATACCACCGAATGAGGCATGGCTGGTCGTCGAGTAATCCACGACGGGCTCTGATTCAGGCACTTCACGAAGTCGGTCTCGTTCAGCTCGCTCCAACGTCTTCTGCCAAAGGCCGTCCAGGTCGAGATCGGCTCTCTTCTCCTCCGTGAAAATCTGGACCACCACGTTTGTGCCGAGCTCCAGTTGTCCAAACCCTTCCAATCCCACGTCAGTGAGGTCCGTCCTGGCCGCATCCTTGTCCACCACTCCTGCGTTCACACAGATCCAGCCTGTCGTAATTCCATCGTCCTTCTCGTCGATCATGCGCCCAGCATGGCTGGCCGCACGCGCCCGCTTGGCCTTGCGACGGAGTTTGATCTTCAACTCATTGCGTCCAATCAATCCATCTGCATATGGAGAAAGTTTGTATTTGCTTCGAAGCCAGCGACAGAGACGATCAGCGGAGACATTCAAATGCTTCACGCTGCGTGCCGTTCCGACGATCATGATCACATTGGCACCCAACGCCGCAGGGACCTCGAGCCCTCGCAGGTCGAAGAGCTTTAGCTGATCCAAACCAAGATCTTTGTATGTGTATTCAAGCAGAACTGGAAGTATTTCGGGTGCGTTTTCAGGGATACTGGGGATATGATCGCCAGTCATGGGCCGCTCTTCCGTAGTTTTTGACTCCTCTTGCAAATACCATGGGACACGGGATGTTGACTGAACATTTGGTTTAATTTCAATATCACTGTCTTCCACGTTCTTCTCCTCCAGGGGCGACAGATTGATATCTGGTGGATTCGAGATAGGGGGCCGATCGGAGCGCAAAGAGCCTACTGCGGAGAAAGCTCTGAAGTTGAAGCTAGGACGAAGAGCGGCAGTGAATCGGGGGATCGGGACGCCCGAGACGGCAAGGAATGATCGGAGAATCTCATGGCGACATGACTGGCATGCAGCGCCTCGTAGTAAAGCCCTGCTCATTGCGGCGCGATGATGTTGAGCTGATGAGCACACGAGCGCAGCTTTGCTTGTCGGAGAAATCCACCCGGCGTCCGCTATCGCCGAGTGCAAATGGTGCAAACAGCTGAGTCATCAACAAAAAAAGATTCCTATCGAGGCGGGGCAAAAGTTACAAATCGATCTTTTCGAGATTCCTGTCTATTCCCAAATTATTTTGTCGGTTGTCTATTTCCACCATGTCGATGGATTTGGATGCCCCCGTCCCTATGACGGGACTGCAGGATCAGCCCGTCATCACGGCGACGTGAGTTACTTTGCGATTCTTGGTTGCGCAAGGTTAAACTAATCTGTTATAGTATTCTCTGCTGTAACTGCGGTGCTCCTATCGACGGAACGGCCTCGGCTGGTGCTCTTTGCTCAGGTAAGAGCCAGAGACTTCTGTTTTGTATTTTGATGATACTAATCCATTATCATAGAGTGTCTTCGCAACACAGTCGATGTGTCCCAGGGTATTCAAAGAGAGGGAACCTTGCAGTAGGTCTTTCGGTCTTTCAAATCACCCAGCGTACAGATATTGACATTTCCGCTAGTTCCTGCCGAGACTGTGAGCGTTGGTTGCAGCCCCCGAACAGCTGGGTCGTCGCAAACCCCGAATCGAAGGAGTTGTTGGCTGTCTGTTTGCGTCGTCTCCGTGGTCTCAACAAAGGTGAGAGGCTTGCAGGACGCTCTGCTCATATTAGCGAACTATTTCTAATTGGATATCTCATATACAGTCAGAATCATCGATGCGAGCTTCATTTGGACGGAGCCCCACTCTCGCCGTATCAAGGTGAAGATCACGATCCAGCAGGAGGCCTTCCAAGGCACTATCGTTCAGCAGACATTCGAGGTGGAATATGTGGTTGCGTCTCAGCAGTGTGATGACTGCAAGAAGAGTTATACACACAACACCTGGAGAGCTTCGGTTCAAGTTCGGCAGAAGGTCCCACACAAGCGGACGTTCCTGTACCTGGAGCAGTTGATTCTGAAATCCGGTGCCCATAAGGATACAGTGAACATTAAGGAAGCGAAGGATGGCTTGGATTTCTACTTCGCGCAGCGAAATCACGCCGAGAAGGTGAGCCATTACCGTCATATTGTCGTTGGTACTTAGCGACGGATGCTAACAGATTACAGATGGTGGACTTCCTGCAGTCCACGATTCCCTGCAAGATGAAGAAGTCTCAGGAGCTGATCTCCATGGATATTCACACCTCTACCAAGTCTTACAAGGTCTGTGATACCAGATGCCAAAATACCGTATTAGTAGACATCAACTTACTCTTTTCCAGTTCTCCTACTCCGTTGAACTGATCCCCATCTGCAAGGATGATCTGGTTGCCATGCCTATCAAGCTTGCTCGCCAGCTGGGCAATATCTCTCCTTTGACCCTCTGCCACCGTGTCGGAACTAGCCTCAATCTCCTCGACCCTCTCACCCTCCAGACTGCCGACGTCGCCAGCGGCACCTACTGGCGCTCGCCATTCAAGAACTTGGCCGATGTTACAGAGCTGAAGGAGTTCATCATTATGGATATCGAGCCTCTCGGTCACTCAGTCGGCCGCTATCACCTTGCCGAGGCCACCGTCGCACGGGCATCGGATCTAGGCAGCAATGACAAAACATACTACACCAGAACCCACCTTGGCGGTATTCTGCACGTCGGTGACTCCGTGCTCGGCTACCACCTGACTGGCACCATCTTCAACGACGATAACTTTGAAGCTATCGAAGCCAGCAGCCAGTACGGATCGACAATCCCGGACGTCGTCCTCGTTAAGAAGCACTATGCTCGTAAGAGGAAGCCCAAGAACCGTGCCTGGCGCCTCAAGCGCATGGCTCGCGAGTACGAGGAGGAGGCGCTCGCCGCCCAACAGACCCGCAAGCAAGAGCAGGAGCAGGATCGTCTCGAGCAGGACTTCGAAATGTTCTTGCGGGATGTTGAGGAAGATCAGGAGCTGCGTCAAACTCTGGATCTGTACAAGGCTCGTCGTAATCCTGAGCAGGATCATGAGATGGACGAGGACAGCGACAGTGGTGACGATGAGGTGCCGAAGATCAACATGGATGAGTTGCTTGATGACTTCGATGAGCTGACCATGAACGAGGAATGAGAATGAGAATGTGGACGAGCTTTTTATGCAAGTGATATCCTTGATGATCATGGCTGGCGTTATTTGTTTATAGTCTCATGCCTCTTTTCTGAAATCTTCTTTTGGGGGAATGGTAAAGAAACAAAAGTTTTGGAAAAACTAGATAGCATGCAAATGTATGCACATTGTCATCGTCGAATTCAAGTGTTGAAATATAAGATATACTATAGCAACGCACAAAATGGGTCGAGCCAGCTTGAAACTTCGCTGTCCCATTCCCAGGCAAGTCCAAACAACCTTCATCTTCATTTCCTGTTAGTCGATCAGTACTTGAGATGATGGGCCCAGTGGGTTCTGTAGACCGCTAAGCCACCAGCAGGGTTACTGATTTGAGGTGTAGATGGTTGGTAACCTATATTGTTGAGGATCGAATTCTTAATTTTTGGTAGTACATCATCACGAGAAGCGAGTCCACTAGGATGCATGAATGAAAGCGGTTCTCTATACGCTGAATAATAAAGCACTCGTTGGAAGCAAGACATTAGAAGATCTTCCCAAGCACCCTCTTAGCCTCATTCCCAATAGCCTTTTCATCCTTATCGGAAGCCGAAACAACATCATTCTGCACGAAACGCCTCCGTACATGTGCCGGCATCTTCGGCTCGATATCGGTTTTGCCCTCTGCTTCGGCCTTGCGCTTCCTCTTCTCCTCATTCTTTTGGGCGATACCGTCCAGACGACGGCCTGCTTCGACACCGGCCAGGAAGACCTTTTCTTCCTTCCTTGCTCGAATATCCGCCATGCGCTGTTTGCTTTCTCGCTCTGATCTCTCGCGCTGCACAGTTTCCATCAACTAGAAGCAATAGGTTAGCAAATGAATCGAATCATGAATGTGGGAGATGGTAAAATGCAAAAGAATTGCGAGATATGAATCCTTTGCATCTCGATAGGGGGGAAGGGAAGCCTACATCAGCCCATTTGAAGCCAGATCTAGCAAAAGAATATCAATTAGTACAAATCCAACCGCTTCCAAAGTAGGCTGTCTTAGAGAAACTCACAAGTATCGCATATTGATAACATCATCGCGATAATACATCCCCTTAGGACCACCAAGAGTTCGAGCATTCATAGATTCCGCCGCCAAACGTGCAGTCTTCTTCGATTCGAATTCAATCCAACCCTCCGAGTAAATTTTGCGCTTGTTACTGCGTTGCGGTTTCGAGGAGTTGGTAGGAACGAGAGGAGCGAAGAAGACCTTTTTAATTGGACCGAATCCACGTTTTTCCATGATGTTCTTGAGCGCAAAGCTATAATAATGTTTAGTTTTGGATCGCGATCCGGTGTCCAGTGCAGTACAACGACTCACGGTTTGAGGTATGGTGGCAGTGAAGAGAGGTAAACAACGCCGGTCTTATCCTTCTTAGGTTTTTTGATTGAGTTTTTAGACAGGGTTTTGGCGGACTTTGGCTTGTCTTCAGATGTGGTTTCGAGGTATGCGCCTCCATCTTCGTCCTCAACCTCGTGCTCTTCTTGATCCTCTTCCTCTTGCTCCTCCTCTCCTAAGGGGTCTTGCTTCTTCGTCTTTGATTGCTTGTGAACCTTGCCTTTGACATCAGCTCGAGATTCCTCGTCTTCCTCGTCTGCGGATAAATCCTCGTCGGACCCTAGACCGAAGAAATCTTGGGTATCTGTCCGGCGCTTCTTCACGGCCCGACCTTTAGACTCCGCCACATGCTCCTCAGAATCGTAGCCACGGAGGCTGCCCTCATCATCATCATCGCTAGGCGCATCTAGAAATTCGTTGTGTTTCCTGGTCGTCATTGTGTGAAGTTGTCGTGATTAACTCGGGGGAAAAGAGATTCGGCGCGCAAGAGAGTTGAAGTCTCCAACTTTTTTTTCGCCGCAGATCAAGTGGTCCGTGCGCTGCTCCGCTTTGAACTCCGCGCATTTACGATGGGATAAGATCGACAACTACAACAGCAGGCAATAACTTACGACAAATATGGTGGAAAATCTTGAGTAAATGAAATATGTGTAAGTCATGGGAAGTGTATGTCCATTCGAGCCATCCCAGGCTCATCTAGTACTCAAAAAGAACAAAAGAAATCCCAAACAAATATCCACAACGCCAACATTGGGAATCACAAGACCGATGCCAATGGCTGCACAACTGTCTCCACGGAAAAGACCACAGGTTCTATCGCGAGAACGCACTTTGTATCTGCAGCATAAAAAGAAGACGATGTAAATGCAGGGGGATTCTAGCCCCCAGAAAGCAAAATTTCAAGGGAAAGACCATCTAGATCTTCAAGGACCACTTCATCCGCTCATAGACAAAGAAGGCGGTTGCGGCCATGGGCACGACCTTAATATACCCAATCGTGAGACCAACCCAGAAACCACGGAAACCTCGCTCAAGCCAGATTTTGCGGCCAGTTTCAATGAGTCCGAGTCGCTGGCCGCCGCTGACTGCGCCACCAACTTGCATGCGCCGCCTGATCACTTCGAGTGGGTATGATGAAGTTTGTGAGACAAGGCCGGCTATCGCACCAGAGAAGAGCTCGGCAGCGGCATTCAGCTGGGGCTGACGAGATCCATTCTTCGGTTTGGATTTTGAAGCCGGAAGTGTTGTATACTGTGCTAGAGAGGGGCTGCGAAGCCAGTCGCCGACTGTGTCGTGGGTGAGGAAAGATACGCCGGCGTAGGGCAGCATGCCAAGGATAGTTGGGCCGAAACCGCGGTAGAAGTTGGCGATGCCAGAGCGTGGCACAGCCTGGTTGACAGTCGAAGCTACTGTCTCCGCCGTAGCGACCGTGGCCGAGGCTGTCTTGGCTCCTGCGGTGGCCGCAGAGCCCGTAGAAGGTGGTGAGACACGCTCATTGTATATCTGCCGGCAAATATCGGTCAAAGACGAGCGAGAGGACCGTTTCGTTTCGAACGCTAGTCGTACGCGTATGAGTTCGAGGGGGTATGTGAAAAACACCGAAGTGACGCCTGCCAAACTACCCGAAACCAGGCGACGGATCGCAGTCTCTTTATCGTGGGATGGGATTATGACGGCACGAATCTGTTCATAGGCGAGGAATTTGATGGCAGCGTAGGGGAAGATACGGAGAAGTGTAGCCGAGTGGCCTTTGAACAGGCCTCGGGCGCCTTCATAGCGCTTGATATCGCGGATGGCGGCAGCGAGGCCAGTCCAACTGCCCGAGTACTTGGCATATTGTGGGTTTGACGCTTGGAAGAGAATTTTTACGCGGTCGAGGGGTGCGACGATGGTTTTGGCCTGGGTTTTGAACGCCCGCAGTCAGTATACAAAAGTTGCCTCGGCTCGATTTACTAAATTTTGTTTGCACTTACCGCACATCCAGCTAAGCCTCCAGCGAGACCGCTGCGCAAGATATAATCAACACTGCGCGTCTTCGCGGCCGCGCCGCTTTTCTGTGTATCAACCCCGACATTCGATGTGATCTGGCTACTGGCGCCGCCAGCAAGGGACGGTCTCGTCTGAGCGATCCCACTCATCGGAGAGTTAGACTGCGGAGTGGTCTCCGGGCTTGCGTGTAACTGGTGGCGTGGCGTGCGAACGACGGAATCAAGCTGCGCATGGTCTGAAATCCCAGTCGACATAGGAGGGAAGGGTGTGGGTAACGATGGGCGATCTTGTGCGGCCGAGGCGCAACTGGGGAAAGAGGGTCTGGGGTGGAATTACAGTCGTTTCTGCGCCCCTCGTGATCACTCGGGCGATATTCTGGCAGAAAAGTTTCGGGTTACCGGAGGATCGTCGGGACCCTTCTCCGGGCCATGCAGGGAATGGTCGGGATGTATGTGATGGGTGTTTGTAGCGTTCGCAGTACAAATGGCTTAGGTACAAAAGAAATTGTGAGGATGAAGAGGCAACAAGGAGCAAGTCGTGCGTGTGAAAGTTGAACCTCGCTGACGTCGGTTTACCATTGCCGGTTCGGCGTAAGACTTGACATGCCGATACCAGCCGCTCCCCGCGAGTAACCGTGAAATTACGGTACCATTACCACGTACCCGAGTGGCGGGCACGAAAAGTGACAACCTGCCAGTCCCGAGCGGCCGAATGGTCAGCGGTTACGGAGGATCTGTTGAACGATCTAAGATGATGCTCAATCTATGTGCGCTCCCATTCCTCTATCTGACTTCTTGGATTCGCAAACCACCAGCAAAATCAAAACATGCAAAACACCATCCTCGCGACTCCCCAGAAGATGCTCAGAACTAGATACAAGATCACCGGTCCCTAAGAATAGTACACTAGAAATTGAATTCGTGGGTCGCGTGAGCAGGTTGAAGAAAATTCTCGAAGCAGAGGAAAAACATGGAGAGATGCCATGATCCATCAGGCTCAAACCCCGCGCCGTGAGCCCCGTCGGGTCAACGTCTTTCCCCGCGTTCCTCGGCCGCCTCGCGTATCATCGGCGTTCCGCTTCTGCCGCTTAGCGGGCCGCTCAGGGTCGACGTGTAGATGCCCATTCTCTCTCAAAGAGGTGCCGTTGTGCCACCGCAGACAGCGGAGACGATGCTCGTTGACATCCATGTATGTCTTCTTGCGAGTAGTGACGCGCTTCGTTGGTAGTTCCTCTGACTCCGCTCGTTCGGCGTGAACGGTCAGGTACTCCTGGCGGTGCTTCATGTATTTGGCGATGGTGTGTCGCTGCAAATGGAGTTCCTTGAGCAACTTGCACTCCCGGTTGCCTCGGGGATCCAGCCATTGGATCAGTTGCTCGATTGAATCAGGGTCGTCGTAGTAACCCCATTCGCGGGCAGTCGATACGTGTGTAGGGCCCTCTTCGTGCTTCTTGCGCTCGGCGGGGGTAGTGTGGAAATGCTTCTGGTACTGTTTGCGTTGTTCGTCGGTCAGATCGATAAAGCCGGCGCGTTCCATCTCATCGGGACCTTGAACCCAAAGACGAGCATTGGCATAGCTGGCTTCCGCAGTAGAGCTGTCCGGCATGCCCGAGGGAGGCATCGCGTTGCGCTCAAACCACCAGTACCGATTGCAGAAACGATCCAGACCCAGGCATTTCGTGCGTGGACAATCGGCCTCACGGAGGTCATTATCCACCGATTGGATCTTCTCCTCGATCTTCGTGATCTTGGCCTTTTGATCCTCGATCTTCTTGAGTACGCGCTGATACTGCTTGGATCCTTTGGGCTGCTTGGCCAGCTGCTCCTTTCGTTCCCGCTCTTCGTCCTGCTTGCGCTTGCGTTCGGCAGCACGATCGGCACCTCCTCGAAGTGAGCGCGGTCGAGGAGTGTCGTCATCGTCCGAATCCGGAATCTCGGAATCGCCATCCAGACCGGTCATCTTCGAGTCATCCAGCCCATCAAGCTCTGGCACGGGTGTCGGCGATTTCTCGGTAGTCTTTTCGGGTTCGGGCTGAAGCGCCTTTCGCTCCTGGTGCAATTGTCGCAAATCTTGGAGTCTGTATCGCAGAGATAGAATTAGCATATGTTAGCTTGACAGCATTTCGTTGATGGAATGAACTTACGCAGCCTTACGAGCTTTTTGATGCTCGATTTTCACTTTGCGGAACTCTGTCATCTGAACACTGCATTCCTCCATGTAATTCCGGATGGCCTTCGTCTCCAAGCTCAGCATGCAGATTATCTGGAGAGCCTTGACTCGCAAGTTGACATCCAGAGTACGGTATTGCTGCCGCGCAGTCTTCTGGGTGGCCGGTTCGTCGAGTGGCGCGAGGTGTTTGAGAACTTCATTACAAGTCTCCTCAAGGCGAGGTCGAACAGACAGCTGGTGCAAGAGACCGATCATGACCAATTCCCATCCACCATTGCGGAAGTCTCGGCGGCGCAGACGATCAATCCAGCTGTAGTTGGTGAACATCTCGGCAGCACGGTGAATTCGCTCATCCTCCTCGGGCTCCCCAAGCTGCGCCTTCAAGCTCTCGGCCTCTTTCTTCGCCAGGCTACCACGAGTAGTCATTCTCCTCGCTGGGCCGGAGTCCTCCTCTTCTTCGCTCTCTTCATTCTCTTCATCCTCGTCCGAATTCTCAGAGTCGTCAGACTCTTCGGATGGGAAGTCCGGAAGAGAAATTTGGGCAGAACCACCATTACCCTCGGAATTGACCAGCTTCTTGAGGAGGGCACAGTGGATCTCAACGAAAAGCTCGCTGTCCATTTCCTCCGATGAGAAGCGCATGGCCTGAACGAAGTCGTCGAAGGTGAACGAATCCAATTGGAACACCTCACAGTAGACATTGAGCGTATCCCAGGTTTCAAGAAGGAGTCCCACTGATTCGGGTTCCACATCGTCAGGCAGGAGGTCCTCGGCACCGTCATCGTCAGTATCACCCACCATCAGGAACTTCAAAGTCGGGCGATGGGTCTTTTCCTTGTTAGGCGCGAGCTCAAGGTCCTCTATTGGGTACTTGATCGGAGGTGGTGATGGTGGCCGAGACTCATTTTTGATGACAACTGAGGGATGAGGCATTTTCTTGTCACCGACCAGCGGCGGCTTGCTCGGGCGAAGTGGGTTGTTTGGTGGAAGGAAAGTTGGGTTTCCATTGAGCGATCGTTGATATTCCAAATACTGAGCTTCGCGTGATTTGGCGTGGTCATGTGCGCTCATCTTCGCTTTAGCACCCTTGACAGCAGGCTTCAGTTCGGGCAACTGCTGTGAAGAGAAGAATCCAAAGAAGCCTTCCTGGTCTGCCTTCTTCATTGCCTTCTTCTCGGCCACCTTGGCACCATATTGTAAATGTTTAGGAACCTCCGTGGAGATCTTGTACTCCTCCGCGACGGATGGTTTCACCAGCCATGGTGCACCGGTCCACGACTCTCGGGTCACGTTGTTCTTAATGAATCCACGCAGCATCAACTTTGTGAATGACTTCCTATCACGAGTGATGTGGTCCTGATCCAACAAGGCCTCTTCATTTGGCCGGTCAGAAATCTTGACCAAGTACCTGGCATATGCCGGTGTCTTGATGGTGCCATCCGCATACAACTGCTCGGCAAAGTTGGCCTTGTCTCTGATGGTACCGTGAAGTCTGCTGTTGTCCTCTAGTAGAATAAGAACCGGCTCTCCGGGGTAAAAGTCCGATTTGAATTCCTACAAGTTGTGGTTAGCGGTTGAATCGAGCGTTGCGTGCAAAAATCGCTCCAAGAAATCAAATCTCACTTCGTAGATTTCGTCCACTATGAAAGTCAAATCCGATTGTTAGCACAGTGGCCTTAGCTGAATCGCCTTATTGAAGAAACATACCCAGATTGTCAACCCTCGACGTTGTCGTGAACTGAATGCGGCGCAATATTGGCTCCTTCAGTGCTTCGGGGAAGCTGTTGTTGACCTCGCGCGATTCTTCCAGCTGTTTTCAAATTATCAATGAATGCTCGTGCAGTGGGCCCTATAGTTCCACCTACTTCGCTCCGGAGTGCCTCAAAGAAAGTCATGCCCGAATGGCCGGTAATCTCGCAAATGAATCGGCGTGACTTGTAAAAGTCCATGCGCTGGAGATACGGCTCATAGCTCGTAAAGACCTCGTTGGTCTCCGGAATGACCCAAACCTAACCAAAGTGTCAATCCAAGCAATATTTCCATGCATCACAACTGCCAAATAGCATACCTCGGAGCTATCATCTTCGATCACGGGTCGTGGAAGGTATTGGACCGGTTTGCGTTTGTAAAGGACCTGGGCGAGAGTGAGCTTGCGCCTCTCGCTTTTCGTTGTTGTTCCACCGCCGGTGACCTCTTAGTCCGTCTCTCCCAGGAACATTCGAAATTGCATACCATTATCCTTTGTAGGGTGGGCGGACACGCGCCAGTCTACCGGGACTAACGCGGGTGTCCTCGAACATAAATCAACTAGAAAAGCACGCGACTCGTCAGTAATTGCATCGGATCAGATAGAAAGTATGTATGTCGGGATCGCGTCGAGTATAGATGATGGGTGCAAGCATGTCAACTCCAGCCAGATCTCCGATGTGGACCGCCGGGAATCCTGAGACGGCACTTTGCGGAAGTTGCGGTCGAAGCGAGACAGGCCGGAGCGCGGAGAAAGCGAGATATGGACTAGTGGACTAGTAAATGACGGACATACCGATAGAAACGCGTCGCAGATGGCACAGAGTCCCAGGCAATTGCCTATGGACAAATCCGATAGTTTGTGGACGGAGATGGTGGAAAAACGCGCAAGGTGAAGAGGATTGAAGGGGAGAAAGAGCAAAAGCAGAAGAAGAAGCACTGAAAGAGGAGCGGTCGATCAACCGCGCCCCGGACAAAGAACGCTGATTGGCGGAGAGGAGGAGCAGCGGGAGCCAAAGGCAGAAAACCCGCCTTCCTCGGCGGCCTCTGCGGACCCTCCCTTTTCCTCCTGTTCGTCCTGTCCGGTGCCTGTCGCCCGCCGTGAGCATCCACTTCACCTATTTCATCTAAACACCCCCCTTATTTATACTCATTGGTCTCGCTAGCCCCTGTAGATTCTAATAGAAGTATCAGAAAATAATTGAACACGTCATGTATTCTTTTATTCCATATTATCAACTATGCCCCTCATACCTTCCATCACCGACTAGAAGAAAGTCAAAACAAAAGCTACTAGAATCCTCCAAAGCCAAATTCTTTATCTCCCACCATGTTGATTGATGTTGACAAATGTTTGACTCTGTAGGTCCTATGATTTCCTTTCATTCAAATTTCTCAATCACTCCTCCTCGATAAATTACCTATTCAGGTGAAGAGGTCCGTCATCTCGACATTGACTATGAGGAATTTCATACGTCTGCTGTCTCTATTGTGCCAAAACTCCTTATGGCTGGGTTTAATTTCTCGAGTTTCCAATCGATTGCAATTAACTTGCCAATTGTGTATTCTGCATACTATTTTACTACAACACACAACTCTCCGTTTGATAGTAAGCTCCCGTTCTGCATGGTCAAATGCAAGAAGACCCTTGACCACCAGGCCATTTCATTGTAATGACTTTCCAATTCTATTTAGAAATATCTTGCATTTTGAGACAGGTCAATCTGATCATAACCACTGTTCTATGGGTATAAACTCTCTTGTATCAATTCATAGTATGTCGATTATGTTAATAGGCCTGCAGAGTATTCTAATTTTCGAGCGGGCAATGAACCGTTTATATTGATATTGATTCTTTGGCTCGATGATTGAATCACCAAGATTGGGCTTGAGAGTTCAAATCCTCTTCAAACAATCAATACTCTAGCAAAAGCATATTAAACTTCTCTTGCTGCGTCAAACGCCAGATGTTTGACACTGGAAAGTAGGAATCTATTTTCATGTTGTTTGAACTTTCAAATACAGCAGATTTACAGATATAGGTACAAAGCTTAGAGTAAAGCTAATGAATATATTTTATATCAGGTTCTTAAGCTTAAGTACTTAAAACAATGCTTCAACTTGCCGCGCTTGACTATCTAGTCTATAATTCATCTCAGAACAAGAGCAGATCAGAGCGTAGTGTAGATACTGTCCGTGGTCTTGCTCCAGCTCTGCAAACTCCAGTCGTGGGCTTAGTTCTGCCATTTCAAGGAACATTCCAGCTTGTATTACCATCTTCCACCCTTAAGTATGATGTTCTTGATGTATTCGATATTGTGACAGGTTTAGATTGTCAATATATTTACAACAATATTGAGTACCTTAAAGAATGGTGCGCGTCTAAGTTCCTATTTGTCACTACCTCAGGGTCTTACATGTTGTTCTTCAAGATTCACCTTGAAATATCGCTTCCTCTGCGTGGGACTCGTATATATATTGCGTAGGATCGGACCCACCACATTCCACCAAACAATACCTAGAAAGCTGCTCCGACAGCTTAGATCTCAAAATCTACACTCCTTTCCATTATAACTAAACCATCTCAATCTGACCATGTTGATGTTCCATACTCCGATTTGTGTCAGGCCTGCATCTCGCAGACGGCATGCTGCATGGATCCACGGGGCGGGACTAGCCTGATTGGGTGTTGTGCAGAATAGACTCCGCGGTCGGGTGGGTCTGGGTCCACGTGGTCAGACAAACAATGCAAACAGTCCAAATTATACGTCACCCTCTGCCGAAGTAGACAGCGCCGCAATGGTAGAACAGTGGGGATGAGAGACCATGAAGAAAGAGTCTACTATTTATTTTTAAGATAATCTCTATCTAGAAATACACTCATGTAGTAAAGTATACTACCATAAATCCAACCCAGCTTCCGACTACCCCTAGTGCAGAGTAACTACTCATAAACATCAGTGGGAGGAACTGCAGCCGCTGTGATCCGAAGATCAAGTGATGAAGCAGAGAGCTGTACAGGACAAGCGGAATTGATAAAGTCAAGTACAGTGAAGAGAAGCGATCGAAGAGGAACACCCGTGGGCGCTCTGGGACTGGCGCGATGCGATCGAAAATGAAGAGGAAAAGGATGAGCCAGAAGACGGTATACACGGTTTTCAGAGGAAACTCGGCGGGTGTGAACAGCAATGGGAAGAGAGAGACGTGTCCTGCAACTGCGAGTGGCCGGAAAGCAGAGAAGTGGCGACGGTCCTTCAGAGCAATCAAACTAAAGGGAATGATGATCAAGAGGACAGCCTTCTCATGGACGTGCCAGCCAAAAAGGAATGAGGCATAGCCGCAGAGAGTAATTGCTCCAATGAAAGTGTCCCAGTCTGGACGAAACCAAAGTTTCACCAAAGGCACCAGCTGGAAGACAAACGTCAAGAGGAATGTCTGCTCCTTGGTTACCTCGGGAAGAATAGCAAAGGAGGTATCTCCAACAAGACCTCGGGTAACACTCTGCAGGGCCTCGCGGTTGACCGGCAGGCCGAGACGAGGAGCTACTGTAAAGAGCGTCAGTTATAACCATGCCAAAAAAATCCATCGAGATACAAAACTTACGTGGAATCAAGGCACGGTCTGCGAATGAGTACATGGCCCAGAAATTTGGTGCCCAGTATGCATGACACAGTCCTCGAGAGAACGGGAACAGCCTTTCCTTCAGCTGGAGAATCTGATCGGCAAATGGCCCAAAGGCAATGCCAAAGACGCCCACCACGCAGATCCCAAGCTTGATGATGTTCAAAAATCGTGGGCGTAGAACGTTCTTAGGGTCTAAGCAGTAGGCGCGGAGGAGGTAGACGAAGTAGGCTAGCGACAGGTAGAGGTAGATATGCTTGAAGCAAAGCAGGACAGCAAACAAGAACCCACTGGCGAGGAGTTGCTTGCGAGCCAGAACAAGTGACAGAATCAAGATGCCGTACATGAACCCATTGTACTGGAAGTGGATGTGGTCGATGACCAAGAGGCCCGGGGAGAGGAGGATCGAAAGGCTGGCAACATGTGCTGCCTGTCTATTTGCAAGCGGGGAAGACTTGATGAATCTGGCGAAAGCGTAGAAGATCAGCATGGGCGAAAATGCGCGAGAGGGGTCCTCTCATACCTGCCCAGCGCATAGACGAGGACTAGCTCCGTCAGGATCACGGTGGTCCTTTGGAAGTAGACGGTCTGCCAGGAATCATGTCCCAGGTTTTTCACGATAAGCATAGCAGGATCTACAAGCGCGGCGGCTTGCGACATCAACCATTCGAAGGCCGCAAAGAACGGGGGGTAATCGAGGGTCCATTCGGAGGTTTTCTATACGCAATTAGGGTCTATGGACCGCAGACGTTCTCGGTATATGCAAACCTCGTAGTACCATTCCTTGACCGGGAGAGAATGTGTAATGGCCAGCCAGTTACGATGGACCTCGAAATCGGTCGATTTGCTAGAAGCGCGATTAGAATATTATTATCGCGCGGAAGATCGCGCCGGGGTGTTCGATGGAAGCTCACTATGCTGGGAACAGTAGCACCTTAAAGGCAGCAGCCACAATGGCACACTGCGCCAATGACGGATAAATTTCAGCCATGGCTGTAGGGCCCTTCTTTCTGTTGGCAATTCGAGGACAACATCGAGGGAAGAGTGCGGAATGCAGATCGTGTGAAGCTCCTCCGCAGTCACGTGGGGGCGCTCTGCGGAGATCCATTCAGGAGTAACGCTCTGAACAGCGCTAGGGCGCTTAAGACCAACGTATCAATAGCAATCCCTCCGCATGGACTTCTCGGACGTCGGCGTTCGCCACACTATTCTCAACAGTATCCAGTTGCAACATTTTATCGACTTCTCCCCCTCGGCGGCTGCTATTGCTAAGGAGGTCCGACTTTGCGTGATTGCTGTTGTGGTTGGGTGGATCACTACTCGCGTTGTCGCTAGCCTGTGCGAGTCCGATCAATCGTGCCATTGTGACCGTGGCAAAGCTTCCAATCGCTCGAAGTGTTCCGATACCGAATAATTGACGCCTGACACCGTGGGATCGACATCGGCGTGGAAGTGTTTGTACGCAATTGACGAGACACGCTCCAGGGTTCTTTATCATACCAACCAGCCCTTTACTTCACTCCCTCCTCACACCCGCCACGATGAGGACGTTTACCTCTATTGCTCTGCTCGCCATTGGAGCTACTGCTCAGGTGATCGAGAGCGCTAGTTTTGGTTATGGAAAAACGTAAGCTACGTGACTTGGTCGTTTTTCTTGTTAACCTTATCACATCTAACTTGATTGGCAGGATTTCGCCCAGTCGAGACTCAATCCCGGGGTGGAACATCGGCGGAGAGGGCCATGAGCCATCTCTGGTAAGTCATCCTTCGACTGAATAGCATGACAATTGTCTAACTTCCAAATAGCTCTCCGACAAGCTCATCCTGACCCCTCCCTACCCTGGCAACACCCGAGGATCTGCGTGGGCCCAGACCGCGTACGTTACATATATCCAAGACCCCTCCAACTTAATCTGGTCTAATACTTGCGCAGAATTTCTCAAGAAGAATGGTCAGCCGAGTTCCAATTCCGGGCCAGCGGGCCCGAACGAGCAGGTGGTATTCTTCAATTATGGTACACGAGGGATGGACAAGCCCGGGTTGGCACCTCCAGCATCTATACTGTCGGGCAATTTGACGGTTTCGCGCTTGTCATTGATACACATGGCGGCCGGGTATGTTATGCGTGCTACCTGATACCCATTTGCGTGGAGCATACTCGCTAACTGAGCTTACAGGGTGGAAGCATTCGTGGATTTTTGAATGATGGCACGACGGACTACAAGAGTCACCGCAGCGTCGACAGCCTTGCTTTCGGCCACTGTGACTATGCCTACCGCAACTTGGGTCGACCCACCGTCGTGAAGCTCAAGCACACCAACTCGATCTTCGAGGTCACTGTCGATGACAAGACCTGTTTCTTGACCAACAAGGTATGAAATACCCAGCAGTCTCTCTACATGTACAGTAGTTAACTTTAAAGAAGGTCAAATTGCCCGCCGGAAACACTTTCGGCTTTACGGCTGCCACTCCCGAGAATCCGGACTCCTTCGAGATTTTCAAGTTCCTCCTGTCATCTGCCTCGGGACAAGGACAGACCGTTCCTTCCCAGCAGGGTAGCACCCAGCAGCAGCAACAGCCCATCTCAAATCAAAACCAGCCTCCAGTTATCCGTGATACCGGCAACCCGGTCATTGATGCGGGCATTGGTGCTCAGTTCGTTGACTTGCAGGGCCGCATTCAGCTCCAGAACAAGGCTACCAACACCATAATCCAGGACCTCAAGGCCCAAAGTGGTAAGAACGATGCCCGCCACACTGAGATCATGCAGAAGCTGGCTTCCAAAGAGCAGGTTGCTGCCCTCGATGCCCGGCTCCAGCGCATCGAGTCTCTCCTCCAGAATATCCAGCGTGACCTGGAGGGCAAAGACTACAGCAGCCGTTTCAACCAACTCCAGGACACTCTGCGCTCGTCCCATCTCAGCCTCACTGAGAATCTCCAAAGCCACTTCTTGAGTGGTAAGTTATTTTTGCGCCCGTGGTCCTAAATTATGTTCAAGTACCTAATCCCGTTCATAGCCATCACTGCCTCTTCTCCCCGCATGGGCTTCTTCATTTTCCTGGTCATCGCTTTCCAGGTCCTCCTCGCCACCTCATACATCATCTACAAGCGCCGTCGCGCAAACATGCCCAAGAAATTCCTTTAGGGCAATCCTCCGGTTTCCGAGTCTCTTGGTATATCCATGTTCTTCGGGCGTTATCGCAAGCGAGATGATACTATACTATTCTTGTATGTCGTTGATTATTAGCTCTGATGTCGTATTTCTCTACCCTCTATGTTTTTTTGGACTTGTCATGTAGAGTACGAATTTTTATTGAAAACAATGACTGTAAATCTACTCTTTTTGCAAAAGTGTTTCAGCGCTGATATTACACGATTTCAGACGATAAAATTGAAAAGTATCCATTGGGACCATGCTAATGTTACACTGAGAGATTTCGAGTCTGAATGCGCCACCCTATGCTCATGTCAATCTTGCGAAACCAGAATTAGAAACCAGGGAAGGGAAAGAATAGAAGAAAAAGAGAACGAAAACGAAAAGCAGTCAAAGTCACAATCCGGAGGCCTTGAAGTGCTACATGAGTCCGTACGCCGCTATGTATTGCCTTGAGCAATATACATAAATTTTGTCCTGCGATGATGCTGAGTGCGCTGAAAATTTAAAAAAAAGAAAAGCAGGGGAGGATTATGTCGAGAAGATAGAGTCACTCATGATGCTCCTTGCTCCGATCCTCAGGTAGCTTAAGCGGATTCAGTGTGCTGGCGCTTTGAAGCGCGCTCGTTGCGGGCGGCGGGCTCTTCGGAGACTGCGCGCGAGCGTTTGCTCTTGCGGGTGCCCCTGGGTGACTTGCGGGTTGGAGGAGACGAGATGGGACGAGGCTCCAAGACAGCAGATTCACTTGGGGCGGTACTATAATCTTTGATGGCTGGGGTAGGGGCGGCAGCAGTGACTTCCTTGTCAGCCTCATTAGACTGAAGGCAAGACTCGTTGAGTTGAGATGTCATCGCGTCGCCGACCGGAGCGCTGGAATCACCTTTGGCAAAACCAACAAGAGCAAGGGCAGCGTCAAACTGATCTTTTGTCGACTTGCCCGTTTGGAGGTCTTCGATAGCCTCGTTGATACTCGGGGCGATTTGCGCGGTGATCTCATCAGCAGACAGGGTGCTGTTCTGCGCGAGACGCTCTTCAACCATGTTCCTAGCAAGGTTGATGCATGTATTGGCAAGACCAGTGAAGAATTCTCTCTGCTGACGAACGTGGTCATTGCGAACGGCGGAGATAAAGTCCAGGATCATATCCCCGCCAGGAAGGAGGTGACGCTTCTCACGGAAGTCATCGTCAAAGGTAGTCTCGTTGACATCATCATATGGAATAGGATCTACGTCAACTGAAGCGACCGTGTTCTTGGGACGGCGCACACGGCGCTCTTGCACCCAACCGTCAACCATTTTGGTCACGATCATATCATCAGGCGTGACATGCTTGGGGCACATCCACCCAATGTGAGGGTTAGGGGGAATGGCGAGGGGGGGGTCAAGACAGTCTAAATGGAAATAGGAAGGGCAGTAGTCACAGCGGATGATCGGGCGCTCGTTATCGGTACATCGACCACAGTGGTTGCAGAGAATCACATGGCCATTGTCGGACATCTTCAGCAGGTTGGGATCATCGTAGGCAGGAGTTGCGGGTTTGGCCCTCGGTGGCTTAGTCAGACGGGGTATGTGGGGAACCGTCTTGTAAAAGCGCTGGTTCTTCACGCTTTTGCGGTCGGCGTTGACAAACACACCCTCGCCGACGCCGGCGAAGTACTCCTTCAGCTCAGTTGGAGGAGAGTACTCAGTCTTGCGCTTCTTGTGGCGGCCATGCGCGATGGCGGTGGTGAGAGAGTTGCGGACTCCACAGCGCGGACAGTACCACTCGCCCTGCGGCGGATTCTTGGGATCTACAGCAGGCCGAAGACATTGAAAATGGAATGAGTTCTCACATGTGTCGCAGCACAGTAGATTGCCAACCTGGTCGCACTCGTAGCAGTTGTCACTGTTATCTGGCGGCTCGCTGCAAAAGAAAAATTTAGCAAGGGGGGCTCTTAGAAAAAGCGGGAAATAAAAGTCACCACGTACATAGAATTCGGCATTTTTCGCCGGCTGAACTCGCCATGCCAATCGTTTTCTCGTTCCGAGTAGCACTCATTGGAAATGGTGGACTCGGCAGAGACAGTGGTGTCCAGTGACCACTCACGAATGCGTTTTCCAAGGACCTGGGTAGGGGGAAGTAGAGCCGAGGGAGGAGCAGCAGCGGCGGCATCGGTAGTATCAGGGACCTCGGAGACGGTCTTTGGCTCTGGCTGCTGGCTTGGTGAGAGCTGCGCTGCCTTGCCCCGACCCCCTCGGCCCCGTCCACCACGTCCACCACGTCCACGTCCTCTGCCACCACGTTGAGCGCGGGTAGGAGCTGGCTCGGGGGCAACCTCCACTGACTGAGCGATGTCTTCCACCTCAATGGTGTCAGGGGTTGGGCCTTGAGTGGAAGGCTGCTCAGCGGCAACGCGCCGGCCTCTTCTCGGGCGAAGCGAGCTGAGCTCGGGCATGGTTTCCTCAGGTTCAGGTTCAGTGTCCTTGAGGAGACGAGCACGTTTGGCTTGCAGGGTCTGATCAAGTGAGGGGTCGGCTTCCCACTCCCGACGGCGTTTGAAAGAGTTTTCGTTCACTCGGCACGGCTTCCTGGGCCGTTTGAGTGGAGCTGTGTTGGACTTGCCACTGTTGAATAGATCTTCGAGGCGGGGGCCGGAGGTGTCACGGTAGATCTCTGAGACTTTAAATGTTTGTCCCAGAGGTTCCATCTCAAGAGACTGGGCGGAAGACAGGCTGGAGTCGCTACCTGAATCTTGACGATCCAAGGCAACAGAGCGTGTCGAGACGTATGCTTTGAACCACTCAGAGGCATCATCCGTCGAGTGATGTAGCATAGTCTTCAGCGCCAGTTCCAGGTTGTGATCAGTCACTTTCACACCCATATTGTAGATCAATGACAGCTTGAAATTATCATCCGATATGCCAGACCAGTAGTGAAGCAGGCTTAGTGCCACCTCATCATTCCCAGCCTCACGAGAATGGGAGATAGCAGTTGCCACGATCTGCTTCAGTTGGGCAACATCGTACTTGTTCGACTGGGGAGCTGGAAGAGAGTTCAAGATAGCGATAAGATCACGATCAAGGGGCTTTTCAATTTCAAAGGCCATGGCGTCCATGGCGTCCAAAGCGGGGGTAGTAAGAGGCGACTCTGATTGCAGCAAAGAATTCTTGTTCGCGTCGGGGGCAGTGAGAAGATGGGGTTTGGGAGTAGTAAGAGCAGGGTCGGTCGAGACTTCGTCGACCAGGGTGTCCACAGGAGTTTCAACGGGAGAGAGAGAAGGGTTTGCAGTCTGAATTCCGATTGCTTCGGAGATGGGGGTCGCCAGGCTGCTGTCCTGGACATCGCTCACTTCCGCATCTTTCACCGAATATTTCCCCATGGCTGCCTCGACGGAACCCTTGAGGGCGAACAACTTCTCAACCCCACTCAAGGCACCCTCATCTGCCTTAATCTGCGCATCGTCCGAAACGACTCCATCCTCTGCCACCGGCGTGATAGGCGTCGGAGACCCAGTGATGATCGCATCGCTGACCTCGCCCGTCGCGCGCA